TCCAGCAAGAAACCTGTAGACAGTCGGAATAGACTTGGGAAGAAACTCATGAGAGGCCCGGTCGACCGGGAAGTTTGAAAGGAAAAAATTGGGATGTGGCTTCGAATGTTGGTGTCGGTGTGATTCTGACCTAAGTCCAAACATCAGAAAAAAGAGATGCCCTATGAGACGGCATTTCCAGCACCAACTAATCCTGATCACTCTAGATTGTAATAATAAAAGGAATGGAGTTATACTTCCATATGTCTATTACTGAAAGTTAACTTTCATTCCATTCCATTTCCAGGAATCTATGAGTTACCGACCGTATTGGGCAGTTCATTGGACAAAGTTGGCTTCGATAACATTATAGGCAGGCCTGACCCGTTATGAGACTGTGCTTTTACTGAATCGAGACGGAGTAATTATTATGTTGTGCACAATCACCAGAGAGCCTCTTAACCTCCTAAAACCTAGCAAGTACAGTCCTAAGTGAAGAATTTGGTCTTTCTTGTTACCTCAGCGCTTTTCGTACCGAACAAGGTTGTTAATTTGAACTATTATACTTGACGATCGCCTTACCGCCGACGTCAGCGTAATTCTTGATGAAGAGTTTATCATTTGTAGTATCTGACCTTGATATGGAGTTTCCCTGGGATAACACTAATAACAAGCAAGATTCATCATTCTTTCCAATGCATTCTAATACATAGCTCTTTGAACTGTGGCACTGAAAAGGATTTAGTAATGATCTATGAGGTTCATCTTCTTATTTTGATCAAACTTTGGTGTACCGATGCTCATTGTTCCTATTCCTTATCGCAGACATGTGGCATTCAGTGACCTCTTTGATGGATTCGCCAGGATGTCCTCTTCGCGATCCACTTGGATTTGTGTTGTTCTTCTATGGTGACTCCCGTGGTACTACTTCTGAAGGTTCCTGTCTTGAAATCGCGTACATCAAGTTTGTTCCAAACGTCAGAAGTTTCATAGCTGTGCTCTCAGAGCAAGATTCTGAAGAGAAAAAAAGAGAAACAGAAGAGCAGCAAGGCACTTCGATATGAACGCCAAACGTTGCTTAACACAGTGTGGTAGAACGGACAGAGGTATAATAAATTAGAATAAATTCATATTATGTCTTGTCAGTGAAATGAAGTCAGAGGCTCCATATTAGAGAATGTACTAATAAAGAACAATGATTTGTGATGTTTAACAAGTTGGAGTAAGCTCAGAGATTACGATGAACGTAAACCCACAAAAAACAGTGAGCTGATTAGAATGTGTGCAGTCGATTACTCTTGTTGTATATTGCCAATTTCCTGGAACTGTACGGAAGGAATTACAAGCTCAAATGATTCAAATGGTTGAGGACGTAATAAAAAAAGCTTTTGCTTGACGCGCTCCCGTGTCTAGTAGTTATGGATCACCGAAGCCTCCAGGCAGGAACCTAGGTATATTAACGATGAGACGTCTGTACTCTAATGGGTAAAGGGTAAGTGATTGGAGGCGCTCTTCATAAGGTTTGAATTTGAGTCCCCGAATAGATTCCGTGGCTCGCCGTTGGATACGCTCCAGAGTGTCCTTATCCTTTTGGAGTGAGGGAGGAAATACTATGTTTCCGTACTCTAATTGGGAACGAGTAAAACTGTTGAAGATTATGTGGAAAGTTCTTCCATCGAACTGGTCAGGAATGCACTTTAATGTTATCAGTGCAAGGTTTGATCGAAATACATTTCCGTCAGAGTTAGCATAAGACTTCAAATCGTAAGGTACCAGGACTCTTAAATCTTTTTCGACTCGAGACACTACTATAGATGAGTTTCTTAAGTTGTAAGTATAGTCTGCAACATGTCACAGATGAACTACTTTGCACTTTGAAGTGTTAAAGGTAAGTCCGTTATCGTCTGTCCAACTTTGAAGTCGAGTCAGATCCTCCTGAAGTGCTTGTATATCCTCTTGGTTGCATATCTCTCTCCAAAGTTTCACGTCATCAGCAAAAAGTACTGAGTCTGGGGATACCTGTTGAGGAAGATCATTTATGTAGATCAAGAAGAGAAGAGGACCTAGTACTGAGTCCTGGGGGATCCCACTAAGACATTCCATAGCCTGGGATAAATTGAAATTAACCCTGACCTTAAAATGTTGATCCTGCCATTTTGTAGTTGCAAAACTAAGACATCCTGGTCCGTAAACTGAAAGGAGATCCAATTTTCAGATATTCCTATCAGATGACCCTTATTAGAATTGCTAACTTCACGTAGCTCATCCGCTTTACTTGATAGACTCGCGGCGTTAGTGAATAAGCAGTTTATGCTTTTAATTTGAAACGTATGGGCTTTTTTCTGTTTGTCTGTATGGGCCTTACTTGAATAGACAGGTAGCCTACCTATATAAGGTTTGCCGAGTTGGCAAGCTCTGTCCTTTACACATCTTTTTAATGACCAAGACAGTCCACAAGTGGAATGGTCAGCTCCAACTTGCCTCTATACTTGATCTTGGCGTCATGTGGCCTATCCGGGTGCATATGGATTCCAGTTGGCAACCGACGTCTGTTGGCTCGAAATGCTTCCAGAGTTGCAGCCACCATGCGGGGGGATGGGAAAGTTGTCCTCATTATCTGGGGTCTAGAATCACCGTCCTTCTTGATTAGTCTCGTCACATGTTGATTCATTGTTTTTGAGCCTCAAGGATTGCTTGATGTATTTTCATTCCCTAATATCAGAGTTTGCTTGACTAGGGTCCGTGTTTTCCGGTACATCTTGCACAATTATATTTCTTCCGCAGAAAAACTTGTCGCGAGATTCTTTAGGGATGTTCCGGATGAGATTGCGCTCAGAATACGGTATGTCGGGCAGTATTCTTACGTTCCCATCAGATTTCAGTAAATGACTAGCTAACAGGACATCCTATACGTCGGTAGCGTTAGTGAGTGTAACACGAAGTAACCTCGGGTGATTTTGATGCTTAGTTTACTTTTTCTGAGTGAGCCGTGCGACCGTCACTGGTTCTATTCGGGAAAGTTCAAGCTCCTTGTTTGATCCTCCCCAGAGCATCCTGTCGTTTTTGTCAATGGGGTTCACGACCGTCATTGTTTTCCAAGGTTGTTCGGTGCGTTCAGGTTCAGCACCTTGTTGTTTGCAGTTCAAAGCACTTTTCTGATTCCTGGGCACTTTGATTGCCAGACAGACATTCTTGCAAGTAGACTGTGCGGTCAAATCATCAACTGATTTCCGTACAATACTTAAGATGCCCAGCTTAGACGGTGACGCCTAGTCCTTTTTATCTCTGTTAACATGGGTCAAATCACCTACAGAGTTCTTGAGCTTTGAGCTTTGAGCTGAGAGACCCGAGGTTGCCGAAGGAGTCTATTGCCATCAACGTATTGATGGTGCTGCGTTTCAGCATGTCATCACTGGTGGTGATGCGTGCTCCATCAATAGTAGACCTGTCGACATAGCTATTCTTCTTTTCATTGCGCGTCCTTCTTTGTTTACCCACCTTACGACTGTCTTTTTCCAAGTTTACTGACAACTTATTCTGCAGACCTGTCAATAGGACAATGATGTTAATTAGCGAAACTACAGCATCCGTGTTGCACTTAACACATACCCAATTATGATCCGACTTGATGAGTCTGTTGTAAGCAGTTACTGTGAGATCTATGCACGCTTCATGGAACCAACCTTTGCAGTTATCGCACTGCTTGCCAGATGTAACAGCAAAACGTTATCCAAGTCGTTTGCATGAATTTTTCATGATTATATTGATGTAAACTGTATTATAGATGCTAGTAAAAGCTCAAGACAGTTACAAAATGCACTGAAAAGCACACTAAAATCGGGCGAAAATGGATAAAAACGGATGTGATAAATTGAACTGGCCTTTACGTCAAAAGCTGAAAAAAACCCGAATAGTAAGCTGAGGCGAAAACACAGTTAACTATTAAATTGGGTGTAACTCGAAAAGAAGTAATCTTTCGAACGTATAGCTCAGAATAGATTCTTTAGATCAGAGTTGGTACTTTTGTTGTGCAAGAACACAGCAAAAGTTTGAGAAATGCAAATCACGTTAGGACTAAACTTCCAATTTGAATCTTGCGCTGGAATCTAGAACAAAGAGATTTTCTGGCTTTCCAAACTCGTCACAGATGTACTAAAGAGTGAAAACAATGACGTTGAACATATGGGACCTGACTAGTAATGGAATCCAGGATGCTGGTTTTTTCTCGGAATTCATTATCTGGATATATCTGCATCTCAGAGATGATATGAACTTCATGACTTGAACCCAGTGCTGTTTGCCTCAAACTTCACCTCGTTATCCAATCAAGTACTGAGTTCAGATAGCTACCTGTATGTTCAGCGGGTATCTCAACGACAATTGGATCCAATCGAATTGGATTGGACACATTGTTTATTGAACATCTCATGGTTATACTATCAAAACCTTGTTTTGCGTTGCATTGGGGTGAAGGTCAGTCGATACTCGGTATGCTCAGTATGCTTATTGGAATGCTTTATGCAATTTTTACGTCAAGTCCAAAACTAAAGTTGAAAATCACATTCTATGACTGGGAGCCGAATGAGTCCAGTATAGAGTTAGACAAAACAACCGGAACTAATATTCAGATATATCTGAAAGAGCTATTGCTCTTAACCAGTCCTTTGTAGTAGATAATTTGTATAAAAGGGAGTAATGATATTATAGAGTGGGCAGATTTCATGTTTTTGACAAATGTAATAAAATCCAACAAGTTAATCTGTCTATAAACGGTGACAACTCGTCCATACGTATGGATATATGGAGGTGAGACTATAATTTTTCTAACCTTAAATGTACTCAAAAAGATTTTCGACAGTCCCTGCATTATTCTTATCTGATGCCGAGTAATTAGGACAAAAGTCAAGGGCATAGGGCTAAGTATCTTTGATTATCTGCAATACGAAATTGCTCTGTAGTCAAATGGATGCGTAAATTTGGAGTTAAAAGTAAGAGGAGCTATCCAACGAGTTTGTCCGTAAAACAGAGTGATACCGAGTCGGTGTTTATCTCGGCATTAAAGGTTCAGAATCACGGTTCAGTTGGTTTCGGTTCGACGATTATATCCGATCTACAAACTATATTGCACATTCATTATTTTTACTTTGGTGGCAAGCAATATTTTTCTCAGTTGTCTTAAATGTCTTGAGTAGTATTAAGAGGTGTTCCTGTCACTCGTTATATCTAAAATTTAAGTCATGTCTACCTTTATTTGTGGCTTCATATTCAACTTTCATGAAATAAAATTGGCCGTATTATTGTTCTGTTACTCGGAGACAGTATGTTTCCTTTTGTGGGAAAATTATAGGTTTACTTTAGAGCGCTTTCCTCACACATAAGAATATAGACCAAACTGTTTTTTACGGCCAATATTTATTATTTAATAGAATAATAAGGATATTTATTTAAATTTCTCACTTTTTGGTGCCGGCGATTTCAGCATCGTACAAACCAAACAGGTGAATTGTATGTAGCCAATGACTACTTGATTATTTTGTAGGATCATATCCAATTGTCTTACCTAAATAATGTGAACCGGTGTATCTAAAGAGATTTATAAGTCAGCTTCTTAATTGTCGACCAACAGCTAGGGATGTTATTTTTCACGGTTGAAAGTAAATAAACTCTTTAGCTGTAATGATTAGTCTTTTTTCCATTCGTATTCCAGAAAATTTGTCTGGCATACATCGTGATGTCGTCCAATGTTGGTCTTATCAGTCGTCAATGTAAACGTACGTGCGATCGTTACCAGTTTTTCGACCAAAAAATAGCCGTCGAAAAGTTAACTGGTCTTGTTTTAGTTGGCGAGACGTTCAACAACCATTGTTCTGAAAATACAGGTAAATTGATACAATCATACTGACACGTAACAGATGCGAAAACAACAAATCCTGTAACGAAAAATTACATTTCTTCCCTTCAAAAGTTTCATTGTAATATATGTCAATTGAAAATGGATAATGCAGTAGATATGGTATCTTTCACAAAAAATGTTCTATGCTAACGATTATTTTTTCACTCCAGCGGGAACACTTCAAAAGTGAATGGCATATCTGCAATATAAATCGATCCTTACGTGGTTATTTTCCACTAAATTTTGATCTATTCGAAACTTTAAAACAAGAGAAAATAGAAAATGTTTCGGAAATAAATACCATCGATCAAATTGGAATGAGTCCAATTAATTCACCGTCAGCAACTATAGAACCGTATATTGACAACAATGACTGCGATCATGGTACATCATCTAAAAGGGTCACTAATTCGTCACTTACTGCGTCGTCACATAAGCAGATGTTATTTTTCCGAAATTATAATTCAGAAATAGTTGGAATAAATCGTTGTGTTCTATTTACTAGGAAGGTAAACAGTTTTCAGAATAATAATGATGTTAACTTTATTCGGTATGGTATATATATACTTAGACATTTTCAATACGTAATTGTGCAGCGATTCGGAAGTTGACATTACATCCACAAAACTAATTTATTTATTGAAACACATAAACGTTATTACAAGGAAGCACCAAATATGCGCCACGCTTTGTCATTCGATTTTTGTGAGGGCTGGAATACTGCTTAGTCGCTCAAACCAAAGAAGGTGGTTTCCTTACGGAGTCATACCCCGAGCATTTGAACTGAAGGTCTAATCCACAAGTCACTGGAACAACTTTAGGAGATGCAGTCTCGTGGTAGCCGGTAACCAGCAGTAGAATCATACACCATTTGCTCCTTCAAAGTCCTGGAGCCCATGTGCACCATTGGTTTGAAATCAGGATTTTCCAACTGCCCTAGGTGGATTCTCCATACCCACCAACCCGGTCAAAGCTCCGGACATTCGTTTTTCGTTCTCTCAATTTCGTAGAAAACACCTTTATCGCAAGAAGGCAGTGAGTAGGACTTCCCTGTCAGTGGCTGTATATTCATGGACATGTGAGAACATTTCGAGAGATAGAGCTGACTCTCTCCACCCTCGCCCGTACCAGGGCATTTAGGGGCAATTGAACCAATCGTGCCAGTAACCAAAATTAGGATAAAATTGCATTTTTCATAACAATATACTTTGTTCTCTCGCGTTTCTCGTAATGTAAATGCGTATAAATGAGATTTGCCGTAGTCGTAATAATTTTAAATAGGCACCTACGTACATTTAGACACAAGTGTTACTAACGGGCCTAAGCGAAAGGGCAAGTTACTACAATATCGAAATGGAGTACGCTGTCCATTTCATTAAGAACCAAATCTAGATAATGACAGATCGCTACTACACGTCCGACACTTGTCTTTAGTAATGTATCTTTCAATTTTATTGGTTACAGTATGACTGAATGCAACTTCCTTTATCAATAAATCTGTGGAGCAGGTTTAGCACTTGATATTAGATAACTGAAGCAGTTCACAGTATTTTAGCTTGATGTTGTTTCTCATTACTTTCAGACTATGCCTTTAACAATGGATGAGTTGCTGGCATCTGTTTCGCGTGTTCGACAAAGTCGGAAATGGGCTATCCTTCTTTATTCTGGAGGTAAATTTGCTGGTGGCATTTTTGATGGGTAAGTTACCTTGAGGTTGGTTTTTTAAACAGAATTTGGGAAAACTTTAAAAAGCTGTAGTTATATTTATCTTCTACAGTTTTATATGTCGTTTGTAAAAAATTACATCATATTTCCATTATCCAGTTTCCTTACAATGCTAGTAGTATGCGCACCAGTTACTATATTTTATAGGTAATTGGAGTGAGCAGCAGTATTGAATGTTCTGTATATCATAAATTCCATGATCTGTCTAAAACGTACTATTAGCTGCAAATAAACAGGCGCATAAAGAAAGGAGGACGCCGTAGGGGGATGTGGAGGCAATGCATTGTAATTAAGTTCCCAATTATGTACGAAGCAAGTGCTTTTCTGTACAAATACATCTGCCACAGTTTAAATAAAAGCCTTGACGTTTGTACTTCACCATGCGTCTTCTACGAAGGTTCGTTGATTGTATAACGGGCTATGTATTGGAGATAGTATCTGTTTTATCTATAATCCGATCATCAGCTAGCTATCAGCCCACCGAAAAGTATGGACGAACATTGGCTGAAATTGCATGACGCCACGGAAATAGTGAGTGAAGTCGCTTGTGGCTTCTCAAAACGTCCCGCTTATAAGCATTGAGTTTCTTCAGGCTCCTTACACTTCATTGAAGCACGTTGGTCTACCCCGGGTGACCGCAAGGAACTCCAACTCCTGAAGCGCCACAAATCACCAGGTCCAGATGACTTACTTCTGGCTCTTTTTAAAGATGGTGGCGACTTTTTGGTTAGGGAACTGACTGAGTTGTTTACAAAGGTTTTGCAATTAGAGAGTGTTCTAACATCATGAAATTAGTCGATTGTTGTACCTATCTTTGAAAAGGGTTCACATTGTTTCTGCAACAGATTCGCTATGATCGATTGCAGCTTCTCGTAAAACTGATCATTATCGTCGTCATTGCTATCATTGATGGGTGAATAATATTTAGTAACATTCTCCGTTTTGAATGACGTTTTTATGGTCCCAGAGCCATGAGATTTCCTACCTATTAGTGTTTTTATGCTCCCTTGGACAGCATTAGTGCAACTCTCTGAATGCGGAGCATTTTCTTCCTCAAGACCAGAGTAGAACAGAATCTCTCGAATCTAATATTTTCTGTCCAGCTTGGATTCAATGATTTTCACTTATTCCGAGAATCACCAAGTTGTATTTCCTCATTTTGTAGCTATTTGATTGGTCCTCTCAGTATCCCACATTGCCCGGACGTTCCATGTATTTAGAAAAATTGTTGCTCTGTGACTTCAACTCAGTATCATACATAACCATGATCCCGTTCTTATAGCTTTTGTATTGGTGCCGTCAATTATGAAACAATTTTTGATTATAGCCTCAAGTGTTCTGCTAAAACTGTATGCAGACGATTTTCCGAAATTTATCTGTCCATCTAGTCAGTGAATTGGCAATCGGAATGCCCTTGAAATTTCACGCATTTTAAGTTTTTATCATTGCATGCAGACTTAAAGTTTTCTTGAACCCAAATTAATGTTATACAGTAAAAGTAAATCAATTAATTTTCACCATTCAGTATTATCCCGAATATGTTTGTCATTATATTTTTTCACTTTCAAAGAACAAACGAGATTGTTCATAAAACTTTGCGCAACTATACAGTACGAGCTAAACAAGGTGGTGGTCAATCGTCTTATGATTCACAATGTGGTGGTCTTGGCGGAGTGAAATCAGCTGGTGCTAATCTTCGACGTCATGGTGAAGCAGCTATTCGTAATGTAATTATCGTTAATAATTATTATTGCGTCACTGTTTTACATACCCATTTCTTAGTGATTATGATGATTTCGATATAATTACACGATTACGAACTTGTCAAGTTATTGAGGTAGCATACAATAATCTGTTGTTACCGCTTACAAAGTTAAGGCAAATAGCAAAGAACTGGTTTGTATCTGAAGTTTATGTTGAGTGCTTTTGTCTTTTTACTTGGTCAGTCAGGTATATTGACTGAAGCGAGAAAATCAGCATTGAAATCATATGATAATAACAAGACGCAATCGCCTATTGGTTAGAATTGGTTTTAAACCAATGAATTGTAGTTGCATCTAATTCAGTTCAGGTGACTACATGTAGTGTCACTTTTCCTTACACTACGTGTGACTTAAAGCCAATTACATTAGCCTGTACTTGATTGTTGAGTTGCATAAAAAATTCAGATCATGATAAATTAGTGAGACATATAATCTCAGTTCCAGTGAGAAACCGTGACCAATGGGGTTCAACCATATCGGATGTGAAGCAGTTACCCGCTACCGGTAACGGTAGATGACTGCACCGTGTTGCGAATTGATTTAAGCTGATTGAAGAATTTGTACTCACTACGACACCTGAAGGTTTTGGGTTTGATCCCGTGTGGGATCGTAAATGAGCAGTGCTACTGAATAGCTGCTTTGTTCAATTCAATCCATTTTAAGATAGCTTAAATCATAGATTGACTTTAGCTAGAGACAGCCATTCAAAACAAGGGAGTACTGAAAAGCTTTTATGTTCTAGTGAGGGACTCATCTGAGGTACGCATCTATGACTCCAATTGAGGCCGAATCTGAAATCCTCAGATCCAGCGGTGAACGTATCACCTTTATACTACTAAGTTATCGTGTGTCAGTGAATCATTGGATGCTTTTTCTATTTCTCCTGATTATTAGTTCCTTCCTAAGATTTTCTTCTAAATTTTTTTTAGGAAATAAGTGATCTTTTACATAATAAATGGCGTGTTCTGTTACAATCTTGCCAGCTGATATTTTTGTGGTCTCCCAAAGTACATCGAAGTATATTTTTTAATCCACCTGTATCATCCTCATCTGTGCCATCTAATCATAAATTTACCGGTGATAATTTGAATGAATCAACTGACTATTCTTCGATTAATTCCAGTTATCGGATTTCCTCACCTCTTGTCCCAGATTCATTAGCTTCAAAAGCTTGTGACTGTCGACTTGGAATGACAATAGATGATCCAAGATTACGCAGAATACCTTGCCGTAGTAAACATATCACATATTTACACGTAAAAGAATTACACAAAGAATTGTCAACTTTTGATGTTTATGGTATGATACACGAAACAATTTGTTTTATCCCCGATGACTTTATTTTATTTGAGTTTAGTATTTTACATGATCAGCTTATTAAATTGGATTGATCAACCACTGTTGACACATTAGGTTTTTTGTTCGGTTTCTACGATAATAAGACCATAACTTTATTTGGTGATAGTATATGATGCCATTCAGCTCGTTCATCTCATTCATTTTACGACTGTTTAGCTGAACATTCACATATTGTAGTGTTTGCGTTTGGATAATATGGTCAGATAGGATACTCGTTGATTCAAATATCAAAGAATTATCTGATAAGTTATAAAGTTATAACAACTATTTATAGTCCAAGACAATATTAAATGTGATAATTCTGCTCTGTCTTACTTTCAACCAGTAAGTTGTCCAATATTGTTTTAATAAGTAGGAGTAGGTTAATCAATTGTTGTCTGAATGTATTATGTAGTATAGATGACTTTGTCGAATTTTAATTGTTTTTAACGGATATGTAGGCAAAAAGACAAACGTCGGTAAGGATTGTTTATTATCAAGATAACTTCATTATTATAACTAAATTCTTCTGCTGAATTATAACTATAATTCCATCGGACACATTAAACACATTTTGTCTACTACTGTCAAGGTGTCACTTGCTAGGTTCAACCCACTGGATTGCATATTTTAGACTTATTTTGTCCGGTTTATCGGTATCGATTAGTGTCTCTAAAGAATATTTTTACTAGTGCTTGGTGTTTTGGAGTCAGTTTGTTGTGAATTAACTGTGGATAATTATTTGTTAGTCGTAAAAAGAATGATGATTGAACGATTGGGTTTTAAGAAGATCTATACTGAATGATTGATTTAATGATTAGACCATTAGACTTTTAATCAATAGGTCACATATTCAAACCCCCATCTACCTATTTCTTCTCGGACAGCTAGCTATTTGTTATCATTAATAGTTTGGCTTCAGGCCCCAGTTACATAAACGTGTGACATTCTTTGTTTCTACTCATCGAAATAAACTTTTTATCTGTAGTGTAAGTAATAAAGAATAAAATACGACTTTTTACTTATTCCCTCTTCTCACCATCATTATCTTGTTCTTTTACTGCACTTTTTGAACAGATCCTGATGCTAATCTGGAGTTTCTCAGTAAATCAGGTCGAAATCAATGGCGCAAATTATCTGAAAGCGGTGATGAAACTTTGTTAGAAACTAAAAGTGGTCGATTAATTTACGGTAAGCATTTTCTTTCTGTAGATACTACTAATGAGTAGATGTTTATCAGTTATACTAATTGTTCCTTTTAACTTAAGTTGCAGCTTATTTTTATACTATTACCGACAATTAATGGATTAATAATAATAATAATAATAATAATAATAATAATAATAATAATAATAATAATAATAATGGTGATAATCATACTAAGTGGTTTGTGATTTTGAAGAAGAGTTATTCTGAATTAATGCGTATCTTTGTAATATTGTGGTTAATTTCAAACTATATTAGTCACGATTTTGAAGCATTGTTCATTTTCATAAACTTACGTTTATTTATATAATTAGAAACAATCGTGTGATATTAGAAAATGCTTGAATCGATCACAAAATTATTAAGAATTCATACATTTATTCATTTAAATTAAGAAAGAACAATAATGTATCGAGGCGTGTTATGTTTATAATGCTCTGTTTAACTGTACAATTGTAATGAAAATCTGAAGGTTGGACTGTTAGTGAGGTTATAATTTATGTACGAACCATTGAAATTAAAGGTAGTTAGTCCTGATTGTCTGCGCAAAATTCATTTATCCATATGATTAAATAGCATTTCAGCATTATATCTGATGTCATTTCGTGATGAAAACTTTTATCCCTTATCCCTAATTTTAACCTCTAACTCTAAATCTTAATTTTAATTTCTCACACTGATTTGTAAACCTCTTTCGACCCTACTAAGTAGGCGAATTTTCTCAAGGTCACTCTGGGGTTTCTTGAAGTTCATGTACTAATTATAGTCTCGCCGAACTGTTCATCATCGATTACGTTATCATCAATTCGTCGACATATATTAACACTGTCTAATAGTTTTAAATTTCTGCTTCATTAAAATAATTTTATTGATTTTTCCAAGCTGAACTATAATTCACAATGAAAAATAATCTCATATTAAGCTAATCTCAACAAAATTTTCAACCAAACGTTTTTTTTGTTGTTGCTCACTAGTGATTGATTTTCTAATGAGGCTTTAAATTTCTTATTAGAAGTTGTAACTGATAAAACCCAACCATGCCGATAGTGACTCAGCTTTACCCACCATTAGTACTGGATAATATATGTCGTAATCACAAGCTTGTTGAATTTTAAAATATAGATCTATTGGGCTTCACTGAAACCGATATTATTGTAATCAGTTGGAATCGCCACAACAATATTGTTTCGTCCTTTTCACATCTCAATAACATTATAACCCTTGTAATGTAGAAATACTACGTAATTCACATCTATTCTTATTGGTCACTTTGCCTCGTAAAATGCTATATATACTGTGATGTTCATTCATATAATTGTCTTTTCTTGAAGGTCCTGTATTCTCTCTTTCCTTATGCATGTACGATTGTCTTCGTTGTATATTAGTCATTTAGTATATCTAGTTTCATTAGATTCGTCTTCATATTAAAGAAATATTCCATCTACTGATTTTTATTTTCGACTCTAATATTGCAAAAATCGTAATAAGACTAAGTGACTCCAATTTAGTAGTTTGAAGGCGATGCGGTCTCGGCGAGACCTGAAGGTCATGAGTTCGATCCCATGTGTGTGTGCATGTGGTCGTGCACGAACAATAATGGGGTGGCATTGGGTCAGGATGAGACAGCCTCTCAGTACTTCTCTTCTCTTAATAGTTTTCCAGTGCATATCATTCCAATAACGAAACCAATTTTAACTTGATAAAAGCTGAAGTACGTGGCAAAAAAAGCCTTAAACTAGATCAAAAATTTCAGTTTATGTCTTTTGGGATCATTGTCTCCACTTAAGCTAGTTAATTTACCAAATGGAAATAAAATCACATACAAAACACATGTTATACTTAAAAAGGGATTTATTTAAATCACATGAGAACACCTAAAATACGAAAAAATAATCAATTTTTTACTGATAAAAATGCATTATTTTTCTTTTCTGTTTGGATCCAGCTCATGAGCGTACTTGCTCTCATGTTTTTCTGTTCAATACTATGAATGTTTCTGATTCTTATATTACTAAAGTAACTATCAAATAATTTTAATTTTCACCATGAACTGACACCATCTAAAGCGGGGTTGAAAAACAGAACTACTGGATACCTTTTGTCCCGGTTCAACATTTCCCAGTAGTTTAAATATATCGTACTCAATGACATGAAACTGTTACTTCGATCTCCGAATGATGTCGAAACACGGTTTTCAGTAAATGTCGATTGTGTTGAAAATTAGCTTTATATTGAACAATCTACAAATTCTTTATTTTAATTATATGATCGGTTCTGGTTTGTTAGGTATTTGACTAAAAAAATATTGTGGGAGACGACGTTTAGATTTATTTTTGGGAAAACTTACTGTTTTTCTCACACAGCTATACCTAATGGTGTAAAAGAAGATATGTAAAAAGTACACTATCACATGACGGATCGTTTTTTGTTTTTACGTCTACGGGTAGTCTCTGTCTACACATCTGACAGCAGTACGAAATTTCAAAACAGGTCGCTGGTTTTGCTCCAAGATTGAATGAAATGGATATTATCATATTAGTCAGGGATTTCACCAAACTAGTATAGCTTAAGCCAACTGAAAAACAAATTAGGGGTTATTTTTGTGATCTTAATTTCTTGTGACAGTACAATTCACTTATTACCTGCCGATTTATAAATTTTCAAACTTATTGTTTAACTGAAGTTTTTACCTTACTACTCGAAAATCGACAGTTGAATTTGTAAATAATTACTAGTTTATCCGATAAAAAGCCAAACAGATTATAAAAACTTTATTTTATAAACTGTAAAGTTGCATCACTCCCATCCTCATTTGGTAAACTCTCAATTTCACGAAAGAGGCTCATTATGTCGTTGAAAAAGGATCAATACAATTTTTTGCGAAGGAAGAATTTTTTTCGACGATTTCATTTACAAATATATATATATATATATATATATATATATATATATATATATATATATATATATATATATCGTCTCTGTAACACTTCCCTATGACTTTTAAACTTCAGTGGGACAAAATATATCGGTAATAGGTATTTCTGGGGAAGATAGGAGTGCAATCTATCATAGTGATCAATTTACTGGTCAAAACATTGTTGTGATGTTGCAAGCATCCATTAACATCACCTGCTAACTCATAAACCTTTAGGAACCTCCACATAAAAGACGATGTCAACTATTTACTCTTCGTTAAAATTTCATGGCGGACAACACCAATATTGTCAAATAAACATCTTGTTTTTATTTGGATGGGTCATGAATATCATTCAGAAAAGATAATTATTTCTTGTGTATGTTTAGTTCTTTAATTATAGCCTTATTTCTCCTGTTTTCATCCCTTTATTTTTTAGGTCCACTTAGCCTACTAGAAACTAGTCCTAAAAAGAATTTATTGTCATCAAGTTCAGATAATTCTGATTTGTCAGATTGTGTCAGTTCACAAGACGATACTGATGATGATAGCAATGATGATCGAGTGGAGCAGATTATGAACTCAGAAAATAATATTAGGAAAACCACAGAAACTGTCAGGAAGACAAAACCAAACAGTCAATCTTCATTGCTTTCGACTTCCAATGATTCCGAAAGTAATGATGTCAAAGCAATGACTGATAATTTCGAAGGTTTGCTTTGACTGTTTACATAATGTGTCTTTATACTTTGCGATTATATGCGTAATATTTTCTCACTGAAGCAAATTGTTTTATTTGGTTCGATATTGACCGAAGGACCATTAAAATCCAGTGTGTAGTCTTTATCATCACTGCCATCGTCGGTGGGTGTGTAGCAATGAATAACATTCATTATAACCTTTCCCTTCTTTCTTTTGAAGGATATTATGGCAACCGTGGAGCACTGGATTCCCTATCCTATAGGCACTTTTTGTACTTCTCCGAGCAGAATCAGTGCGAATCCCTGTGTATGAAGCAATTTCTTCTTCGTGACTTGAATACAACGATATTTTTCCTGAAGTTAGTTTTTTCTGTCCAGATTGTGTTTAACGAGTTTCATTTATTCCAAGTAGAGCTTGGTTGTATCTTCTCGTTTCTGTCGATATTCGAGTGAATTTCCTGGTTTCTCACATCCGGACATTCCATTTCTCTATATTTATTGTTTCCTTGGTTTGTAAGAGGTGTTTCTGGACACGTGGTCTCCAGAGGTTCGCAGCTCTCCTGATGAAGTGTCATAACTCTTGTATGTGACGACCCTTCAACCACCAGAGCAGAATTTTGCTTGTTAAGTTGGTTAGCGTTTTTGTATTGCGGTTCTCTTCTACGAGTTAGGGTTATTAACCATAATCCAAGCCTTCTTTTTTGCTCGAACTCGGGATCCTCAGTAACCCTTGAGGAGGAATAGTTCGGCATCTTTTTACTGTGTATTTATTGGATATTCGGTTATGATATTTTATAACACTCATGTTGTAAGCTTCCGTTTCATTCATAAACTGTTTTTGTATTATTGTTAATTCATTATGTATCTATTATTCGGCTTTGTATCATGTAGGACCACCTAGTCATATATCTACTTTGGTCTGGTCAACCGGGTAGTATCGTTTGCCTTCACATTTAGAGTGTGGCTCTTACCAGGCATCTGGTGAATGTGTTAATTAAAAAAAGTGGTGCGTTGTTGCCGTATCATTGATGCATATTAACCTGTGTGCTTCTGAATCATGGCACGATACAATAATAGGAGCTGAATTGATTGACCATCTTCGTGTTCTAATTGCGCTTTGGGAATATAATCTACGCAAACCAGCAGGGGTTAAGATATCCGAGTATTGTTGGTAATCATTTGTATTATTGCTTAAAGTGGTAGGCATAAATCGTGTTGGAATACTTGTTTCCGACTAAGTATAATCGATCTTATATATTCGTATGTATTCTACTGGTTAATTCTTCGATTACCGTTAAATTCATTTCTACTCGAGCAATCAAGCAATCGAATACGCGTTGGATGGAAGTCAATTTTTATTAGGAGAAAATTAACTCAACAGATTACACCTTAGCAATCAAATCAGACACAGGAAAGGGATGTGAATGAATTGATTTTGTTTTGAATATCACTATAAATGTGAACATAAGTAGCAAATTATTAACCGACTGCGTCTACAGCAAATAAGAGGATGGATTAAAAAAATACTAGATATGTAAATAGCCGCACACATATGGGGTTATACAATATAACAAATATGGTTACAATGAAGCATGTAAAGGTCACACAACAGTGTACCATATCACTTCACGATGCAATTGTTTATTTGATAGAGTTTGTAATTCAAATGTATCATAAGAGTCACAATAGTTCACTGCAAGCGAAATCCTCACAATTGGGCAATGTGAGAAGATTGAATTTATAACCTCTCTAGTTATCTAACGTATTGATAATTACTTGAATCTAATGTAGATAGAGCTTTAAAAATTCATTGGATATTTGCAAAATAACACTTTTGTTATGAGTAGTCACTATTCACGCAATGGTGCACGCCTCAATTATTATTCGTGTATTATTTCATTTTGACATAATATGAACGCTTAGTTTGAGTCTTTTTCCTCACTCTTTTCTTGATTTGTGTAATAAATTGCTAATGAGATTTTCTATTTTACTATAATTAAAAATATTACACAGATTTATATTTCACCTATCAAAGTTGGCATAGACGTTTACGTGTAGCAATTGCTTCTGGAGATTTAGTTATTTTACGATCTTTATTACCAATGGATATTTCCAATATAACTCAAAGCGATAATTTAAATGAATTGGAGGAAACAGTACATAATTCAACTACTTCTTTGAATACTACTACCACTACTGCTGCTACTACGACTAATATGCTGACCACCACTAATACATCCTCTACTGGTTGGTGTAAAATTTTAAGATGATTACTTAACATTTTCAGGTTTTTTAAACTTATCAGTGTGTAGATGATATTATTTGTCCCCAGTATTGTGGACTATTGTGGACTCTCAGCTCTGATGTGGATTGGATACACTGGATATCACAATTCTGTTTTTTTCTAATCACGGTTAATCAGAAAAGGCAGAACTCTCAGGGAACATTTATTGACAGCGACTGAATAATGCTGAAATTGGCAAGAAGCTATTCAGTATACAAATGTATCTACAGTATCTTTGGAGGTAGGAAAGAACGTTGGCACATAGAATAAATATCGAACCGATGGTAGGGCATTTAAAAAGTGACGTTGATTAGGATTTCATTATTACTCTATGATCACAAAGTGTCAGTATCGATTTATTTATGTGACTTGAAATTCCCTCACTTCCGATCCCTGGTAGAGTAAAGTATACTCATTGCTGTGGATTCTCATGCACCAAAATGAACCAGCTGTTCAATGCTCCTTGCTTTTCAGTAGTACTCCAACTGCTGTCAATCTCTAACATAAGAAATGATAAAAAGCGATGAAGAGTAAGGTTATTGATTAGTTTAATATGGTGAACGTTCAGTTTAATATTCGTTTGTATTTCGACAAATTAAGCTATGAACCATTTCGGTGTTATCCTACCGTATTCTAATAATTATTCATTCAGTTTTGACGGTGTGAAGTTCGTTTCAGGTAGTAATTGTTTTAATGTAATTAATAATCACTGCTTCTTAATCGTTGAGAAATGTGTCAAGAGTTTGGCGTTGTGTCGACGAGCCTTTGTTTTGTAATCACTGTCACGTTGGTATTTCTGAGTTGTATAACAATGAACAGGTTATAACGGTGGCGACGGTGTTAACTTATAAGTTCCAGTTTGGGTGGTATCTAGTCTAAGCTAACAATGAATTTTCTTTTGATTCATGTTATACCAGTACTTTAGATAAATCAAATTGTTCAACTTTTGTTTTGTGCTGTTTTTGTAGGAATATTATTGCTTATATTTCATCTAAGAGTTTATCTTATTTATAACATTACAAAAGTGATATTCTATTATTTCGAATAACTAACAAGAAATAGGAATTTATATGTTTATGTTTTAGAATGTATGATTAGTACATTGTATTCTCTTTACAATAGGGTTTAAATTATAATTTTATGAAACAAAATATAGAGTCAAATATCATGTGACAAAATCGCCAGTCAGAATACCGACTTCTGTTACCTTGCTAAACCAATGGTGCGTCAACCAGCATGATCAGCCTTGAGTCAACTCTGAGTCCTTATTGGTCCTACGTATAGTAGTTTCTTTCTTAATCCAGCCCGTTCAGTATATATAACATTCCACAAATTACTCCTAGCAGTTGCCATTCATTTATTCTTTGTTCGTATATAAGAAGTAACATTTCATCTGTTAGGTAAATTGAGCAAAAAAGAGACATTAACACACCTATACACACAAGCCCCCGAATGCCCTGGTACGGCCGAGAGGGGGGAGAGTCCGCTCTCCCTTTCGAAATACTCTCACACGGCCGTGCGTATACAGCCTCTGCCAGGGAAGTCCCACTCATTGCCTTCTCGTGGCGGGGGTGTTGTTTACGAAAATGAGAGAACGAAAAGCGAATGTCCGGCGCTTTAACCGGATCACAAACCAATGGTGCACATGGGATCCAGTATCCTGCGGGAACAAATGGTGTATGAACCAATCGTTGGTCGCCAGCTACCATGGGATCGCATCTCCTTACGATGCTCCACTGCCTTGTGGGTTAGACCATTAGGTCAAAGGCTCGGGGTGTGGCTCCCTAAGATAACCACCTGCTTCGGTTTGGGCACCCGGGCAGTATCACAGCCCACACACGAATGATGAACTGTTCATGTCTATGGAAATTACTTTTATCGCTTCGAAAAACTATAAATTGATTCAAATTATTATCATTACAATTATTTTCATTATTAATACTATTATTATTATTACCATTATTGTCATTATTATTATTATTATTATTATTATTATTATTATTATTATTATTATCATTTTCCACATTATTCACCCTCTTTTATACTTATACAGCGGCTTATAAGCACTGGGTTTCTTCTGGTTCCTTACAACTTATTGAAGCCCGTCGGTCTACTCCGGGTGACCGTGAGTTTAACCATAAACGAAGGATGTTACGTAAGGAAATTGGGCAAAGCTTGCGTAAGGACCGAGAAGCCTGGTGGTCGGATCGTGCTAATGAGCTGGAAGCAGCAGCTGCATCTGGTAACTACCGGAAGCTCTTCCAGCTCATCCGAGCTACTGGCAGCAAGAAGTCTGGTGTGAGTGAAACAATCTGCGAGGATGATAGGATGCCAATCACTAACATCCATCGACGTCTTGGACGATGGGCAGAATTTTTCGAAGGGCAGTTCAACTGACCTGCTGCTCCGGCAAGATCGGTCAGACTGTCCTGCCCTCCATGGCCGGTGACGACTGATCCACCAAACGAGGAGGAAGTCCGCAAGGAACTCCAACTCTTGAAGCGTTACAAATCACCTGGCCCAGATGACTTACCTCCGGCTCTTTTTAAAGATGGTGGTGACTTTTTGACTAAGGAATTGACGACGTTGTTTACAAAGGTTTGGGAACTAGAGAGTATACCAACGTCATGGAATGAGTTGATAGTTGTCCCTATCTTTAAAAAGGGTTCACGTCTTTCCTGTAACAACTATCGGGGGATAAGTCTACTTCCGATTGCGTCCAAGCCATTGGCTTCCGTCATACTTCGTAGGTTGTTCAAAACTCGAGAAAATTTGACTCGCGAGAAGCAAGCTGGGTTTCGTTCTGGTCGAGGATGTATTGATCATATCTTCACCCTCCACCAAATGTTAGAACATCGCCATACTTATCAAAGGCCAACAATCGTAGTGTTTCTTGACATCAGGGCTGCCTTCGATCCGTTGGATAGGACTGTTCTCTGGGATTGTCTATTGAAGAAGGGTGTGCCTGAGAAGTTTATAAACATCCTAAAGGCCCTATATAAAAACACCTCAGGTAGAGTGAGGGCATACAACCACCTCTCTCCATTGTTCCATTCGAGCAGTGGGTTTAGGCAGGGTTTCCCAATCTCACCATTCCTCTTCAACTTTGCCATCGATGGCATTCTGGAAACAGCTCTGATGAATGTAAGTAATGGTGGTGTCGATCTGTTGCCTGGAGAAAGACTTCTCGACCTTGAGTATGCGGACGATATTGTCTTACTGTGCGATAATGCCCAAGGCATGCAATCCGCACTTAATCAGTTGGCAATCAGTGTCCGTAGGTATGGTATGTGCTTTTCACCTTCGAAGTGCAAAGTACTTCTACAAGACTGGCAGGATTTCAATCTTGTACTCACCCTGGATGGTGAGCAGATAGACGTAGTTGAGAAGTTTGTGTATCTGGGTAGCTGCATAAGTGCTGGTGGGGGGTGTGAGTGATGAGATCAATACACGTATAGTGAAAGCCAGAGCGGCTAATGCCAATCTGGACCACCTTTGGCGCCTTCGTGATGTTAGTCTGGCTGTAAAAGGTCGGATCTACAACGCGTCGGTGAGAGCAGTTTTGCTCTATGCTTGTGAAACCTGACCTCTCCGAGTTGAGGACGTTAGACGACTCTCTGTGTTCGATCATCGCTGTCTCCGAAGGATTGCTGACATTCAGTGGCAACACCATGTCAGTAATGCAGAGGTTCGGCATCGTGTGTTCGGGCACAGGGATGATAATTCAATTGGTGTCACCATCTTGAAACATCGACTTCGGTGGCTTGGACATGTTCTACGAATGTCGTCCCAGAGAATTCCACGTCGTGCATTATTTGCCGACTCTGGGACTGGTTGGAAAAAGCGGAGAGGTGGTCAGTGCATGACATGGTGTCGTGCAATGAAAGAAAGCTGCAAAGGACTGGCTTCTGTCGGTCCTTCACGACTCCCTGGTTGGGATCTGAGAGACGGTGCTACACAGTGGCTAGAGACGTTATCAGATATGGCTCAGAATAGAAGCCAGTGGCGATCCTGCTGTAACCTTCTTTTACTTTCTTCATAAAAAGTGGTTGTGTCTCCCTTACCTGAAAGATTTCTTCTGATTGTACCTTTCCGTTCCCTCGTTACTACCACACTACTTTACACCAATCTCTTCGTTATCGTTCTCTTTTTCTTTTGCGCTCCTTAGTTTTTTTTCTATCTCTCTTCGAATTTTCATTGTTTTGTGTGGCGCATATATATTGGCGCTCTCTTGTACCAATATTTATGTGTTCAAATAAATAAATACACACAAAAACACGTTTATTTATTTTTAAAATGACTTACTGAAATTAAGTGTTTATTTGCTTTTGAGATATATTAAATATTTTCATATTGTTATTTATGTAATAGAGTGTACTTCACCTGGATCATCAACCGTTCCACCATATCGTGTTTGTTTAAAATTAATTAATCATCCATTAACTGATGGACGAAGACTTTTACATGTAGCTGTAGAATTTCAAAGTGATCCTGAACTAATTCGTTTATTACTTGAATGTGGATGTGATCCAGCATTTAGGTCAGTTTAGAATATTATTTTAAGTTATACATACATAAAATGTATTAATTTATATTTGTGTAATCATTTTGTTAGCTTGTTGATTTGTTGAAACTTTTTCTTTGTTCTAAATTGGGAAAGTTTGATTTCAATGCTATAATGATGATTTCTTTCATACAAATAGTAGAGTTCCAGCTTGCTGGTTTAAATTTCTATTAAAATCCAAGTATCGATTTTAATTCAGCTCATTCACAGAGCACGAAAATTAATGTAATGAAAAATCTAATGAACAGAAGTACTAAGATTGTTACAGTCAAGGAAGACCAACAACCGAATTAAATAAAGTATTTTCTACTCTTAGGGATAACAACTACCCAAAAAAGTTTTTAAAGAAGATTATTAAAAATGAAAAAAAACTTAAACTAGAAAGTATACGAAAAGAATGGAAGTACACTCTAGTCATACCTTACCGTAGTGAAACATCGGAAGAAATCAAACGGATTCTAAACAAACATGATATAAGAGTGTATTTTAGAGCGAATAACACATTAAGATCGACATTAGTGAAAGTTAAGGGCAAGTTAGCAAAGGAAGAACAACAGAACATTGTATATGAAATTCACTGTCATGACTGTAATGCTACCTATGTTGGAGAAACATCCAGGCAATTGAATGTAAGATTGAAGGAACACAAACAATGCTTGAAAAATGTTCCAAAATCCTCGATCGATTTAAAGAAACTTGAAAATAAATCAGCGATAGCGTTACATGCGTTAGAAACAGGACACAAGATTAATTTTGAAGGGACCAAAATACTTCAGAAAGGTTTTAACACCCATAAAGAAAGATTGACAACAGAAGCGCTGCATATATGGGCGAACAAGAACAGCCTGAACCGAAAAGATGGTATTCAATTGGCAAATTTCGTTTGACAAGTAAAAAATTTGGAACCTATCTCTTGTTTAAACCTGTTTTTTAATATCACATACATCGTTATTATTTTTGAAAGAATTCAATGAGCTTTTTAAACAGTACAATTTATGTTTTGACATGTACATCAATGTTTCATTATCAATTTTTCATCCTTGAACTTGAACTTTATTTATACCTTCATATCAATCTCTTACACATACATACATAACTACACACTCACACATATACGATTTGTTACTCAGTTAATTATTTCCATGTAGTTGAATCTTTCACATGAATTGTAGTTAACTGACTCATTCTATCCTATTTTACAAAAAATCAACATCCATATATGATTGGTTTAACACAGTATAATCCTGATTGTTAAAAGCTATATATGTCTTTGATAATTTTGATTTTGATTATTGCCCTGAAGAAGTCCAGACAAGTTAGCTGGACGAAACGTTGGAATTAGTTATATTTCAAGCGCTGAGATTATTTCAAATATAATTTCACATATAATGACTTCTCTAGAATTGTTATAAAATCACTACGAGTATAGAAATGGTATAAATGATGTATGAAAGTCGTTATATCGATTTTAGTTGGTGTTTATCAGTTGGCATTTTGTATTCTTGAATGGAATTCTGGTTCTTCTTGTTTGCGTGTGTGTGTTTAATACTATTTATTACTATCAAAGTTAAAACACTGCCAATCGTTAGATATAGAAATTTGATTAACATTCTCAGGTTGTTTTAAAGTGAATTTTTTACAAGTAAATGTTTATCTTGTCTGTTAACTTGAATTCATCTTGATTGTACAGTTAAGAGACTAATATTGTCTTCTTCATTGTCACTACAATGGAAAAACATAACTCACTAACTTCTAATTTTATCGACAGTTTTTCTCTGACAATAAGTGTAGACATAATTTCTCTTCAATTATATGATGATAAAATGTTATTTTCTATAATGATAATAATGGTATGCTTTAGAATTTTAGTCGTCAGCCGTTAATATGTTCAATGATGCTTATATATAATAATATTTAGATATTTGTAACTGAAAACTTATGAAAAATATAGTATACGGATGAGCTTAAAAAATTTTGACAAATTTCCAGCTAGTTTCTAGTCATTTAGAAAATAGTGTTTATAAATGGATAGTCTGTAATGGAAGAGTGTTGCGTTGTTCCAGCTTTTCGAGGTTAGTGAAGCCCCACTCGGAAGACCCTATGGGCTTATCCGAATTAGAAATCCACTCTCGAAGGCTCACAAACCCATCACATGGACGTGGAGTATTTGGGAAATATAGACGCTATCTGACTACTTTGTCCCTAAAATTTAGTGCCACCAGGTTAAGGTTTCTTCATTATTAAGGGTTTATGGTTTGAATTCAGGAATAGTGCCGGTTAACTTGTTATGTACCATCTTAAGAGGCTAAATTAAGGGTTTTATATATTTTGCGCTATCGTTTTTACTCTATGTTTGTGAAGGTATTTTTACTTCTCACTATACATCGTTTTTGAATTTTGCGCAATAGCCTAAACATCGGATTCTCGATTCCTGTTCGCTCTTCCCTAATATATACCTTTTACCGAAAAGGTTTACTCTTATTAATAAATTTTTGACTGATAATATACATATATCCTTCAATACTGTCTTGTAATTGAGGTTGATAATCTAACTTACGAATTCGTAATGAAATCAACTAATTATATTCTAATACTTGCTCATACTGTTAGTCTGGATCCTGCTTTCCTTAACTTGTACACTTAGAAAAAACAAAAGCAGTGATTTTACTCAAAACGTCAGTTTTGAAATATCTGAACAGACAAATTAAGCGAATCCTATTTATAAATTATTGTTATTTATTATCATTTTAGTGATGGGGATGGTATAACACCTTATCAATTAGCTACACGATTGCATAAAAAATCAATAGCTAATGTGTTTCGACGTTTCCGATTTCATCATCCGAATCGTTATGATTATGAAAAAGCTAAAGTGAGTTGTTTGTACTTATTATTAATTTACGATATTTTTGTTTTGCATAATTAGAAATGTTTTATTCAGTATTTATTTTAAGGCTGTCAAGTGTAATGACTCAGTATTTGTAGCACCTAACTTTGATCCGAGTGTAAGTTACATGTTCGAACTCCGCTTCACCTACTTCGGTTCAAGGAGTTGGGTAGTGTCACTGATTCTCCTATGTAGCGTGCAACACAAAATTTAGTGCGTAAACCTTTACTTGGTTCATAAGTTAGATTATCCTAAGGCATACATATATTACATTAGTAACATTGATTATGACTGACAGATAAATGAATCAATTTGTCAGTTAGGTGAAAAACTGTTAGCTTCTACTCCTACGTCTGCGTAATTGAAAAGACAGATTTTATTCTGAAGATTTATTGAAAGAGACCTAAGAATATTGATTCACTTCAACAACTATCTAGATTTACAAAGTTCTTGGATGTACAAGAAAATTAGCCTATCAAGAATGTAATGAATTTATAAGAAGTAAGGGTTTTTTTCTCTGAAGTAGAAATTAAGAATAACTGTCATAGAGGATTCCGGCTTAAAATAACAGAAAATTCTAATTCTCACTAACGTGAAACTAACAAATTATTTAGTACTTGGACATCATTTTGGTTATCTAAACATACCCAACAGTTAGATATGTTAATTGTTTTGATTATCAATTGTTCATATCATAGATATCTTAATGTTAAATATATTGGTAAAATTAAACTATGCTGACAATCCTTAATGACTTATCAATCAGTCAGAAAACAGTGTTTGATTATAAAACAATTATAATTACAATTAATGGATTTACAGTGGACATAGTTTTGACATGATTAATAAATCCTTATGTGTTAGATTATTTACTTCAGTAAAATAAAACCGGATCGCTTTAACTGTTAAGATTTGAACCAGAGTTGTAAATTAAGATTAAGTGTTAGAATAATTTTTTTGTACAAACACCTTTGATTATTCGTTAAAATACATCAAGCTTGTTACCCCTTGTGGAGGAGCATAGGCCGCACACCAGCATTCTCCATGATCACGCATAATACATATTTAAATCAATTTTAAGATTTTTTGGGAACGAGATGTAAACAATTTTTCATTTAGTTTCTATTTCGCACAGTATTTTTCACTGCACTAAAGTTCATCAGATGTTTTGTTAAATCTAATTTTTTTTCATTAAAAAATATTTTAAAAAATAAATTTTTCCAAATTCATATTTAGATACCTGCTCCATTGGATCCGTCAAAAGAGGCTGCCAAACTTGAACGTGATCGTGAACGCACAAAACGACAAAAACAACGACAAAAAGAAAAACGTAATGCAGAACGTGCAGCTATTGAACAACAAAAGAAAGATGCTGAAGAACAAGCACGTTTTTTAGCTTTATCCGATCGCGAAAAAGTGAATATTGTTTTTACTTGATAATAATAGTAATAATTTGAAATGTAAATTATCGGATGATAACTCAGTGATTTAAAGACTAAATGCTCTTCTTAATACCTAAAAGTTCTGGGTTCGATCTCCAGTGGCGGGTCGTGGATAGTTACACGTTTGAGTAGTTCTATGCTGGATGAAACAACGATCCAATACTTTCTGGTTTTCAATAGTCATTTCAATAAAATCAATAGTTCTCAAAAATATAAGTCATGAGATCACGTCCTAATTCAGTGTTGTATTTGTTTAGCATTGGATCGTTTTACATTTATTAGATGTAAATCTCATTCATTTTAGCAACATTGTGATATCTAATTTTGTATTTCCCGTATTTTGGTTATTGGTGACTAATCATCTCGCTAAGATCAGTGTATAATCAAGTGTATCTTAGCATCGTCGTGTTTTTTCTGAAGGGTGTATAAATTTCTCATTTGTCATCAATTTTTGTCTTCTTCTTGTGTCATGGTAATCCCAGCATTTTCATTTCCCCATTACCAGTTTTAACAATAATATGAAACAGTGATGTAACGATTAGAGCGTTTGACTTCCAGGCAGTTGTAGAATGACAACTAAAACTTTGTTACACTTATTTATCATTCGGATAGTTGAGTAGTATCGATAGTTTCTCCAGAAAATCTATCACTGTCTATTGGATAACTTCGTGTTTGCAGTGATAGGTACTGGGTTTGAGTGACAATGTGAACACCAACACGTAGGCACCTTAATCCGGTTGACGAGTCCTAAATAGTACTAGATTTGCTTTACTGATCACACTACCAGGCACTGTCAAACTTTGCTACAACTTGTGATTAAAGATACGATGCCATCTGCTCTGGATGCAGATATGTTAATAGAGACTGATCACATCCAAATCATAATGCCAACAATGGAAAAACTGAACACATGACTACAATATTTTTTTATTCCCACTACTACAATTCTATTTACCCGGTTGCTGTTCGATATATGTATCTTTCTTACCTGTGATGAATTAAAGTCTCCTATCCATTTCTCTTCGTTTTTTCCATTGGGTTTTAAAATAAAATAACATACATTAGCGCGCTATCGTGACAGAACGTCGTTTGATTTCTTCTGGTTCTGCGACTGGTGAACCATTCATGGTATTCAGGTAATGTCAAATATGTTTATGTGTATATTTTTATTTATTTGTAAATGTTCAATGTCGGCTTAGTTGGGATTAAATCATGTTTGTTTTCCAATCACAAGCACGTCGAAAGTTTCAGTCATCGATATTAGATACAGGGTTGTGTTTTTAGCTGGCATACCAAAAATAAAGTGACTAAAATTAGATTGGATTGGTTTTTACTGAGCAAATATGTTTTAATCCTTAAGAAAAACCTTTAAAACATTTTAGCTATAAATATATGCAAAGATAATATATAATCTCTTTACTGGTTTTAATTCAGTAGTATAAAAATAGGATGAAAATTCGGTCAGTCGTGTTCAAGATCATCTTTCCACACTGATGTCTTAAGTTAGGGCGAAACATCTGTTCAATATTTTAGCTTACAATGTCCTTTCAACTTATGTCACAGTTCGTGATGAAAAGCAACCTCAGATTATTTATTTTTCTATGTCGCTGAACTCTATGAATAGACATGTTCATTGTAGTGCTTATTGAAGGATATTGATGGAAAAGGTCTGTTTTTTTTCGCAGTTGAAATCACGAACTGATCTTAACTAGATCCTGATTAGTGGAAATCGGCCTCTGTCGAGTGTAAGACATTTATCTATCTGAACCTTCTGATGAAGGGTTGCGCAAGATCATGAGTTGATTTAAGGTATGCATTGCACCATTGAATGCCGCTTCAGTGGTCTAGAGGTTAAGCGTTCTCATGAATAATCATAGGTCCTGCGTTCGATTCCTGGATGCGGGGTCATGGATGCGCCTAGATGAGATGTCTTATAATAGGGCGAGACAACCACCCAGTGCGTCCAAGTTTTCAATGGTAATCTAGCAATTGTGAAAACCAGCATCCTCCACAAATCCCCCTATACTGAGAAGATTTATTGTTGTTAGGAAGTCATACCCGTATGACAAGAAATCGTTTTTTCAAGTTTTTAGTCTCATGAACATGTATTTGGAAAAAAATGAGTTGATGACTTTGAAAATTTAATGAAATTTCAGTCCTAATACGTTACATTTATTTTATTTGTTTCTGCATTTATAAAAGGGAAACTTAAAAATTGTCATTATCATATGGAATTAAATAAATTATTGAGAAATTTTATAACTAGTTAAGAACTATTCGATTTTCCGGTGTGTAAATAACAATAATCGTAAGATATGAGTGCTTGTTATCACTCATTAAAATTTGAACATTATTTTATGAATTTAAGTGTAATAGTTTACTCCTTAGATAGCCTCGATGATTCTTCGGAAATCTCTTCACAGTGTAGGAAAGTGCTGAATATACTGTTACAAGTCAGTGTTCTTTAGAAATTTTCAAGGGGTATCTTTATTGTTGTGATTGATGATCTTGTTTTCCAGATGCATTTAGAACTTAAGGGTGAAATATAATTTTATGAATATGCTGCTTTTATGTACATGAACGAACCTTCGAGGTAAAGCATTCCCTATACTTTGAATTTGTGTTTTCTATTCGGTGTTTAGTGTAGATATCTGGAGACTAGAAAGTTAGCTTTTAAACATTGAACTACAAAAAGTTATTTCAATTTCTCAATGAAATCGTCGATGCTAACCTTTTTTTTACTTACAAATAGTACAATCTATTTATTTGTTGATAAAAATCAATTAATTTACATTATTCATTAATTGAATCTTGGTAATTGAAGTCGTAATGACAAAACTTTTCTATCCATAGTTCCAAAATGATTGTTCTGTACATATTTTACACCAGTCATTAGTTTTTTTCTTCATCGTTAAACTTTTTGTTTAAACCGGATAGGAGAAAAAACACTTGTTAACACTGCGAACTACTATTACTATATCAAGACCTTATAGGTAAACGTTAAGAAGTATCATATATCCACATCAGTCAGTTATAAACAACGTGTTTATGTGCAGCAATTCACGTTATCTTTTTATATCATCAACACAAATAGACGAATGTTTAAGTAATAAAAGTTTCAATGATAGTAAATAAAATATTAGATATAAACAATATAATTCGAGAAGAATAAATGAATTTACATAATAGAAAGGATGAGATTATTTTAAAACCTAAAATTTAAAAGAAGATGAATAGTGAATAGTCCTATGAGTTTGAGATCAATTTTGATCTATATCATTCAATGTCTCCCATTTCAATCCATTTAAAAATCATCTACTAATATATATATTTCTTCTTTGCTTTTATAGTCGTTGTTTTCAATGCGGTTGTGATATCAGTGGTAAAGTTCCATTCAATTACATGGATTATAATTTCTGTACATCGAATTGTTTAAAACAACATCGTTTAAAATCAATAAATAATAACAGGTAATACAATTTGTAAAAAAATAATCACCAACAAACTATTTATTGTTTTTGATTCAAAGACTTTTTTCTTAAATTTAACTTCTTTAATACATTGAAATGAAATGACAACCATTTTAGAATGATTTTTAAAATTATAATCATTCATGATTAATAATAATAATACTGAGATGGTGGAGAAGATTTGTAGCTCAAGTGGATGATTTTGATGGAGTTTTGTTCTCTGAGCTGGATGGTTTGGTCGTGGAGCTTTCATCATTCTTCTTCAGGTAGAAGTTCTACCTGAAGTTTGTGCCGGTGATGTCGTTCAGAAGAACGATGAAAGCTCCACAACCAAACCATCCAGCTCAGAGAACGAAACTCCATCAATAATAATACTATCATTATTATTATTACTATCATTATTATTATTAGTAGTATTATTATTATTCGTTTTGTATAAAATGAGATGAAATTGAAAGTGTTTATCAACATGAAAAGTGTATTTCCCAATTAAAAAACAAACAAGTGATTGAGAGTAATACTTTTATTATTATTATTATTATCATCATTATTTTCTTCATTAATGTGAATGAATTGTACACTATAGAGGAAATCAATAAATTGTTTCCTAAGTTTGAATAGTTGTTTCAATAATCACTATCCCTATTTTTTGATATTCATGAACGAATATTAAATCTAAATGTAATGAAATGAATATTCTAATTGACCAAGTATTTTGTCTTGTCGTTTATTTTAAAAATTGGAAATAACCGAAATCTACCGACTCATCAAAGTTGTTTGGATAACCGATGTGGATTGTATTTAGTAATGGATAATGTTATGTTACTATTGATTCCTGTTGTACAGTAATTGATTTAATAAGCCATCAAGGTTTGTAATTGTTAAAATGAATAAATATAATACTAACCAATGAATGAAATGCATTTATACGATGTAGTTACTCACGAGACCAGGTTATCGACTAAAAACTCCGAATTAAATGACATCAATGACAAACTCACTAGTCAAGGGAAGGGGTTTTTTCATCTTATAAAGTAAACAAATGTACACGCTAATCATAAACAGACGTTAATAGTAATTGGTGGAAATCAGTTTTGTATATCACTGACTCTCCAATGAATTAAGACTTGATTTACTGTTGCATATAATTCTTGCACACGTTATCAGTCCCGGTTCTTTAGTCCGTTATGTAAATCATCGAAGCAAATATATGTTCTTGTCGTGTAAAATCGAGCTTTTTTAAAAAAAATTGTATGGTTAACCAACCGGAAAAACCAAAAATATTTGTCGCCAGCTTGCTGTAGTAACTTCTTCGGTTCCATTTCCAGGTCGTATTTTTAATTCTTGTAATAAGCAGTTTGCCCAAGTGAGCATCCGTTCGTTTTCTCACATGTCAACAAAGGTAGTTAACAAGATGAAAGCAGAAATGTCGAGACAATAGTATCGGAGATGATCAATGAAATAGAATATAATTGGCAAACAACGAGTGAAACTGGGATTAGGGAATAGTAGAACCCGCTAATTAAAGACGAATATCGATGCTAAGTCTTCCTGTTCAGAATTTAAAACTATGGGTTTCGAATATCTCCAAGGTGTTCACAAATACCCTATTGCGCCTGAGGATGAGAAAGGTTTGCAATCTCTCAAAATGCTCTCATGCAGTTATGTGTTGGTAGTCTCTACCTGGTTGGAGTGCTAGTGATAGTATGTCTCGGTGATGTAAGACCTTATTAGATACAAATTAAAATAGAAGTCGATTATAATCTTGATGTAATTCTCTTTTACATCCTTAGTAAACTTGGGGGGAATTCGTTAAACTGAAAGAAGAATCCCTTAATTCTATTGATAATTGATTTGTACTTCATATTCTATACTGTTTGTTGTGACCTTAAAGCCAGGTTTTCATCACATGATTTATTCACCAATCGAAATACGACTTATTCAATATTAGAACTGTGCTAAACCAAAGACGTTCAACCGGTATGAGCAGCCTAACGTCCTTATTGGTCTTTTGTTCCCCCAGCCCATCCAGTTGAGTCCAGAACACCAATAATACTTTCAACTAAGCGAATAATTTATTCCAAACATACGCCGTTTATATACCAGCCAAACAGACCTCATCTCACCATAACATTTATACAAGATCAAGTCAAAAAGTGGCTGTGAACGTGGGAGACTGTAATCATCAACAAACTGAACATAACTTAGGAACAGTAAATCGTATAATAATAATAATGTATAGGTCAAAATGAAGCTTATAATATGAGAAATATAGATAATCTAGTTAGTGAATAATTATACCATACAAATATATGTATAATATTAGTCCACTAATAGTTTTCAGAAGTTACTCCTAAATTAATCTTCACTAGGATATGTGTTGTTGATTTTTTTCCTTCTTTGACTACGCTCCTTTATCTCTTCACAATGTGATCTCTTCATTTTCTCTGACCAGCCGTACTAGCTTTTATGTTTTCAATAATATAAATATTTAATTAAAACTGACGGAGATCTGAAATGTTACGTTTCGCATGTGACCTAGGTCAGTAGTTTAATGTCTTTTGCCTTTCTATTCGTCGCGCTTATCCAATGTAAACTTAGTTATCCTTTTACTACCAGTGCTAACGTACTCATCAGAAGAGAGCTGTACATATACTAGAAATGATAGAGAGTAATCTACAAAAGCCATAGTGTTTATGTGCTTGGTGACAGTGATTTAGTTGCCGAAATCATTTGATGTTTCAGTTACCATTTTTAGTCATTTTGAGACTTGAGCTTTTCTAATTAAATATTGTGCCGACAGATTTGTTTCAGTTGTATAATATGTAATTAACTAGGTGTTTGGCGTATCAATTGACATGCACATACATGATTCAGAAACAATTTTTCAACCCTGAACTTGCAGTTTTATTTATTTATTCCTTCATATTAACACCGAATATCAATAATTATTAACTTAATCTTACACATACAATTCGTTTTAATTTATTTATTTCTACGTCGTGGACTTTTCGCATGATTACTATGTAACTGACTCATGTTATCCTATTTTACAAAAATCAACATCCAAATGTGATTGGTTTAACACAGTATAGATTTGATTGTTAAAAGCTATATATTTCTTTGATGATTTTGATTATTACCCTGAAAAAGTCCAGACAAGTTAGCTGGACGAAACGTTGGAATTAGTTATATTTCAAGCGCTGAGATTATTTCAAATATAATTTTCACATAAAAATGTCTTCTCTATACTCGGCGCCCGATTCCTGTCAAACTATTCCTTCTAAACTTGACGGATATTCAAATAATTTCAATTTAATATTAGTACTTTAAGTCCTCCTACCAAACCACTGCAAAGCTGTCGATGTTTCCCCTTTTTTAAGAAGGGCACATGTTTATGACAAATGGAAAGAAATGATAGGAAAACCGACGGACATAATAAAAATTCTTAAAACAACTGCCTAAAACGTTTTGTTCAAAAAATAGGGAATAGTATTAAACATTACCAGTAAAGTACTCTAAAATCATTTACTGCAGTGGTCGTCAATCCACTAACGATACACATCTGAAGAAATCAGAAGAGCACCCAACAAATTCAACACCATGGTATACTTTAGGGAGTCAGCCTAGTTCCTATAAAAGATGTGGTTTCGAAGGATTCCCAGTTATTGTGTCTGCAAAATATCCAGACTGACGTAATATGCATCGGACAAATGTCTCTGAAAATCAAGGTCAAAAGTTATCATCGTAGATCTGTTAAACTACTTGGACAGCTTTTTGATTATAGGTCTACACGTCACAACATCGGGCCACAGAACAGTAATTTAATCATCGACACAAAAGATAATCTGATTCAACACCCCTCCCTTAAACTAACATTGTGAATACAAATGTCGTAAGAAGCCTTTTTTCACATTAACGCTTTCTGGTTTTGGAATTTATGCACTTATCAAAGAATCTATACGTGTCTGTTCTCAATTATTCATTCATTCGACACCGCAGGATTATTTCATACAGAAGGACTTTGTTCGAGTTGTGATTTACAAGTTGGTAGTCTTGTAAATTCTGTTTTACTGTAACTTAGGTAAAAACCATCAGAATTAATTAATGAAACGTAAATTTTGTTTCTTTCTCACTCATTGGAAAGTTCTAATTCATGATAGCAGTATTTGTATAAAATTTTAGCAAGGTAACCTAGAACAGTTACTTTCTTAGATAATGGATAAATAATACGACAGCTTGTATTAGACTATTTATATTAGACAGTATAAATGTTCGATTCATTTAAAACCATAAAGAATATGTGCAGAAAACGTATGGTGGGGTATTTATGGTAAGTATATAAGTATCAACAAACATATTTAACAGTTTTCTTCTGTTCTGACACTTTTCATTGTATAAAAGCTCGTTTGTAAAGTTTAATTTTCTCTCACGGTTATTTTTGCTATGTCTTCTTCAGATTATTCTCTTAGAAACACGTCACAAAAAATTAAATAAACTTATGGACTACGACAATTAATCAATATTTCATCAATGAACTCTCAGATTACGTTCTGTGATAAAAGATAATTATTAATATAGTCATTTTTTCGTGGGATTTGTCCATACAACTTATTCTGAGTTTTTCCACGTCTTACTCATAGTTAGGATGCATTTCTTTAAATAATTTCATATTCTATGGTGTTATAGTTACAGACCATTTCAAAAGTTTTTCTTGAGTAATCAATTTTTAGTCACCATCTGATGATAACAGCATATTAGTAGCATTAGGGTAATATATTACTTACTTACTTACGCCTGTTACTGCTCGTGAAGGAGCATAGGCCACTCACCAGCATTCTCCATCCAACCCTGTCCTGAGTAATCCTTTCCAGCTCCTTCCAGTTCCTATTCATCCTTTTCATATCTTCTATTATCCGACGTAATGTGTTCTTAGACCTTCCTCTTTTCCGTTTCCCCTCAGGATTCCAAGTTAGGGCTTCTCCCGTGATGAAGTTTGACGATTTGCGTAGTGTATGTCCTATCCATTTCCATCGTTTTTTCCTAATTTCTTCTTCAGCTGGAAGCTGATTTGTTCTCTCCCACAAAAGGCTGTTGATGATGGTATCCGGCCAATGGATGTTGAGTATCTTGCGGAGACAACCATTTATAAATATTTGTATCTTCTTGGTGGTGGTTGTTGTAGTTCTCCAAGTTTCAGCTCTGTACAGTAGAACTACCTTGACGTTCGTATTGAAGATTCTCACTTTGATATTGGTTGAAAGTTGTTTTGAGTTCCATATGTTCTTCAATTGTAGGAATGCTGTCCTTGATTTGCCAATCCTTGCCTTTACGTCTGTTCATCGATGACGCTTCCCAGTTATGTGAAGGGTTCGACATCTTCCAGAGTTTCGCCATCAAGAGTGATTGGATTGCTGTTCTCCGCCTTGAATTTGAGGACCTTGGTTTTCCCTTTGTGTATGCTGAGGCCTACTGATGCAGAGACTGCTGCCACACTGGCTGCCTTCGTCTGCATCTGTTCGTGTGTATGCGATAGGAGGGCTAGGTCATCTGCGAAGTCCAAATCGTCTAATTGATTTTGAGCTGTCTATTGTATTCCGTGTTTTCCTTCAGATGTCGAGGTCCTCATAATCCAGTCGACCACCAGAAGAAAGAGAAAGGGAGAGAGTAAACAGCCTTGTCTTACTCCGGTCCTTACTTGGAATGCATCTGTCAGCTGTCCTCCATGCACGACTTTGCATTGTAGTCCGTCGTATGAGTTCCGGATAATATTGACGATCTTCTCAGGAACTCCGTAGTGTCGTAGAAGTTTCCATAACTTCCTCCTATCCACACTGTCAAATGTTTTTTCATAATCAATGAAATTGATGTATAGTGACGAGTTCCACTCAACTGATTGTTCGACGATGATCCGTAGTGTTGCAATTTGGTCTGTGCATGATCGGTCCTTACGGAATCCAGCTTGTTGATCTCGAAGTTGGGCGTCTTTCATCCGGTTCAGCAACACTCTGTTGAAGACCTTCCCTGGTATTGACAGTAGTGTAATGCCTCTGTAGTTTTCACATTTACTCAAGTCTCCTTTCCTTGGAATCTTGATAACTGTCCTTCTTTCCAGTCTATCGGCACTTGTTCCTCCTCCCAAATCTTTTTGAATAGAAGGTAAAGCGTTTGTAGTTACTTCGATGTCTGACTTCAGTGCTTCGGCTGGTATGTTGTCCGGTCTCGCTGCTTTCTCGTTCTTGATTTGTCTGACGGCCATTTTGATTTCTTCCTTCATTGCTGGGTTGACGTCTATGTGAAGATCTGTGTGTGCTGCTTCGATGTCCGGTGGATTCATTGAAGCCGGCGTATTCAGAAGTTCCTCAAAGTATTCTACCCATCTGTTCCGCTGTTATTGAATTTCAGTGATTGGCTTGCCTTCTTTGTCTTTGACCGGTCTCTCTGGTTTATTGTATTTCCCTTCGTTGTATCGTAAAGCTGTTTCATATTTCCTTCTCCTCCAGCTTGTTCCGTCGTCGTTGCTAGTTTTTCTATGCATTTCTTCTTGTCGGCTCTAACACTCTCCTTCACTTGCTTGTTTGCTTCTGTGTGTTCAGCTTGTGCTTGGACTTTCTCTGCTCGTGTTCGGCTGTTGTTAATTACTGCCTTCTTGTTCTTCCTTTCTTTGATCTTGTCCAGTGTTTCTATAGAGATCCACTCCTTATGATGGTGTTTCTTTAGACCCAGAACCTATTGACACGTTGAAGTTAATGCTTCTTTGATACTTTTCCAGTTATCCTCCATAGTAGTTTCTCCTTTCAGTAGATCTTGTAAGGCTTGGAATCTGTTGTTGAGAGCTATCTTGAATTCATTGACTTTGTCAGTATCTCGAAGGAAGGCTGTATTGAACCTTTGTATTGCTGTTTGTCCAGTTGTCCAGTTCTTTTTTAGTTTCAGTTTTAAATTGGCTACAACTAGGTGGTGATCTGAAGCTATGTCAGCTCCTCTCCTGGTTCTCACATCTTCCATTGTCCTTCGGAATTTTTTGTTGATGCAACTATGATCTATCTGGTTCTCTGTGATGTGGTCCGGTGAGATCCATGTAGCCTTGTGTATAGGCTTGTGTGGAAATATTGTGCCCCCTATGACCAATTTGTTGAATGTACATAGATTTGCAAATCTTTCTCCATTTTTGTTTCTCTGTCCAAGTCCATGTCGTCCCATAATATCTTCATATCCGGTGTTGTCTATTCCGACTTTGGCATTTAGATCTCCCATTAGAATGGTGAGGTCCTTTCTTGGGTATTTCTCTATGATTGACTGTAGCCGCTCGTAGAATTGATCTTTAATGTCGTCGTTGCTATCATTGGTGGGTGCATAACATTGGATAATATTCATTAAAATCCCCTCCTTCTTTGTTTTGAACGATGCTTTGATGATTCTGGATCCGTGAGATTGCCATCCTACAAGTGCATTTCGTGCTTCTTTGGACAGCATTAAAGCAACTTCCTGAGTGTGTGGAGCATTTTCCTCTTCGTGACCGGAGTATAGCAGCATCTCTCGCGTATTTAGCCTTTGTTGTCCAGTTTGGGTTTCACTGATTCCCAGTATTGCCAAATTGTATCTCCTCATTTCCGTTGCTATTTGACTGGTCTTCCCGGTCTCCCACATTGTTCGAACGTTCCATGTACCCACAAAAATTTTTGCTCTGGTTGTTAGAAAGGGCATTGTATTCGTGACTTCCGAATGAACTCGGCTTTCACCATGAAGCATCATAATTCTTCTAAAAGAAGACCTAACTCTCAGGGCAGAGTTAAAATGGTTTGATTTACTTTTTCCGGTGAGCGTTTTTTAGCGAGTTAGTTTTCTACGGGATGGGGAAGCTAACCCCATGCCCAACCCTGCTTTTTCACCCGGGATTGGGACCGGCAGCAACTCTAGAAGAGCTACAGGCGGAGTTAGAGTAATGTATAAAATAGCCTTAACCACAGAGTAACAGAATTTTTCAAGGAACAGAAAACTACTATGCTAGTCGAGTAATTGTGAAACAAACTTATACGCGATCTCAATTTGGTTGCAATAAAATTGTCGTTTTCAACTGGTATTTCGAAAAATCGGTCACTTGTTCAATTCCACTTAACCAGCAATCGGTCTACAGTTGCTCTATATATGACGTTTGTCACGTAGTTCCATTTCTTTTTTCATGCTTTTCGCTGTCCTCGTTTGCAATTTCTTCTTAAAATAGTGTAATTTAATGACGGATTTCAAATTTTCGACAAATTCATTTTTCCGGTAATACAACGGTACGTTCCAGCACAAGAAGTTGAACATCAACATTTATCTCTAAATTTATACTATTCAATTATAATAAAAGAGATTGCATTTTTTGTTTCAAAATCGTGAAAGTAAGACAGTTTTAGCTTCCATTTACTTTACATGAAAAATTAACTGGTTGATTAAATTAAGTAATTCTAGTAGATGTGTTTATAGTTTAATAAAATAATGACCATAAATATTATCATTAGACTGAAGCATCAAGCTAATGTAGATTTCACAATTTTATAACACATTAAATAATTGATTGAGTCACATTTTGCATAGTTGATTTTCAGTTGACCTATTCTATGATCAAATGACCATGTAAGACCAAATTTTGTTGATGAATTTGTTGTCCATCCATCACATCCAAAAGTAATACCACCTCCAAGCCAGAAGTTTCTGTTTTTTTAATGAAAACAAAGAAAATGTTTTATTTATTTGGAGTTTAATACTTTATCATATTAATGAGTATTTGAAATCATTTCAATGAAGTTTATTTTTTGATAGTTGAGATCATCAGTCAATTGAAGCTAGATCACCATGGAAAACATGAAAGCACTGTATGACCGTTTCTTCATATCATAGGGCTTCTTAACAGTGCTCATCCACGATCCCGCCTCGCAAGAATCAAACTATCTATCGATCTCGCGTGTGAACGCTTAACCTCTAAACCACTGAACCGGCCGGCATCAGATGGTGTTAATGTCTAACTTCAACTAATCCACGAAATTGAGCGACATATCCACCATTGTATTCAGTGAGTTACTATCTGACAACAGACCCGGTTGAACTCCACTGGTCATTGCTTCTCACTAGAACAAACACTGATTGTTTTTAAAGGTATATTTTACTTAGTTATTGTTTGTTCAGACACAATACTGATGAATGAATCAAGCTAATCATGTGATGTGCTCCATAGTAACCCAATAATAAATAGATCAATTGATCTAAATTAACTTTTAAAGCATGTAAATATTGTTAAATGAGATATTTGTTATTCGACACAAGCCATTTTTATTAACTTTAACTTTGATGATATTTGAATACTATGGTTTCGTCTTCTAGATGGGTATATTTTTTGATAATAATCCCTGTCAAATACTTGTAACTACTTGAAATTGGCTATAAATTAGAATGTGTTAGAGGTAATTTATCGATGCTTGAGAATGAATTATTGTAATTTAGGAGTCTAAATTATGCTATATTAGCTTAATAGTGCATATTTTCCTTAGGGAAATTATCATTAGTTAATGGATGTAGTTTTACTGCACTAAACATCCATTTCAATCAATTTATTTAGATAATTTATTAAATGTGCTAATGAAATGGGTTGAAGAACCTGACCAATAAGTTTTCTGCCCATACAGATGCTATTAAATAATAGTGTCATATAAAAAGTGAACAACTTTTCTTTTCTATCAACGGATAAAACACATCAGAAATCGATGCTTAGTGGGTTGGAGGTGGTTGACAGGAAATCTTACATCTAGACTTCATGTTAGATAGTACTCGTTAGGAGAGTGTACCTAAAGTACTGAGGGGATTGATGCTCCACAAAGGACTTAAACTCGTATCACCCAGCTTCACAGTTTGGGAAGCTATCATTGAGAGACTGGATCAGTGAGTGACCCCCAGTAGGACTGAGATTTTTACTTTGATTAATCATTGACGTGTGTTTAGTGTCATATTTTTCTGGTCTTTTAATGTTGATCGAATTTTATTAATCAACTTGTAAGGTAGCCACTAGTCTAAGTGATATGATATAGCGTAGTCTATTATTTAATGTCAGATTATTAAACTTGATAAATATGACATTGGTCGCTACTCAGTGATCAATCAATGTGATTATCAGGCATTAGCTAACTTACACTAAAAATTACCAGTAATTCTTCGATAATCTTTACATTTTTTCATTATTTAAATTTAGTATATTTACATCGTAGTCAGTCAGCTACAACGTAGGACCAGGCACATATATAATAAATTTATATTCTGAAAAATAATAATTACAGAATTCACGCCAGTTTACAGGCATGATCAATTTGATATAAGTAATAACGTTAAACGTGCAGAAAACATACATATGATAAAAGAAAGTTTTAAGTGTACTAGTTCACTGGTTGTTTAAGTAGTACAAGTATTACAGCGATCCAAAGCATTATCCGGGATTTTTTAATATTTCTTAAATGGACAGCCTGTTGATTTATGAACGGTGTAATTATGGTCAATTCGTGTGCCGGTTCAAGTTGTCACACCTCATTAGTACAACGAGATGGACAGTAAATTCATGAAAGTAGTTACTTCAATGGTAATAATGCATAAAAGAAGGATTGTGTATAAGGATATAGCACAGGGAGAAAGAATTAGAAAAAAGGTATAAAGTAATTTTAATCTCACGATTTAAGGGAAGGAAAATGGCATATACACCTACGCGATTATGATCAATTCTGGGCCATATCACTCTGAGTCTCCAAACACTGGTTACGATAGTCACGCGGACCACAACCAAGTAGTCTGTATCTACTAATATGGCTCAGATTAGAAGTTAGTGACTTCAATGACTGATACCACGTTTTGGTTTGGTCGCCCTTAAATTTCTTCCAGCCGTCTCCTACACTAGTCAGCATTGCGCGTCGTGGTAAACGGTGTTCAAGCATACATAATACGTGGTTCAACCATCTTGATCGATGAAGATTTACAACCTCATCAACTGATTTACCGCTATCATTCCTTAATACCCTAAATCTAAACCTCATTATTACTTACCCGATGATCCTACTAGATGTGTGCTATATTGTCCCCTAAATAATCTCATAATATATTTACGAATTCGAAACAACTTGTATAACTTATAGAGATGTGACATGTATGTTTTTTTCGGCTTACTTTTAATCATTTTGAAAGTTTAATGTAATGGGAATTCATTCAAAAGGAAAACTTGGATTTTTGATATTTTTGAATAAGTAAAATGATACATTAATTTGAAGTTAGGCATCCTATATACAGTTATTAGGAATTGTGTAAATAATGTATATGAAGCGTAACAAGGCATTATTATGAGATTTACTTACTTAGAGTGAACTTGTAAATCAGGCATACCATATAAATCGTACAGTGGTACGTTTATATTCGAACGAATACCATATAGGAAATCTCTCCATTTCGAAAATACAGTTTGACTCTGTAATGATTTATTTATATATAAGTAGTAGTAAACAAATGTCAGCATTTTTCACAGCACAAAACAATTAAGTTTTACAAAATGGATAAAACACATGAAAATTTTATTCACTGTTCAAAAACTAGACAATTAACCAAGTGGACACTCGACAAATATCATACTTGACTGAAATAGTGGGAATACAAATGGATTTTACAATAGAATTATGGAAATGAATGTTATATAAATTAAATTAATAAAAATGAATGTTGGCTATCGTACTTAATGAATAGCACACAAATATTACAATGAATTAAGATGAATGTTGTGAACACTATCATATTACAATACTGATATGATGCTAAGAAAAGTCAAAATTAGATGGATTTACTCATTATAAGTTTTGTTCGACATTACTTCCGTTTTGATTCAATGTGATGATTATCCAGTGTAGTATTCAGTTTTGTTTTCTCGTATGATATTTTCTACTAGGGTCGTCGTCGCCGTCATGGTTTGGGGGTTAGTAAATCTTCACTTATACCAGTCTTTGTATTCTTACTTTCATGTCGTGGGAATTGCAAATGTCCCTCATTCGATTATAAGTGATAAGCGTTAACGACACAACAGTTAGCGACGATAAGATATAACAAGTAGCGTTCAATCAACAAAACATATCAAATACTAACTAGTTAATCATTAAAAATCTGACAATGTTAATCAATTTCTTCATTTTTTATTGGTAAGAGCTCATCAAGTTAAAACGGTCTCTAAATCTCTACATTTGTGAAGAGGAAGGTGATTAATTTCACCGTTTGTCGTTTAAAAACGAAGTGATCGCTTTGTAATTTGTAATGAAAGATACCTAATAATTTGACTGTGATTTCTAGTGCAATAACCCTTTCAGAGAATAATGAAATCGTTAATAGTCCTTCATAATTACACAAAAATATATCGACCGATCAACCTTACTGAAAAACTTCCGAGTGAAACTTAGAACAATTGATTATGCCCTCATTTTCCTGATTGGGCAAGTATCGATATTATTACCAAATTAAGTATTAACAGAAGCTTCTAGAATATCAAGGTCACATTTAATCCTAAAAATAACTCTCGGTCTTTGTACATGCGGTAACCTTTGAAGTAAAGTTTCTTCTATACTTTCAGCACTTTGTTTTCTGCGTAGGGGTCAAAGGTGGAAGACACCTGATGACAATATGATGATTAGAAAATCAGACTTATTAAAAATATAGTGTGTAAAATAATAAGGTGAAATTACTATTTGTTTCAAGTTTGTTGAAAGAAAATACTTACACCTAGATTTATAATAGGTACATGTTGATATTGCCATTTGATAAGACGTTCTATTGGAAAATTTGTGTCTACAAGAAGTACTTTAAAACCAGGTATTCCAAGATGATGAAGAGCAGTTTCATGACACTTCGTATTGGCTCCATGCCATCCTGAAAATGATCCTCCAGTCAAAGGAACAGGATGAAATGCAAATACTATCTGAAACGACAAAAAGAATCAGTAAAAATTGAAATCGCTAGTGTATTCGACGAATATGATTTAATGGTCTCAAGGAAGATAAATTAACTAAAATACTTCGCAACTGTCGTTCTCTTTAGGATCATTTGGAGTCACTGAAGATATCGTGTTAGAAATAGATGCATGCTGATCCAGTAGAATCTCAATGGTCAAAATATATTTATATTAGCCAAAAAGTTGTATTCTCCTAATGTTCTTAGTTATTAACCTAAAAGAAACGTCTGTTGAACTGTTCCTCAGGTTCAAAACGAATGTATTTTAATCAAAAATGTAAAAAAATTGTAAATGATAATGCCATATATCAGCCAAACATTTTTTAATAACTCAGAAATATTACATCTGAAATAGATTGGATTGAATAAAATTTGATCAGCCTTGGTTAGTATATGTGCATCCATTACGACATAAATTAGCAGAGAATAGATGGAATATAGATAACAGTATGATCTAGGACGTGCATTTCGTTCTACTTGAGACTTTCCTGCATTGGCTTGGACGTCCGGGTATTATCCAAGCCCTTATGCAAATCGACTGGAGCATATATATTCGGTGCGTTTTGTACCAATATTTGTGTGTTTAAATAAAATAAATAAGACTTTAGCCGGGTTCGAGTCCCTGAGTGAATATCAACTCTGGAATGCAGGTAAATTCAGTTGACGAGTACCGAATAGAAAGAAATGGGAGTTCTTGATTCTACTGCCAGATGTTTCTTATCTACTCTTTGGAAATATTTCTTGTATTTTGAACAGAGAAATATAAGACTACCAACTATGGAAAAATAACATTAAACTATTAAATATAGTTCTTTAATTTCAATTTAATTAACTAACGATTTTTTCCATGGAATTTATGATTCAAAACAAGTGTTTCTTGAGATAATTCTAAATCTTCAAATCCATTAAGAAGTAAATAACAATCAGCTTACTTTTTCTCTATATCTGAGGGTATAAGTTTTAGATGAAGGTTCTTTGGATGATGAACTGTTGTAGATTTGTAAATTAGGCTAATTCAGGAATTAAGAACAAAACATATAATTGTTTATCATTGATTCGGAATACACTTCCTTACACAAAAATCATTGATGAAAGTATGTAGCGAAGTCAGAAATAAAATTTTTGATATTTCTAATTTGATGTAGTCTTCACCATTAATCCCTTTATTAACACAAGCTGTATGTTTTATTCGTTTCTGTTAACTCATAAACGTCTAGATGCTATTCGGTATGGCTTGCATTTTATTGGATTACTTGGTTTGGAAGTACATGGATCTTATCTAGATTGGTGCATACTAGCTTCGGAAACCCATGAACCACTATGTTATTATGTATTTGAGTGTTTACGGTATGTTTTGTAGCGTCCTTTCTTACCGAACAAGGTCATTATGTCAATCCCTAACGTCCGATGATCCCCTGATAGTTGGCTTACGAGTTATCAAAAACACTTTCACCTTGCGTTTGCAGGTCAACATGACTTTTAATGGAGGGGTTGTTTCATAGTATTTGGCCAAGATAAACATTTCAGATAGGATATTACCAATACCTCTCGTTGTCTACAGCTCGTGCGTATAGAGGCTTGGCGTACTGTGGGATAGTAAGTAAATTTATTAATATATTTACACTTTAATCGAAGTGGATTGCGGTTATTCCCGGGGTATTGACGTCCGTGGCCACATATCTGACAGATTAGAACGACGGGGACTGGATGCTCATAGTGAGCTCGTAATATCGGAAAAATAGCTTAGTGTTACAGAGACCTTTCTTGCACAGAAGTTGAATAATCAATATAGGGTCTGTTGTTTTTATTAGTGAGGCGCATACGATACAATCATCGCCATTTTGTCCTAATCATCAAAGTTATTAGTTTTCGAAGGTCTTGTTCATGTATGCTCTTTCGTCCCGAATTTTTATTGGTTGCTAATGGCACTGAAGAAATAAAGCTGCGTCGAAATGATGCGCTTGAGTCGTCCCGTGGGGGTCAGTGCTCTGTCTACTTTCAAGAGATGTGTCTTTCAACCTTGGTTTAGGGTTCCTAAGAATCCTTTGTTTTGAGATTGGGATACTTGGCTTATCACTGAACCTTGTGGCAGGATTTTTATAGTTCATCCTTGTTTTTAAGGAGTAAGAACTAGCAGAGACACGGACAACGTGCATTGCACTCGATGATTGAAAAGTAAAGATAATAAACGTTAGTATTCAAAAGGGATATGTTTTTAAATACTGCATAGATTCAATCTCTTAGAAACATTTAAACATGCAAGTTTACCTTTACCACCCCCCATCAGTCGACTTAATGTGACCAAAGCAAGTGCTCCACACATCCTGTGTTTGCAGGTGGTTGCAACGAAATCAGTCACTTAATTGAGTTGTACACTAACAGAACAATGATGGTTTCACATTCACCAACCCTTAATGAAAAATTTTCATCATTTCCCCTTATACAACACTATCATTTATCCTTCAATGGTATTAATTGTTTTAAAAATGATATCACAGGTTATAACGACTATAATTGTTGGGAGCGATTAATCTTTCTCTTAATTATGGGTTATAATAGTCGAACAAGTGCAAACTTGGATTCAGCTTCGAACATGGTCACGACCACAGAAAATTTGGTCATAACTATGTTGTTTTAAATTGACTTGGTGTTGTTTTACTTATATCTTCCCATTGTTATTTAGGACCAATCGATCAGCCTCTTGTTGGCATATGTGCATCCTGTGCGGATTGCCCGGATATAGCTTTAAGTCACATGCTTTTTAAGCAAAGATGGATAATTCGAGTCATGAAGTGAACATCAACTCTGAGATGCAGGTAAATACAGCTGACGAGTTCGAAATAGGACGACACGTGTGTCCTGGATCCCAGTACTAGCCATTAACGATCTTTGCTTAAAAAGCGTGTTGTTTATTTAATCACATTTCTGTCTCTAGGAGTATTAAAGAGAATTTGAAAAAGGGGAACTTATCACCATTTTTCGGTTTTTGATTTTTATTTCTATAAAAATCAGAAACTGTTATTCGATCCGCTTTCTTTTATCATAAGCCCTTTAAGGTCGTAACTTTTAAATGAGATATTTTTTACTTATATAATTATGATTGTCTTCTTTTTAAGAAGAAAAATGATTAAAATTGTCTTAAAATAATTAAAAGTTGTAAACTTACATCATGTTGACCAAATGTTACTTCTTGTCCGAATTTCTGTGTGACATTTTGCATCAAAAAACAAAAATAAAATTTTTTAAAAAATTAAGATGATAAACCTAACTGAACATAAACTTGCAAGTTTAATTAAGAATCCAAGTTTTTAAGTGATTTATTCTTAGAAGGCGAGACTATAATTTATGGATGAATCAATCAAGTATAAGATAACAGGTCTCAGATTTTGAATGAAATGGTTCAAAATCGTTTGAACTGGCGCAGATGCATCCACTCTTTGTGTTCTCCCAAATTTTGATCTCCTTATTCCTCCTTGTCTTTTTTTCTCTTTCCAAATTTATTTCTCTGGACTATACTCCTTGAATAACATCTTCGAATCCTAATCTTTTCGATTGCTGATTATACTTTTTCTACCTCTACCACTATGGGATTTGAATCGACATTTGTATCTGCGTGCTAATGTGGTATGGCAACTCGAACTGATGTACGTACGTACAAAGTCCTACGTTTTTGCTGACTGACTCTTTGATTGCGGCGCGAAATCCATTCATCCATTTGAGTAAATGGAATCTGGGCATTATAGCTGATGTCAGTTCGCGATGAAAGATTAAGTTGAAAAATAATTTTACAAATTACAAATAAACAGTCTACCTGTCCGCGTCGAATTGGATACGATTTTGGACATTGTATTACAAATGTGTCGCAGATGTTATTAACCAGAATACTTAGAAAAATTTCTGTTTCGAAGGTTGTTCAAACCACCGTTGATGAGCATACTTGTGTTTTCCGACTATCCACACATCGTCGAGACTATAATTTATGGACGAACCAATCAAATTTACGATAACAGGTCTTCAATTTTGATCGATTTATATTTGGCTAGATATAGTTTCGGTATTGTAGCTGATGCCAGTTCATGATGAAAACCCTATATGCAGTTTCTAACCCTAACTATCAACTGTGAATATTCATCCTAATTCCTCACATTTGTTTATAACCCTCATTTAACCGTAGTACGTAGGTGGACATTCTCAAGGTGTTATTAGCGTCGCTCAAATGTCGTCCATAAATTGTAGCCTCACCTAATCATTTCAAATATTTATTTATAATACAGGATTCTGAGCACAAAATATGCACTATTGTAACTAAGCCTCTGTGTTGTAATCATTTGACATGTGAATATTTTGAGAAACTATGTACAAAAAAGCTTATCAGCAATGATTAACTGTTATTCATGTTCATCCGTGAATGTTTGCCACCAGTTTTCGTCATTTATAAATTTATTTTTTGCATTGAATGTTATATTTAACATATGAAGACAAAGTGATCAACCCTTGTTTCCCTTGACGATAATCAAATAGGGAAATATATCTGTTACTACAGTCGTTCTGCTTAAATATTGTTGATGTATGACTACTGAACGTAAATGTGATTGGTCACTAAGTATGAACAAAGATAAATTCAGCTAACTCATTAATAAATGTGAGATTTCCTTCGCTATTATTGATTCCTAGTCCTGGCTTTCAGAGTGTAGACTGTTTATAATTGCGTCGAATAAAGTACTGTCTAGTCTATACTCTGGTTTTCTATTTGATACAACTTGACCCAATCTATGTATAAAATATTGATCAAGTCAGCAGTCTAATGGTAGCAAACTCCCGTTTCACCCTTTCTATCAATTATATAATTTGGTTTCGTGATAGGTTGTAGGCTTTCTATACAAAATCAAGACTGAATTATGGTGAACATATGTGATTTATTAGTTAAGATTAACTGGGAAGTTAAGAAGAATGTTATATCTTCTTTTCAAAATAATGGCGGTTCAGTTGTCCTAGTTCGTTGTCGATACCACCATTATCATTAGGAAAGAATATAAAATATGTCCCCTTAAAAAGAGTCTGTTTTCAATAACAATTAAACCCTAATCAGCTCAACTTCATTAAGAAACTATGGTGTTTATAACGAAATCACATTCAAGATCAGATTCCAATAACTTTCTGAACGCTTGTTCCTTTCAGAATTATTACTCGTTCTGTTTACTTTATGAAATGTTTTAAATTATTTGGAAAAAAGAAACACTACTTGAACAACATGACTGATTGATGTAAAGAATACATTCCAAACTTGATTCTTAAATAAACTTACAACATGTATTCTTTTCCATGTATTATGAATATTTTCAATTTTCATAAATAAACCCAATGAACTAAGTTGATCCAATTGAAATTTCTTATTTAAATCCCATTTAGATGATTGATTATCATTTGCAAATGATAATACTTCATAATTGAAGAATTCAGTAACAACTAATGCACCAACTGGTAGAATTGAACCAATAGTTTTGAATTCATTAGGATTATGAAGTATTTTAACCTTTTAGATTAGGGAACATAAAAAGAAGTTTTGATAAGTATCAATATCAAGATTGAACTTGATAGTATTAAGTAAATTGAGCATTGCGTAGATAGATAATAGTTAAATTCATCAGTCAATTAAGGCTAGACCACCATGGAGAACATGGAAGCACTGGACTGGCGTTTCATCCTAGTATGACAATCCTCAGCAGTGGGCACCCACGATTTGATCTTAGGACCATGGGTAGTATCGTGGATACACACTGCTGAGGAGTCCCACAATGGAACGAAACGGTTGTCCAGTGCTTCCAGGTTCTCCATAGTGGTCTAGCCTCAAATGACTGATGAATTCAGCCATAAAGAATTACTAAAATCGCAAAAATACCCATTCTGATAATAAAATTAATGATAAATATATAACATATACACCACATTGAGTAAAAAAATTGTATTTCTGACGTTTTGCAACCTAATACAAGCTGTTTCTTCAGAGTAAATAAATAAACGAATTAAACTAACATAAGTTTAAGTTGTACAAATGAAAGAATGTACTGTCTAAACTTGTGTTGATTAAATCCGATTATTTATTTACTCTGAGGAGGAAGCTTACGGTAGGTCACGAAACGTCAGAAATACAATTTTTATTAGAGTTTTGATAAATAAAAATAATGCAATGTCAAGAAATCTTAACATAATTGACAAAATACCTGAACATATCGGGCATAATGTTGATTACGTAAGAATTTAAAAATGATTTACGTATCTCTAGACATTTGAGGCGTAAATCATCAGTTTCTGTTAGTACATGATTAGCATTATCTGTAACATAATAATGGTAAAAATAGTGCTTGCTTTATTCAATATCATGTGTTTAATTACAGTAATGAATTCTCATAATGGAATATGTAATACCTTAAATAAAATTCCAGTTTGATAAACATTTGATTTTTAAATTGTTACACAATATACATCAAATGTCTTTAAACAGTGACATTCATATCTATCCACAAATTTTTATGGACCGGTCTTAGTCCTCTAGCACCATTTTTCATCATTTAATATATTTGATATATAAATTCTATAATAATTCTGTGTGATTTCGTCAAAGAACAGATAGGGTGAAGGTTAGACAAACCACAGTGGTGGTTCTTTTCAAGTCTCTCAATGATTAGATTTTTGACAGTTGGCCGATATAGTGAATAAAGATAAATTTAAAACAAGGAAATTTCTATTCATAAATTTATACTTGGAAAACTGAGGTTAAAACCAGTTGTTGATTTCTATAACTTACACCTAAAACTTTTTGTTTTTCTAAATTTGGGAAATTTGATCCAGTGAATAAGACACTTGAATCATGTGTTGTTTGATTCAAAGGATGTTTTAAATGTTTCTTATTTTCTTGTAAAGGATGAATTCGAGAAGTTAAATGGTCATAATCTTGTTGTTGTCCCCGTTTGCGTCGATGAAAATTTCTATTATTCTGTGAAGATATTCTTCTCTGAATGAATTTTCTCTGAATCACCTCACCTTTATCTCCTTTTTGACCTTTGGGAAAATAATTTGATGACTACAAACAGAAATGAGAAGTAGATAATGCATCATCTAAATTGTCTATTTATTATCTAAATCTTATTAATTTAAAAAAAAGCTAAATAGCTTTCTACCTTTAAAGTTAATTTTCTTCATTTGGAACTCTTCAAAAGTATTCATTCATATTCATACATCTTAGCATATGTGTTATCTTTAAACATCTTTTTATTCATCCATTGCATCATATTTCCAACTTCAATCAATCAACAATATTGTTCTCGACCAGCATTCATTGTTACTAATGTTAAATGACTGAAATGCAAGATGCTATACGCTATTATGTACTGAGCTAGTGAGCAAATGTTTGTGGTGTTTATCGGTAAACATTAATTCCTAAGCTTAATATCTAACCGGTTAGCAAGTGTCTAATAGTCTTAAAATAAGAGAAAATAACTATTAAAATGTGCCTTACATTTTAGTAATTGTCTAGTAAAAGTCAAGCTGTGCTCTAAACGATCTTTAAATAATAAGCTATGAAGACTAACATATTGTTTATTTCCAGTTTATCCATTTAAATAGTAGATTTACTGTCAGTAAGAAAAATTAAAAATCACTAGCTTCATGATTACCATTCAATCATTTATCTCATTTCAATAACGAAACAAATGAACAATCATACCTTAATAGTTGATATCATGAGTCAATTGAAGCTAGAGCACCATGAAATACCTGAAAGCACTGGACGCCCGTTTCGTCCTCATGTGGGACTCCTCAGAAGTGCACGTCCATGATCTTGTTTCGCGAGATTCGAACCCTGGAACGAAAATCTCGTCGATGTTGACTAATGTATTCAATTTGATACACGAAGTTCAGCAAAAGGATGTCTTTTTAACGAACTTATTATCAAGCTGTACAACTGTATGAACAAGGAATAAACATGACGATACGGTTAAACAGCTTGATAATGAATTCGTTGAAGAGATCCTTTTGCAGAACTTCTAATATTTAATGTATTACAAGTTATTTGACATTTTAAATATTTCATTTAAACTTGTCAGATATTTAATTGGTAATAATTTAAACTTACTGTAATGTTTACAGTGTATTTAATTAGTTGTAAGGCCTTTGAATATGATAATATTAGAGTATCTCCCATATCACCTTTTAGACCCTGAAATTAACAATAAATTATCAATCATATTAAATAAATAAATGTCAATCCAAGTTAAAGCTACACATGAGAACGAAAAATATCACTTTCTATCAAATATTTATCAAGTTTTTGTTATACTTTAGTGAAGATTAATTTAGGAGTAACTTCTGAAAACTATTAGTGGACTAATATTATACATATATTTGTATGGTATAATTATTCACTAACTAGATTATCTATATTTCTCTTATTATAAGCTTCATTTTGACCTATACATTATTATTATTATACGATTTACTGTTCCTAAGTTATGTTCAGTTTGTTGATGATTACAGTCTCCCACGTTCACAGCCACTTTTTGACTTGATCTTGTATAAATGTTATGGTGAGATGAGGTCTGTTTGGCTGGTATATAAACGGCGTATGTTTGGAATAAATTATTCGCTTAGTTGAAAGTATTATTGGTGTTCTGGACTCAACTGGATGGGCTGGGGGAACAAAAGACCAATAAGGACGTTAGGCTGCTCATACCGGTTGAACGTCTTTGGTTTAGCACAGTTCTAATATTGAATAAGTCGTATTTCGATTGGTCAATGAATCACGTAATAATTAGCCGAGCTTAGAGTCACAACAGTTTTATTCTAGTGTGCTGCAGTATTTATATGCATTAACAAAAAATATTCAATCAACTACGGTAACATGTCAATTAATGATAATAACTTCAACACAAGAAGTAGATTAAAACTTTGAACGATAAACCTATTCATCCAACAACGAAACACAAGTGTTACGGAATTGTTTTTTTTTAACACAGAGACTAAGGCTATTTGCTCGGATCCTCATATCTTTAATCATAACTGAGTTCGAGTCCCATTAGGAAAACTTGGTAACATACCATAAACTACTCTAGATGCTTTACTTTAATTTGTCGCATGACCATTATCAATCAAATATTATAGAATGGAACTGAATTTGGATTTAGTCAGACGCTTTTCTGAACAACGACAGAGAGGTTTATTAACTCGTTGGCTAAATTGTCGTACTACTGACGTACGCCCTATATAGCTTTCTCCAGAAGATCAGCTAAACTGATCAATACATATTGTTGTGGTAAAGCCAGTTAATGTACATTTGACATGAATTATGAAAGTCAATAATCTGCATTATCCTTTTAAAGTAGTGATAACCATATGCCGTCTGCAGTGATTAAAAACTGGTCATTAAGAATTGTAATTTATCTACTATATTTCGATTGCTACTGGTAAGTAGTAAGTTGAAAAATTCCCATATTGTGAATTAGAACAACATAGATATAAGCGAACAATATTGTTTTCGATTAGATCCCCATCAGGCTTTACTCTAATGTACAATAATACTGATATGCATATACGAAATTGTCAAAGCATTCAAAGTGGTTTATGATTCACTGATAATAATAGACTACATAGATAAACATAATAAGTAAAAAGTACAAATCGGTAATGTGACAACAGGTATGTCAGTTTGTATGGATCCACTTTCAATTATTTCTATTATGGCTTTGGATAAACATTAATTCGATAGTAATTCAGAATATAATAAAACGGTATATATTAGAGAGGAGGAATGTTGTATCTGTAAAATCTCAGCGAAAGAATTTAAAGTAAATCCAATGTTTTGCCTGGCAATCTAGTTCAAGCTTTTCAAGGAAATATCTTTAATGTTTCACATTAACTCGGCGACCAAATATTGTGAAACTATTCGATCAAATTTAGACGAAAGTTCTCATTTAAAAAAGTATATAGTTTGACAGATCAAAATAAAAAAGAGAAAACAAATCCTACACACATTTAGGTCATTTTATCAAAACCAATTTCTGTTATCTAATCAATTTAGAACAAAATATTTTCATATAGACTAATAATAAATTTAATCGAGAGTAAATTGTATCTTTTATTTAATTATTCTTATTGATTTGTTCGTCAATTCAAGATGATGTAAATCAATCAGGATATCAGTAATTATTGAAACTTACTTTTATTCCTTTTAATCCAATAATTCCATCAATAGTTTTACATGATCTATTACACCATTCACTTGATCCAGTCTCACCTTGAACACCCTGTAGTGTTAATCCAAATTTGTTAGCAAGCGAAAATAAAGAAAGTTGCGAGTTTCAGATCATAGTGACTAATTATTGGGTTGGAAATTCATTATTTACAAATAAATGTACTTGAGTAACTATTATGGTTAGTTGTTAACAGTATATAATTTACTTATTATTTTTTAGCAGTAATTTAAGATTACTGAATTAAAGTGTAATATTAAGAAAATAAAGTCTCAATTATTTTTACGTGGTATTCGTCATAGACCGACTTCAATTGATATATCAGTGCTGGATTTTTGTTACGTCCCGGTGTAACACTTTTCAACAGTAAGCATCCATAATCCCTTGTGGATCATACTTAAGACTTTGAGGTCACATGGAGATTGTCAAACCATTAGTTTAGCAATCAGAGTAAGATATTTGCGAACTCAAGATTCTGGTTAAATTAAAAGACCTGTATGATATATATATTCGTAATATTTGTGAACTACGAATGTACACGATACACCAGACTTGACAACTCAAATATATCTATTTTTACAAACAGTTATTGAGGTTTATTTCCAGCAAAATATTATCTTACGGTTGTTTTGTTTGGATTAGTAACTCAGCTTTCGCTAATCTCAAATTTGTAATTTTTGCTAATAGATCATATTCATTATTCAAATAGCCTGATTAAGTAGTGTATCTTTGAACCTTGATTACTGTCAGGGAAACATGATCATACAGACAAAGGACATCATCAGTGTTTACGATCAAAACTACATTTCAATAGAAACTTATAAGCTAATAGAAAGTGTATAATACAGTTCTAAATTTCAATTAAATTAGGCGTTTTTCATTTACGGTTTTGCCATATTTACTGATTGTACCATTTTATCAAGTAATGTGTCAAGTATTACTGTGATGTATGCTACTTATGTCGATAGACATAAGTATTAACACAAATCAGAAGAGAAGTGTTTGTCAGCAGAAGGCTATGAAAGTCGACTTGGAGAAAACAGAACCATAAATAAGAAAAGATTGTTACTTGGAAGAATCATACAAAATGGGAAGGACAAATGATGGGATTTTGCTAATGAGGTATTCAATGTATGGTTTTCATATTTTACCAAGTGATTCTGTAAGTTTATGTCAAGCAATTGATAGGTTGTCCACAGCTGTGCTCTCATTCGTAACGCTAGCAATCTAATGTTTGTTCTTCTTCTAAAATCTGATCATTGGTCGAACTTGTATTAGGAAATATGTAGATTTTGATTAATTTTTGGTGTGAAAATTGGTCATCATTATTTGTTATATCTGGAATTTCGATTCTTAATATACAATGTATAACTCGAGCAACTCAAACACTAGAACCTACCAAGTAGCAAATGAGAAGATAGAAGACAGGTGTTTGGAATGCTATCCCAAACTGTGTCAAATATGATACAAAACTGTCAGGTATTAATAGTTTTTAGTAAAAACGAAATCATCATTATAATCCTCCAATCTGCATACAGGGAGTGATAAGCACTTATGCAATAGGGAAGACACATGTAAAGATTTTGGAATATTCTTCCAAAAGACGACTGGATGCAATATCTTCGGCTTTTCCTGAACTTCCTCGAGTTCATCCGTAGGCCGTCCTCACATTAATAAACCAACATTTTTTTTCTTTGTGTCGAGTTTTATCGGTTTTATTCAGTCGTAATAAATTGTTGACAGTGCAAGTATATTGTGAACTAAGCATATATATAAAGCAGGGTTGGGCATGAAGTTGGCGACCCCATCCCGTAGAAAACCAACTTGCTAAAAAACGCCAACCAGAAAAAATAATTCAAACTATTTAAGCTCTGCCCTGGGAGTTAGAAGGTCTTCTTTTAGAAGAATTATGACGCTTCATGGTGAAAGTTGAGTTCCTTTGAAATTCACGAAGCTGATAACGCCTCTGACAACCAGAGCAAAAATTTTTGTGGGTACATGGAACGTTCGAACAATGTGGGAGACCGGGAAGACCAGTCAAATAGCAACGGAAATGAGGAGATACAATTTGGCAATACTGGGAATCAGTGAAACCCAAACTGGACAACAAAGGCTAAATACGCGAGAGATGCTGCTATACTCCGGTCACGAAGAGGAAAATGCTCCACACACTCAGGAAGTTGCTTTAATGCTGTCCAAAGAAGCACGAAATGCACTTGTAGGATGGCAATCTCACGGATCCAGAATCATCAAAGCATCGTTCAAAACAAAGAAGGAGGGGATTTTAATGAATATTATCCAATGTTATGCACCCACCAATGATAGCAACGACGACATTAAAGATCAATTCTACGAGCGGCTACAGTCAATCATAGAGAAATACCCAAGAAAGGACCTCACCATTCTAATGGGAGATCTAAATGCCAAAGTCGGAATAGACAACACCGGATATGAAGATATTATGGGACGACATGGACTTGGACAGAGAAACAAAAATGGAGAAAGATTTGCAAATCTATGTACATTCAACAAATTGGTCATAGGGGGCACAATATTTCCACACAAGCCTATACACAAGGCTACATGGATCTCACCGGACCACATCACAGAGAACCAGATAGATCATAGTTGCATCAACAAAAAATTCCGAAGGACAATGGAAGATGTGAGAACCAGGAGAGGAGCTGACATAGCTTCAGATCACCACCTAGTTGTAGCCAATTTAAAACTGAAACTAAAAAAGAACTGGACAACTGGACAAACAGCAATACAAAGGTTCAATACAGCCTTCCTTCGAGATACTGACAAAGTCAATGAATTCAAGATAGCTCTCAACAACAGATTCCAAGCCTTACAAGATCTACTGAAAGGAGAAACTACTATGGAGGATAACTGGAAAAGTATCAAAGAAGCATTAACTTCAACGTGTCAATAGGTTCTGGGTCTAAAGAAACACCATCATAAGGAGTGGATCTCCATAGAAACACTGGACAAGATCAAAGAAAGGAAGAACAAGAAGGCAGTAATTAACAACAGCCGAACACGAGCAGAGAAAGTCCAAGCACAAGCTGAACACACAGAAGCAAACAAGCAAGTGAAGGAGAGTGTTAGAGCCGACAAGAAGAAATGCATAGAAAAACTAGCAACGACGACGGAACAAGCTGGAGGAGAAGGAAATATGAAACAGCTTTACGATACAACGAAGGGAAATACAATAAACCAGAGAGACCGGTCAAAGACAAAGAAGGCAAGCCAATCACTGAAATTCAATAACAGCGGAACAGATGGGTAGAATACTTTGAGGAATTTCTGAATACGCCGGCTTCAATGAATCCACCGGACATCGAAGCAGCACACACAGATCTTCACATAGACGTCAACCCAGCAATGAAGGAAGAAATCAAAATGGCCGTCAGACAAATCAAGAACGAGAAAGCAGCGAGACCGGACAACATACCAGCCGAAGCACTGAAGTCAGACATCGAAGTAACTACAAACGCTTTACCTTCTATTCAAAAAGATTTGGGAGGAGGAACAAGTGCCGATGGACTGGAAAGAAGGACAGTTATCAAGATTCCAAGGAAAGGAGACTTGAGTAAATGTGAAAACTACAGAGGCATTACACTACTGTCAATACCAGGGAAGGTCTTCAACAGAGTGTTGCTGAACCGGATGAAAGACGCCCAACTTCGAGATCAACAAGCTGGATTCCGTAAGGACCGATCATGCACAGACCAAATTGCAACACTACGGATCATCGTCGAACAATCAGTTGAGTGGAACTCGTCACTATACATCAATTTCATTGATTATGAAAAAACATTTGACAGTGTGGATAGGAGGAAGTTATGGAAACTTCTACGACACTACGGAGTTCCTGAGAAGATCGTCAATATTATCCGGAACTCATACGACGGACTACAATGCAAAGTCGTGCATGGAGGACAGCTGACAGATGCATTCCAAGTAAGGACCGGAGTAAGACAAGGCTGTTTACTCTCTCCCTTTCTCTTTCTTCTGGTGGTCGACTGGATTATGAGGACCTCGACATCTGAAGGAAAACACGGAATACAATAGACAGCTCAAAATCAATTAGACGATTTGGACTTCGCAGATGACCTAGCCCTCCTATCGCATACACACGAACAGATGCAGACGAAGGCAGCCAGTGTGGCAGCAGTCTCTGCATCAGTAGGCCTCAGCATACACAAAGGGAAAACCAAGGTCCTCGAATTCAAGGCGGAGAACAGCAATCCAATCACTCTTGATGGCGAAACTCTGGAAGATGTCGAACCCTTCACATAACTGGGAAGCGTCATCGATGAACAGACGTAAAGGCAAGGATTGACAAATCAAGGACAGCATTCCTACAATTGAAGAACATATGGAACTCAAAACAACTTTCAACCAATATCAAAGTGAGAATCTTCAATACGAACGTCAAGGTAGTTCTACTGTACAGAGCTGAAACTTGGAGAACTACAACAACCACCACCAAGAAGATACAAATATTTATAAATGGTTGTCTCCGCAAGATACTCAACATCCATTGGCCGGATACCATCATCAACAGCCTTTTGTGGGAGAGAACAAATCAGCTTCCAGCTGAAGAAGAAATTAGGAAAAAACGATGGAAATGGATAGGACATACACTACGCAAATCGTCAAACTTCATCACGGGAGAAGCCCTTACTTGGAATTTTGAAGGAAGGCGGAAAAGAGGAAGTCCAAATTACACGTTACGTCGGGAAACGAAAGCAGATATGAAAAGGATGAACAGCAACTGGAGAGAGCTGGAAAGGATTGCTCTGGATAGGTTTGGATGAAGAAAGCTGGTTAGTGGCCTATGCTCCTTCACGACGAGCAATATGTGTAAGTAAGTTATTGGAAACAATTATTTACTAAAATATTCCTTGTTTTCAAATACTTTTTGGGATTTATTCAATAGATGAGATCATGAGTTAATTGAAGCTAGACCACCATGGAAAAACTGGAAGCACTCGACGGTTGTTTCGTCCTATTTTGGGACTCTTTATGCCGTGTAATATTTGTGATATAATGAACTATTATAGAAAAGAATGACTGGCTGTAATTAAAAATATGAATCATGAATAGATGTCATGCACTTAGTCCCCTTTATGGATCTAAATAAAGCCAGAACAAACATTGATGTAGAATTATATATATATATATACATCCTGTGCGTATTGCGTCGGTATTGCCTCAAGTCAAAAGCAGGTATAGCTAGTTGACGAGTCCTAAATTGAATGAAACACGTGTTCTTGATACCACCGCTGGCCACTATCTTCTTTGTTTCAAATGTTCTGTGTATCGTTGTTGGAAACGCTCGTGAATTATTTACATGTCGTATCTCTATTTTCGACCTTCTACATCTATCCTATTTCCTTTATATACTTAAGCGTTTGCTTTACTTACTCTTAATAGAGCATAGGTTGCCGACCATCATTCTTCAACCCACTCTGTCCTGGGTCTTCTATCCAATTGTTGTCCATTCTTCTCATGTCTGTCTCCGTTTCTCGGCGTAATATGTTTTTTGGTTTTCCTCTTCTCCTTTGGCCTTGAGGATTTCAACCGATGAGGGCTTGTCTAGTGATATAGTTATGTGCTTCTCTCAATGTTTGTCTTATCCACTTCCAGCCCTTCTTCCTGATTTCTTATTCTGCTGTGACTTGATTTGTTCTCTCCCACGGTAGGTTGTTGCTGATAGTGTCTGACTAACGGATTCGAAGTATTTTGCGTAGACCATTGTTAATAAACACTTGTATCTTCTGGGTGATGGCTTTCGTAGGTCTCCAAGTTTCCGTTCCACACAGTAGAACTGTCTTGATATTCGTATCTAAAATCCTGACCTTGGTGTTGGTTGACAGTTGTTTTGAGTTTCATGTGTTCTTCAGTTGTAGATATACTGCACTTGCTTTGCCGATCAGCACCTTCTTATCTGTATCATATCCGTCGAGTTCATCAATGATACTGCCCAGATATTTGAAGTTTTTACATCTTCCAAAGCTTCTCCGTCAAGTGTGATTCGACTGGTGCATGTTGTGTTATACCAGAGAATCTTGCTTCAGTTTTTGAGTATGTTTAGACCTATTGTTGCTGAGGCTGCTGCTACACTGGTCATTTTCTCCTGCATGTGAGATATGTCTGCTTCATGAGTGAATAATGCAATTCATTATCATTGTTCTACATTATTCTATAAGTAATGAAATCCGATGTTATCAATGAATTTTATAGAAAATCAATAAAACTTTCGATCTAATAATGAATTATGATTAAGATGAAAATTTTAATTTTACGGTAATCTATCAAACAGATTGAACTGTCCAAGCCTTATAATGTTAATTACTAACTAGCCAATTTATATTACTTTTTTTTCTTCTTTTTTGAAGTAAATGTGAATCTTGTATGACGTGTTATTTATTTGCATTGTTCGTAATTATTCTACTAAATTTCAAGTATTATCATTTATAATTGATGAATAACAACTTACTTTCAATGAACTCATATCAATTGATGGACATATTGTTTCTGGACAATAACCCGTAGAGCCCACTAGACCAGCTGGACCCTGAAATTACAATGAGGGAATATTTTTTTTAATAAAAAAAATAATCAACGTTTATGATGACAATTCCTGTCATAAATCAATGCCACGTTGGTGCAACTTCTTGGACTGGTTGAAGTTAGACATTAACACGTTAGATGCCGGCCAGCTCAGGTTAAGCGCTCGCGCGCAAGACTGATAGGTCCTGGGTTAGAATTTAGCTGGGCGGGATCGTGGATGTGCACTGCTCAGGAGGTCCATAATAGGATGAATCGGCCGTCCAGTGCTTCCAGGTTTTCCATGGTGGTCTAGCTTCGAATAACTTATGAATTCAACTGTAAAATTGCTGAAATCTCCACAAAACCCTTTGCTGAAAAAAATAATTGTGGTTTTGAGTGTTCTTTGTTAGTTTGTTCACAACAAATGTTTTATAATTATATATAAGTATTTAAATAATGTGTTACCTGTGGTCCAATGTCTCCTTTCTGTCCCTAAATTAAAAAAAAACAATTTGTAATAAATTCTATTCAATAAATAAAACTTACAATATGGACTATGACTTCGTCGAATGAAGACTAAAGAAAATGAAAGAAACAATAGTATTGAAATATTGTTTAAAGTATGCAAACACTACATAGTAGATTGTAATATATACTAAAGAAATCTCTCATTGTTAAATAATATAATTATTTCACTGACTGAAATCATGAGTCAATTGAAGCTAGACCACCATGGAAAACCTGAAAGCACAGGACGGCTGTTTCGTCTTAGTATGGGACTCCTCAGCAACTTCGTAAATTGGTCGAAGTTAGACATTAACACCGTTGGATCCGGCTCAGTGGTTTAGTTGGTTAAGCGCCTGGCGCGAGACTGATAGGTCCTGGGTTCGAACCTCGTAGGGTGGATGCGCACTGCTGAGACGTTCAGTGCTTCCAGGTTTTCTATGGTGGTCTAGCTTCAATTGAATCATGATTTCCATCAGTGAAATTTCTAAAATCTCCACAAAACCTCGTCTGATAATGTAATTATTGCAAAAATAATGAATGTTTCTCGACAAAATGTTCAAGTATTTATGAGAGGTCTAATCGTTGCTTAAATAGGTTAAAGGTAATTTCTTTTACTATAGGACTGGATAAGAAAGTTCAAATAACATAGAGAATATTCAGTCTTGATGTGAATATCAACATATTTTTGCTTATAAATACCAAATGAAATGATCCATAAGTCAAGCAGCTCTACTTAGTGACTATCCATAAACACTTATGATATATCTGAATAAGTTGTTCACTATTAGACAAAATTATATCAATAATGTTACAGAATAAAGTTAATCTTCCTCCGAGGAATAATAATTTTGAAATCATGCCGCTTGAAGTTTATCATAGATATCACAAAATTATGTGTTTTTAAATCAAGAATTAAACGAATGTTTCAACGGAAGTGCTCTATGAAATTTGTCAGTGATTCTGATCAAAGATTCAGTTGAAAAATAATTTTACAAATTACAAATAAACAGTCTACCTGTCCGCGTCGAATTGGATACGATTTTGGACATTGTATTACAAATGTGTCGCAGATGTTGTTAACCAGAATACTTAGAAAAATTTCTGTTTCGAAGGTTGTTCAAACCACCGTTGATGAGCATACTTGTGTTTTCCGACTATCCACACATCGTCGAGACTATAATTTATGGACGAACCAATCAAATTTACGATAACAGGTCTTCAATTTTGATCGATTTATATTTGGCTAGATATAGTTTCGGTATTGTAGCTGATGCCAGTTCATGATGAAAACCCTATATGCAGTTTCTAACCCTAACTATCAACTGTGAATATTCATCCTAATTCCTCACATTTGTTTATAACCCTCATTTAACCGTAGTACGTAGGTGGACATTCTCAAGGTGTTATTAGCGTCGCTCAAATGTCGTCCATTAATTATTTTCTTACCCAAACATTTTTAATTCTGTATATGCAACTGTGGGACTATGTTTATCTCTTTAAAAGTTATTAATTAAGAAACTTTCAGTCTTTATTAATTTGATTAGCGTTTTATACCTAATTCACCTCTGATTTTTATAAGTGCTTTAGTACAAAACTTTTTAAATTCTACACATTATTCTGGACAATGAAGACAGTTCTTCAGTGATAATCAAGCGATATCACAATTTGGCTAAGGTTAAGACTGTGGGGTCTTGAATCTCAGATCAGTTGTTCAAAGGTTTTATATTTTCTCGGTGCCTGATGATTCTGATTTCTGTTCATCATGGAGTCATGTGTGTCCACTGACTTGAACCAATAAACCGTTTTATGATCGTTAGTTTCAAGTGTGCATTTCAAAATTTTCAATAAGGTGTACGAGGAAACTCAAATAACGAACCGCTCATTCCATGTTTGTACAAATTGTCTCAACGACCCAATGTTACTCTTAAGTACCAGTAATATATACTGTGGTTGGCGATTCTTTTGTTAAAGTACTGGATCTTGTGGTGGAAATGAATCTCGAATAATAAGAATTACTAACCGCAAAATATACATCCTGGTATATTCTATTACCGTTTTAGCCTATAATGATCTCCAAAAACCTTTCAAGAAGATAAACTCTTGTCATATGCCTACGATCTGAGCGTTTACCTGGATATCATTATAACTGTTACTATCTATCAAGTAGACCTTTGTAAACGAAATGAGTTCCAACTTCCTCTTGAGAAGTTTCAGTATTTTTAAAATCCATTAATTTTTTTCAGCAACAATCAAAATTTCATCTCCTCACTAAACTCATTGTTTTGCACTAGATTACTTTAAATCATCCAGGAATTATCAAGGCTCACTTACGTTCCAGATTTTATTGTTTGATACAATCATAATATTCTAAATGAGGTCCAAATTGAGTGATTTTATCTAGGACATGTAGAAACGCAAAGAACTTAGTAGATACTCACATTTATGGTATAATTATAATCAGCTCTCCTATTCATTCGATAGGTTCCTGAGACTTCTTCAAATGTTATATACGTTGCATGCCTATTATGAGACTGTTTTTCTACTTTATGTTTAACCAGTCCCACGTAAAAGTCATCAGATGACTGATTCATTAGATCCGTTGGTTTATACATCTATGTGGAGTTGTATTAAACAAAAAAAGTACCAGATAAAAATGATCAGGAAGTTGATTTCATATGAAACTAAAATACGTCAGTGAAAGTGAACTCTAGTTGGCTTTTTATGAGTTCCATTAATAAACAGGTCTGTTGTGAGATATCAGCTCACTGAAGACAATGGTGTACAGTGGAGCCGATTCATGGATTGGTTGAAGTTAGACATTAACACCATTGGATGCCGGCTCAGTGGTCTAGTGTTTAAGTGCTCGCGCGCAAAACCAGTAGGTCCTGGGTTCGAGTGCTGCGGGATCGTGGATGCGCAGTGCTGAGAAGTCCCATACTAGGGCGAAACGGCCGTCCAGTGCTTCCAAGTTTTTCATGGTGGTCTAGCTTCAATTGACTTATGATTTCAATCAGTGAAATATATTTCTTTGATTACAGATTTTAAGACAAAAGTCTGAATTAACAGTTTTCAGTATCCATGAACTTATGGCGAAATGTTTGATTTACATCCAATTGATATGATGATAGAATTGTTATTTCCTAAATTCTAGTGAATAAAAATTATTTGACCGACATCATTCCATTGTTTTCAGTAAAAATTAAAATGGGTACTAATATATATTCATATAGTTATACGAAATGAGAAATATCTATGATTTGAATACATAGTAATTTATAATTAATAATTCTTTCTTAGTTAGGATGAATAAATTTATGGCATCTCGCCTACATATATTTAATTAAACACACAAACATTGGTACAAAGAAGCACCAAATATATATGCTCCACACTTTCCCACTCGATTTGTGTGAGGGTTGTGATACTGACCGGGTGCTCAAATCGAAACAGGTGGTTTTCTTAGGTGGCCACACCCGGAGCATTTGATCTAAAAGTCTGATCCACAAGGCAGTTGAACAACGTCAAGAGATGGAATCGCATGATATCCGGTGACCAATAATTGGTTCATACACCATTTGTTCCTTCAGGATACTGGAGTCAGCCCATGTTCACCATTGGTTTGGAACCAGGGTTCTCCAACTGCCCTAGCTGGACCCTCCATATCCACCAACCCGGTCAAAGCGCCGGACATTCACGTTTCTTCCTCTCAATTTCGTAAGCAACTGCCCCACCGCGAGAAGGCATTGAGTGGGACTTCGCTGACAGCGGTTGTATGCGCGTGGTCATGTGAGAGCATTTTGAGAGGGAGAGCTGATTCTCCCCAATCTCGGCCAGGGCATTTGTGAGCATCTCTTCTACATTTAACTTTGTTGACAGTTAATTTTGTTGTGTCCATTAATAAACTTATCTAACAGTAACAATTTGTCTATTTCTTTGTATTATTATAATTACTATCATGTCTGTATCAAAACATGTATATTCGATTACATGTAACAGCATACGCACATATCCCTCTATCTAGCCTAAAATTAGTTGCTCAAAAATCGTTCTGTGAATATATATATGCATGCTTGGATCTACTAAACTGATTTGACTCAGTATCCTCTTGCTCGCGCATGTTAGCCTTTCTGCTCAAATTCATTTGGTGTGCTTGTAAATCTATTATCTGTGCCATCTAATAATAAACTTTACTTAGCGCTTCTTGTTGCCTTCTGAATTAATTCACCGTTGGGATTTATTTAATAACGGCTATCAGGGTGGTTGATAAACGAAGCGTAAGGAATTATCTTGAAGCCAAGTCACTACAGAATTGGTTAACCCGACGTGAGAACGCGACGCAATTTTCGACGACACGATCTTATTTCGAAAATTTCAACTTACTCTGTCTCAATTCGGATTATTATTTGGATCATAATTATAGTTGCGGATTAATATTATTATTATTTTCGTTACACGTACATTCTCATAAAAATTACCGGACATAATTTAACAATAATAAACATAATAATAATTATTATTATTATAAATATCGACGTTTCACAAACAGTTGATATACTGGTGCAGTTTAGTGAGTCTGATCTATGTTATAACACTGTTTCATCTGTTATTATCATTGTTGTTGTCGGTTCATCTCTTTTTGACATTTACATTATTTTATTTGAGTACCATCAAGTCTTTTTATAAATATATCTTCGGAAAACCCTAGGTATACGGCAAACGCCGTCTGTAAAGTCCCTTAACCTTTCTATTCCGTATTTTAAAGCTAACGACATACAACTTTGGTTTTTCAGACTTGAAAATTATTTTTGGCTAAATGGATTAATTTGCAATGATACAAGTTCAGCCACACAAGTACACTTCTTCCAGACGAAGATGAAGGTAGCGTACGAGAGGCTTTATCTAGACCGGACCCCGAAAGGCTATACGACGTGATAAAGTAAGCCGTAATTAGATCCATCTCTTTAACCAACCAAACAAGTTGTTGACCAGCCAGCTAATCAGGTGTAAATGGTGAATAGGACACCTTCGTAGACAAAAAACCCATATGAAAAATCTGATAGGTAGCAAGAAAGCAGACATCAACCTAATTAATCAACTATAGCTTCGTCGACTTCCACTGAATGAACGATAGATCATAACCGTTGGAGTTACCGATGATGATATGGACTATATCGCAAAAATGACTGACGGGAATCGCGAGTAAACTTAGCAAACGAGTACTCGATTGTATAACACATTGGTAACACGACTATCTAATAAAGAGGCAGAAATTTGATATATTACATAAATTGACAGAGATGACGAAGAATAACACTCCACGAAGAAATCAATGAATGGAAACAGGAAATAAAGCTCCTCTCATTGATAGATATAAAAAATTTAGAAGAAACAGATATGAAAGTGCAGAAGACAATGCAAAAATGAAATAGAACGAAAACTTCGAAAAACATGATGCGAGAACTTGGGACAAATGAGATAAACTGAAACAAAGACAGTACATGAAAAAATTAAAAACGGCAAAAAAGTAAGAAAAATGAATGACATAAAAAAAGAAATAAAATGTAAAAAAAATTTACTAATTCGGAAAAAGGCACATCACAAATTGAGCAAACATAGCATGAATTCGAGAACACCTCGTCACTTCCATGCCTCATCGTCCATCCATTATCCACTAGTGTTGGTCACTACACCTCAGACAGATTCACAAACACACAACAACACGCACACAGGCACATTGTCCAGTTGACACATTTCGACCACATCCAACACTCGATCGACAAGTAACGGTGGTGTGCACTGATCCGATGTGGTGTGGAATGCCTACACATACGACTAGTCACCGATCTCATCAACATTCCACAACACGTCAATCAAGGAAACAAGTGTGTGAAACAGATTACCTGTGTGTCGAGAACATTCTCCTCACTGGCACTGGCACCAAAACCAACACCAACACCCATGTGACTGATGGAGTCAGAGTATCCTGAAGTGTCTCTGGTCTCATTGTCTCCGGTCTGACGTTCACTCGTCGATGCTGGTTGTTCACTTGACACCTGAAAGTGAAAGAGATCATAGAGTGGATTAGGCTGGAGTGTGTAGTGTGCAGTATTCGGTGCTAGATTTTGACTATGTGAGACCTATGCATTATATTTGTGTTGTCATGATTCCTGTTTTGTAGTGGTTGTGTGGATGACGTGTCAATGGTGACTTGGTCAGATCAATCCTCATCTGACATGTTATGGTCGACTGTCACCCAACCACATCCCACCTCTACTCACTGGATCCACTGAAAACACATACAATGACAGTTTGTGGTGTGTTCATTGTCACGTCACAGATTTTCACAGCATCTCATATCACACATTCACACAACTTGTCAATCAGTGAGCTGATCCAAGTTGTATGCAGTCACAATGCACCATTCAGTCAGCACACATATTTGCTGTCGACAACCTCAGTCGCAATCCCAGTCACATCTCCATCAAGTCACTCACCCATTGTCACTCACATATACTGACTGTGGATCTCCACATGCATATGAATCGGTGAGCACACATTGCATGCATTGGAGAACACCTCGTCACTTCCATGCCTCATCGTCCATGCGTTATCCACTAGTGTTGCTCACTACACCTCAGACAGATTCACAGACACACAACAACACGCACACAGGCACATTGTTCAGTTGACACATTTCGACCACATCCAACACTCGATCGACAAGTAACGGTGGTGTGCACTGATCCGATGTGGTGTGGAATGCCTACACATACGACTAGTCACCGATCTCATCAACATTCCACAACACGTCAATCAAGGAAACAAGTGTGTGAAACAGATTACCTCTGTGTCGAGAACATTCTCCTCACTGGCACTGGCACTGGCAGTGGCACCAAAACCAACACCAACACCCATGTGACTGATGGAGTCAGAGTATCCTGAAGTGTCTCTGGTCTCATTGTCTCCGGTCTGACGTTCACTCGTCGATGCTGGTTGTTCACTTGACACCTGAAAGTGAAAGAGATCATAGAGTGGATTAGGCTGGAGTGTGTAGTGTGCAGTATTCGGTGCTAGATTGTGACTGTGTGAGACCTATGCATTATATTTGTGTTGTCATGATTCCTGTTTTGTAGTGGTTGTGTGGATTATGTGTCAATGGTGACTTGGTCAGACCAATAATCATCTGACATGTTATGGTCGACTGTCACCCAACCACATCCCACCTCTACTCACTGGATCCACTGAAAACACATACAATGACAGTTTGTGGTGTGTTCATTGTCACGTCACAGATTTTCACAGCATCTCATATCACACATTCACACAACTTGTCAATCAGTGAGCTGATCCAAGTTGTCTGCAGTCACAATGCACCATTCAGTCAGCACACATATTTGCTGTCGACAACCTCGGTCGCAATCCCAGTCACATCTCCATCAAGTCACTCACCCATTGTCACACACATATACTGACTGTGGATCTCCACATGCATATGCATCGGTGAGCACACATTGCATGCATTGGAGAACACCTCGTCACTTCCATGCCTCATCGTCCATGCATTATCCACTAGTGTTGGTCACTACACCTCAGACAGATTCACAAACACACAACAACACGCACACAGGCACATTGTCCAGTTGACACATTTCGACCACATCCAACACTCGATCGACAAGTAACGGTGGTGTGCACTGATCCGATGTGGTGTGGAATGCCTACACATACGACTAGTCACCGATCTCATCAACATTCCACAACACGTCAATCAAGGAAACAAGTGTGTGAAACAGATTACCTGTGTGTCGAGAACATTCTCCTCACTGGCACTGGCAGTGGCACCAAAACCAACACCAACACCCATGTGACTGATGGAGTCAGAGTATCCTGAAGTGTCTCTGGTCTCATTGTCTCCGGTCTGACGTTCACTCGTCGATGCTGGTTGTTCACTTGACACCTGAAAGTGAAAGAGATCATAGAGTGGATTAGGCTGGAGTGTGTAGTGTGCAGTATTCGGTGCTAGATTTTGACTATGTGAGACCTATGCATTATATTTGTGTTGTCATGATTCCTGTTTTGTAGTGGTTGTGTGGATGACGTGTCAATGGTGACTTGGTCAGATCAATCCTCATCTGACATGTTATGGTCGACTGTCACCCAACCACATCCCACCTCTACTCACTGGATCCACTGAAAACACATACAATGACAGTTTGTGGTGTGTTCATTGTCACGTCACAGATTTTCACAGCATCTCATATCACACATTCACACAACTTGTCAATCAGTGAGCTGATCCAAGTTGTATGCAGTCACAATGCACCATTCAGTCAGCACACATATTTGCTGTCGACAACCTCAGTCGCAATCCCAGTCACATCTCCATCAAGTCACTCACCCATTGTCACTCACATATACTGACTGTGGATCTCCACATGCATATGAATCGGTGAGCACACATTGCATGCATTGGAGAACACCTCGTCACTTCCATGCCTCATCGTCCATGCGTTATCCACTAGTGTTGCTCACTACACCTCAGACAGATTCACAGACACACAACAACACGCACACAGGCACATTGTTCAGTTGACACATTTCGACCACATCCAACACTCGATCGACAAGTAACGGTGGTGTGCACTGATCCGATGTGGTGTGGAATGCCTACACATACGACTAGTCACCGATCTCATCAACATTCCACAACACGTCAATCAAGGAAACAAGTGTGTGAAACAGATTACCTCTGTGTCGAGAACATTCTCCTCACTGGCACTGGCACTGGCAGTGGCACCAAAACCAACACCAACACCCATGTGACTGATGGAGTCAGAGTATCCTGAAGTGTCTCTGGTCTCATTGTCTCCGGTCTGACGTTCACTCGTCGATGCTGGTTGTTCACTTGACACCTGAAAGTGAAAGAGATCATAGAGTGGATTAGGCTGGAGTGTGTAGTGTGCAGTATTCGGTGCTAGATTGTGACTGTGTGAGACCTATGCATTATATTTGTGTTGTCATGATTCCTGTTTTGTAGTGGTTGTGTGGATTATGTGTCAATGGTGACTTGGTCAGACCAATAATCATCTGACATGTTATGGTCGACTGTCACCCAACCACATCCCACCTCTACTCACTGGATCCACTGAAAACACATACAATGACAGTTTGTGGTGTGTTCATTGTCACGTCACAGATTTTCACAGCATCTCATATCACACATTCACACAACTTGTCAATCAGTGAGCTGATCCAAGTTGTCTGCAGTCACAATGCACCATTCAGTCAGCACACATATTTGCTGTCGACAACCTCGGTCGCAATCCCAGTCACATCTCCATCAAGTCACTCACCCATTGTCACACACATATACTGACTGTGGATCTCCACATGCATATGAATCGGTGAGCACACACTGTATGCATTGGAGAACACCTCGTCACTTCCATGCCTCATCGTCCATGCATTATCCACTAGTGTTGGTCACTACACCTCAGACAGATTCACAAACACACAACAACACGCACACAGGCACATTGTCCAGTTGACACATTTCGACCACATCCAACACTCGATCGACAAGTAACGGTGGTGTGCACTGATCCGATGTGGTGTGGAATGCCTACACATACGACTAGTCACCGATCTCATCAACATTCCACAACACGTCAATCAAGGAAACAAGTGTGTGAAACAGATTACCTCTCTGTCGAGAACATTCTCCTCACTGGCACTGGCACTGGCAGTGGCACCAAAACCAACACCAACACCCATGTGACTGATGGAGTCAGAGTATCCTGAAGTGTCTCTGGTCTCATTGTCTCCGGTCTGACGTTCACTCGTCGATGCTGGTTGTTCACTTGACACCTGAAAGTGAAAGAGATCATAGAGTGGATTAGGCTGGAGTGTGTAGTGTTCAGTATTCGGTGCTAGATTGTGACTGTGTGAGACCTATGCATTATATTTGTGTTGTCATGATTCCTGTTTTGTAGTGGTTGTGTGGATTATGTGTCAATGGTGACTTGGTCAGACCAATAATCATCTGACATGTTATGGTCGACTGTCACCCAACCACATCCCACCTCTACTCACTGGATCCACTGAAAACACATACAATGACAGTTTGTGGTGTGTTCATTGTCACGTCACAGATTTTCACAGCATCTCATATCACACATTCACACAACTTGTCAATCAGTGAGCTGATCCAAGTTGTATGCAGTCACAATGCACCATTCAGTCAGCACACATATTTGCTGTCGACAACCTCGGTCGCAATCCCAGTCACATCTCCATCAAGTCACTCACCCATTGTCACTCACATATACTGACTGTGGATCTCCACATGCATATGAATCGGTGAGCACACATTGCATGCATTGGAGAACACCTCGTCACTTCCATGCCTCATCGTCCATGCGTTATCCACTAGTGTTGGTCACTACACCTCAGACAGATTCACAAACACACAACAACACGCACACAGGCACATTGTCCAGTTGACACATTTCGACCACATCCAACACTCGATCGACAAGTAACGGTGGTGTGCACTGATCCGATGTGGTGTGGAATGCCTACACATACGACTAGTCACCGATCTCATCAACATTCCACAACACGTCAATCAAGGAAACAAGTGTGTGAAACAGATTACCTCTGTGTCGAGAACATTCTCCTCACTGGCACTGGCACTGGCAGTGGCACCAAAACCAACACCAACACCCATGTGACTGATGGAGTCAGAGTATCCTGAAGTGTCTCTGGTCTCATTGTCTCCGGTCTGACGTTCACTCGTCGATGCTGGTTGTTCACTTGACACCTGAAAGTGAAAGAGATCATAGAGTGGATTAGGCTGGAGTGTGTAGTGTTCAGTATTCGGTGCTAGATTGTGACTGTGTGAGACCTATGCATTATATTTGTGTTGTCATGATTCCTGTTTTGTAGTGGTTGTGTGGATTATGTGTCAATGGTGACTTGGTCAGACCAATCCTCATCTGACATGTTATGGTCGACTGTCACCCAACCACATCCCACCTCTACTCACTGGATCCACTGAAAACACATACAATGACAGTTTGTGGTGTGTTCATTGTCACGTCACAGATTTTCACAGCATCTCATATCACACATTCACACAACTTGTCAATCAGTGAGCTGATCCAAGTTGTCTGCAGTCACAATGCACCATTCAGTCAGCACACATATTTGCTGTCGACAACCTCGGTCGCAATCCCAGTCACATCTCCATCAAGTCACTCACCCATTGTCACTCACATATACTGACTGTGGATCTCCACATGCATATGAATCGGTGAGCACACATTGCATGCATTGGAGAACACCTCGTCACTTCCATGCCTCATCGTCCATGCGTTATCCACTAGTGTTGGTCACTACACCTCAGACAGATTCACAAACACACAACAACACGCACACAGGCACATTGTCCAGTTGACACATTTCGACCACATCCAACACTCGATCGACAAGTAACGGTGGTGTGCACTGATCCGATGTGGTGTGGAATGCCTACACATACGACTAGTCACCGATCTCATCAACATTCCACAACACGTCAATCAAGGAAACAAGTGTGTGAAACAGATTACCTCTGTGTCGAGAACATTCTCCTCACTGGCACTGGCACTGGCAGTGGCACCAAAACCAACACCAACACCCATGTGACTGATGGAGTCAGAGTCTCCTGAAGTGACTCTGGTCTCATTGTCTCCGGTCTGACGTTCACTCGTCGATGCTGGTTGTTCACTTGACACCTGAAAGTGAAAGAGATCATAGAGTGGATTAGGCTGGAGTGTGTAGTGTGCAGTATTCGGTGCTAGATTGTGACTGTGTGAGACCTATGCATTATATTTGTGTTGTCATGATTCCTGTTTTGTAGTGGTTGTGTGCATTATGTGTCAATGGTGACTTGGTCAGATCAATCCTCATCTGACATGTTATGGTCGACTGTCACCCAACCACATCCCACCTCTACTCACTGGATCCACTGAAAACACATACAATGACAGTTTGTGGTGTGTTCATTGTCACGTCACAGATTTTCACAGCATCTCATATCACACATTCACACAACTTGTCAATCAGTGAGCTGATCCAAGTTGTATGCAGTCACAATGCACCATTCAGTCAGCACACATATTTGCTGTCGACAACCTCAGATTGAAATCCCAGTCACATCTCCATCAAGTCACTCACCCATTGTCACTCACATATACTGACTGTGGATCTCCACATGCATATGAATCGGTGAGCACACATTGCATGCATTGGAGAACACCTCGTCACTTCCATGCCTCATCGTCCATGCGTTATCCACTAGTGTTGCTCACTACACCTCAGACAGATTCACAAACACACAACAACACGCACACAGGCACATTGTCCAGTTGACACATTTCGACCACATCCAACACTCGATCGACAAGTAACGGTGGTGTGCACTGATCCGATGTGGTGTGGAATGCCTACACATACGACTAGTCACCGATCTCATCAACATTCCACAACACGTCAATCAAGGAAACAAGTGTGTGAAACAGATTACCTGTGTGTCGAGAACATTCTCCTCACTGGCACTGGCACTGGCAGTGGCACCAAAACCAACACCAACACCCATGTGACTGATGGAGTCAGAGTCTCCTGAAGTGACTCTGGTCTCATTGTCTCCGGTCTGACGTTCACTCGTCGATGCTGGTTGTTCACTTGACACCTGAAAGTGAAAGAGATCATAGAGTGGATTAGGCTGGAGTGTGTAGTTTGCAGTATTTGGTGCTAGACTGTGACCGGGTGAGACCTATGCATTATATTTGTGTTGTCATGATTCCTGTTTGCTAGTGGTTGTGTGCATTATGTGTCAATGGTGACTTGGTCAGATCAATCCTCATCTGACATGTTAAGGTCGACAGTCACCCAACCACATCCCACCTCTACTCACTGGATCCACTGAAAACACATACAATGACAGTTTGTGGTGTGTTCATTGTCACGTCACAGATTTTCACAGCATCTCATATCACACATTCACACAACTTGTCAATCAGTGAGCTGATCCAAGTTGTATGCAGTCACAATGCACCATTCAGTCAGCACACATATTTGCTGTCGACAACCTCGGTCGCAATCCCAGTCACACATCCATCAAGTCACTCACCCATTGTCACTCACATATACTGACTGTGGATCTCCACATGCATATGAATCGGTGAGCACACATTGCATGCATTGGAGAACACCTCGTCACTTCCATGCCTCATCGTCCATGCGTTATCCACTAGTGTTGCTCACTACACCTCAGACAGATTCACAAACACACAACAACACGCACACAGGCACATTGTCCAGTTGACACATTTCGACCACATCCAACACTCGATCGACAAGTAACGGTGGTGTGCACTGATCCGATGTGGTGTGGAATGCCTACACATACGACTAGTCACCGATCTCATCAACATTCCACAACACGTCAATCAAGGAAACAAGTGTGTGAAACAGATTACCTGTGTGTCGAGAACATTCTCCTCACTGGCACTGGCACTGGCAGTGGCACCAAAACCAACACCAACACCCATGTGACTGATGGAGTCAGAGTCTCCTGAAGTGACTCTGGTCTCATTGTCTCCGGTCTGACGTTCACTCGTCGATGCTGGTTGTTCACTTGACACCTAAAAGTGAAAGAGATCATAGAGTGGATTAGGCTGGAGTGTGTAGTGTTCAGTATTCGGTGCTAGATTGTGACTGTGTGAGACCTATGCATTATATTTGTGTTGTCATGATTCCTGTTTGCTAGTGGTTGTGTGGATGAAGTGTCAATGGTGACTTGGTCAGATCAATCCTCATCTGACATGTTAAGGTCGACAGTCACCCAACCACATCCCACCTCTACTCACTGGATCCACTGAAAACACATACAATGACAGTTTGTGGTGTGTTCATTGTCACGTCACAGATTTTCACAGCATCTCATATCACACATTCACACAACTTGTCAATCAGTGAGCTGATCCAAGTTGTATGCAGTCACAATGCACCATTCAGTCAGCACACATATTTGCTGTCGACAACCTCGGTCGCAATCCCAGTCACATCTCCATCAAGTCACTCACCCATTGTCACTCACATATACTGACTGTGGATCTCCACATGCATATGAATCGGTGAGCACACATTGCATGCATTGGAGAACACCTCGTCACTTCCATGCCTCATCGTCCATGCGTTATCCACTAGTGTTGCTCACTACACCTCAGACAGATTCACAAACACACAACAACACGCACACAGGCACATTGTCCAGTTGACACATTTCGACCACATCCAACACTCGATCGACAAGTAACGGTGGTGTGCACTGATCCGATGTGGTGTGGAATGCCTACACATACGACTAGTCACCGATCTCATCAACATTCCACAACACGTCAATCAAGGAAACAAGTGTGTGAAACAGATTACCTGTGTGTCGAGAACATTCTCCTCACTGGCACTGGCACTGGCAGTGGCACCAAAACCAACACCAACACCCATGTGACTGATGGAGTCAGAGTATCCTGAAGTGTCTCTGGTCTCATTGTCACCGGTCTGACGTTCACTCGTCGATGCTGGTTGTTCACTTGACACCTGAAAGTGAAAGAGATCATAGAGTGGATTAGACTGGAGTGTGTAGTGTGCAGTATTCGGTGCTAGATTGTGACTGTGTGAGACCTATGCATTATATTTGTGTTGTCATGATTCCTGTTTGCTAGTGGTTGTGTGCATTATGTGTCAATGGTGACTTGGTCAGACCAATAATCATCTGACATGTTATGGTCGACTGTCACCCAACCACATCCCACCTCTACTCACTGGATCCACTGAAAACACATACAATGACAGTTTGTGGTGTGTTCATTGTCACGTCACAGATTTTCACAGCATCTCATATCACACATTCACACAACTTGTCAATCAGTGAGCTGATCCAAGTTGTATGCAGTCACAATGCACCATTCAGTCAGCACACATATTTGCTGTCGACAACCTCGGTCGCAATCCCAGTCACACCTCCATCAAGTCACTCACCCATTGTCACACACATATACTGACTGTGGATCTCCACATGCATATGAATCGGTGAGCACACATTGCATGCATTGGAGAACACCTCGTCACTTCCATGCCTCATCGTCCATGCGTTATCCACTAGTGTTGCTCACTACACCTCAGACAGATTCACAAACACACAACAACACGCACACAGGCACATTGTCCAGTTGACACATTTCGACCACATCCAACACTCGATCGACAAGTAACGGTGGTGTGCACTGATCCGATGTGGTGTGGAATGCCTACACATACGACTAGTCACCGATCTCATCAACATTCCACAACACGTCAATCAAGGAAACAAGTGTGTGAAACAGATTACCTGTGTGTCGAGAACATTCTCCTCACTGGCACTGGCACTGGCAGTGGCACCAAAACCAACACCAACACCCATGTGACTGATGGAGTCAGAGTATCCTGAAGTGTCTCTGGTCTCATTGTCACCGGTCTGACGTTCACTCGTCGATGCTGGTTGTTCACTTGACACCTGAAAGTGAAAGAGATCATAGAGTGGATTAGACTGGAGTGTGTAGTGTGCAGTATTCGGTGCTAGATTGTGACTGTGTGAGACCTATGCATTATATTTGTGTTGTCATGATTCCTGTTTTGTAGTGGTTGTGTGCATTATGTGTCAATGGTGACTTGGTCAGATCAATCCTCATCTGACATGTTAAGGTCGACAGTCACCCAACCACATCCCACCTCTACTCACTGGATCCACTGAAAACACATACAATGACAGTTTGTGGTGTGTTCATTGTCACGTCACAGATTTTCACAGCATCTCATATCACACATTCACACAACTTGTCAATCGGTGAGCTGATCCAAGTTGTATGCAGTCACAATGCACCATTCAGTCAGCACACATATTTGCTGTCGACAACCTCAGTCGCAATCCCAGTCACATCTCCATCAGGTCACTCACCCATTGTCACTCACATATACTGACTGTGGATCTCCACATGCATATGAATCGGTGAGCACACATTGCATGCATTGGAGAACACCTCGTCACTTCCATGCCTCATCGTCCATGCGTTATCCACTAGTGTTGCTCACTACACATCAGACAGATTCACAAACACACAACAACACGCACACAGGCACATTGTCCAGTTGACACATTTCGACCACATCCAACACTCGATCGACAAGTAACGGTGGTGTGCACTGATCCGATGTGGGGTGGAATGCCTACACATACGACTAGTCACCGATCTCATCAACATTCCACAACACGTCAATCAAGGAAACAAGTGTGTGAACCAGATTACCTGTGTGTCGAGAACATTCTCCTCACTGGCACTGGCACTGGCAGTGGCACCAAAACCAACACCAACACCCATGTGACTGATGGAGTCAGAGTCTCCTGAAGTGACTCTGGTCTCATTGTCTCCGGTCTGACGTTCACTCGTCGATGCTGGTTGTTCACTTGACACCTGAAAGTGAAAGAGATCATAGAGTGGATTAGGCTGGAGTGTGTAGTGTTCAGTATTCGGTGCTAGATTGTGACTGTGTGAGACCTATGCATTATATTTGTGTTGTCATGATTCCTGTTTTGTAGTGGTTGTGTGCATTATGTGTCAATGGTGACTTGGTCAGACCAATAATCATCTGACATGTTATGGTCGACTGTCACCCAACCACATCCCACCTCTACTCACTGGATCCACTGAAAACACATACAATGACAGTTTGTGGTGTGTTCATTGTCACGTCACAGATTTTCACAGCATCTCATATCACACATTCACACAACTTGTCAATCAGTGAGCTGATCCAAGTTGTCTGCAGTCACAATGCACCATTCAGTCAGCACACATATTTGCTGTCGACAACCTCAGTCGCAATCCCAGTCACATCTCCATCAAGTCACTCACCCATTGTCACTCACATATACTGACTGTGGATCTCCACATGCATATGCATCGGTGAGCACACATTGCATGCATTGGAGAACACCTCGTCACTTCCATGCCTCATCGTCCATGCGTTATCCACTAGTGTTGGTCACTACACCTCAGACAGATTCACAAACACACAACAACACGCACACAGGCACATTGTCCAGTTGACACATTTCGACCACATCCAACACCCGATCGACAAGTAACGGTGGTGTGCACTGATCCGATGTGGTGTGGAATGCCTACACATACGACTAGTCAACGATCTCATCAACATTCCACAACACGTCAATCAAGGAAACAAGTGTGTGAAACAGATTACCTGTGTGTCGAGAACATTCTCCTCACTGGCATTGGCACTTGCACCGACACCAACACCAACACCAACACCCATGTGTTTGATGGAGTCAGAGTATCCAGAAGTGTCTCTGGTCTCAATGTCTCCGGTCTGACGTTCACTCGTCGATGCTGGTTGTTCACTTGACACCTGAAAGTGAAAGAGATCATAGAGTGGATTAGGCTGGAGTGTGTAGTGTTCAGTATTCGGTGCTAGATTGTGACTATGTGAGACCTATGCATTATATTTGTGTTGTCATGATTCCTGTTTTGTAGTGGTTGTGTGGATTATGTGTCAATGGTGACTTGGTCAGATCAATCCTCATCTGACATGTTATGGTCGACTGTCACCCAACCACATCCCACCTCTACTCACTGGATCCACTGAAAACACATACAATGACAGTTTGTGGTGTGTTCATTGTCACGTCACAGATTTTCACAGCATCTCATATCACACATTCACACAACTTGTCAATCGGTGAGCTGATCCAAGTTGTATGCAGTCACAATGCACCATTCAGTCAGCACACATATTTGCTGTCGACAACCTCAGTCGCAATCCCAGTCACATCTCCATCAGGTCACTCACCCATTGTCACTCACATATACTGACTGTGGATCTCCACATGCATATGAATCGGTGAGCACACATTGCATGCATTGGAGAACACCTCGTCACTTCCATGCCTCATCGTCCATGCGTTATCCACTAGTGTTGGTCACTACACATCAGACAGATTCACAAACACACAACAACACGCACACAGGCACATTGTCCAGTTGACACATTTCGACCACATCCAACACTCGATCGACAAGTAACGGTGGTGTGCACTGATCCGATGTGGGGTGGAATGCCTACACATACGACTAGTCACCGATCTCATCAACATTCCACAACACGTCAATCAAGGAAACAAGTGTGTGAACCAGATTACCTGTGTGTCGAGAACATTCTCCTCACTGGCACTGGCACTGGCAGTGGCACCAAAACCAACACCAACACCCATGTGACTGATGGAGTCAGAGTCTCCTGAAGTGACTCTGGTCTCATTGTCTCCGGTCTGACGTTCACTCGTCGATGCTGGTTGTTCACTTGACACCTGAAAGTGAAAGAGATCATAGAGTGGATTAGGCTGGAGTGTGTAGTGTTCAGTATTCGGTGCTAGATTGTGACTATGTGAGACCTATGCATTATATTTGTGTTGTCATGATTCCTGTTTTGTAGTGGTTGTGTGCATTATGTGTCAATGGTGACTTGGTCAGACCAATAATCATCTGACATGTTATGGTCGACTGTCACCCAACCACATCCCACCTCTACTCACTGGATCCACTGAAAACACATACAATGACAGTTTGTGGTGTGTTCATTGTCACGTCACAGATTTTCACAGCATCTCATATCACACATTCACACAACTTGTCAATCAGTGAGCTGATCCAAGTTGTCTGCAGTCACAATGCACCATTCAGTCAGCACACATATTTGCTGTCGACAACCTCAGTCGCAATCCCAGTCACATCTCCATCAAGTCACTCACCCATTGTCACTCACATATACTGACTGTGGATCTCCACATGCATATGCATCGGTGAGCACACATTGCATGCATTGGAGAACACCTCGTCACTTCCATGCCTCATCGTCCATGCGTTATCCACTAGTGTTGCTCACTACACCTCAGACAGATTCACAAACACACAACAACACGCACACAGGCACATTGTCCAGTTGACACATTTCGACCACATCCAACACTCGATCGACAAGTAACGGTGGTGTGCACTGATCCGATGTGGTGTGGAATGCCTACACATACGACTAGTCACCGATCTCATCAACATTCCACAACACGTCAATCAAGGAAACAAGTGTGTGAAACAGATTACCTGTGTGTCGAGAACATTCTCCTCACTGGCATTGGCACTTGCACCGACACCAACACCAACACCAACACCCATGTGTTTGATGGAGTCAGAGTATCCAGAAGTGTCTCTGGTCTCAATGTCTCCGGTCTGACGTTCACTCGTCGATGCTGGTTGTTCACTTGACACCTGAAAGTGAAAGAGATCATAGAGTGGATTAGGCTGGAGTGTGTAGTGTTCAGTATTCGGTGCTAGATTGTGACTATGTGAGACCTATGCATTATATTTGTGTTGTCATGATTCCTGTTTTGTAGTGGTTGTGTGGATGAAGTGTCAATGGTGACTTGGTCAGATCAATCCTCATCTGACATGTTATGGTCGACTGTCACCCAACCACATCCCACCTCTACTCACTGGATCCACTGAAAACACATACAATGACAGTTTGTGGTGTGTTCATTGTCACGTCACAGATTTTCACAGCATCTCATATCACACATTCACACAACTTGTCAATCAGTGAGCTGATCCAAGTTGTATGCAGTCACAATGCACCATTCAGTCAGCACACATATTTGCTGTCGACAACCTCAGTCGCAATCCCAGTCACATCTCCATCAGGTCACTCACCCATTGTCACTCACATATACTGACTGTGGATCTCCACATTCATATGAATCGGTGAGCACACATTGCATGCATTGGAGAACACCTCGTCACTTCCATGCCTCATCGTCCATGCGTTATCCACTAGTGTTGGTCACTACACATCAGACAGATTCACAAACACACAACAACACGCACACAGGCACATTGTCCAGTTGACACATTTCGACCACATCCAACACTCGATCGACAAGTAACGGTGGTGTGCACTGATCGGATGTGGGGTGGAATGCCTACACATACGACTAGTCACCGATCTCATCAACATTCCACAACACGTCAATCAAGGAAACAAGTGTGTGAACCAGATTACCTGTGTGTCGAGAACATTCTCCTCACTGGCACTGGCACTGGCAGTGGCACCAAAACCAACACCAACACCCATGTGACTGATGGAGTCAGAGTCTCCTGAAGTGTCTCTGGTCTCATTGTCTCCGGTCTGACGTTCACTCGTCGATGCTGGTTGTTCACTTGACACCTGAAAGTGAAAGAGATCATAGAGTGGATTAGGCTGGAGTGTGTAGTGTGCAGTATTTGGTGCTAGACTGTGACCGGGTGAGACCTATGCATTATATTTGTGTTGTCATGATTCCTGTTTTGTAGTGGTTGTGTGCATTATGTGTCAATGGTGACTTGGTTAGACCAATCCTCATCTAACATGTTATGGTCGACTGTCACCCAACCACATCCCACCTCTACTCACTGGATCCACTGAAAACACATACAATGACAGTTTGTGGTGTGTTCATTGTCACGTCACAGATTTTCACAGCATCTCATATCACACATTCACACAACTTGACAACCAGTGAGCTGATCCAAGTTGTCTGCAGTCACAATGCACCATTCAGTCAGCACACATATTTGCTGTCGACAACCTCAGTCGCAATCCCAGTCACATCTCCATCAGGTCACTCACCCATTGTCACTCACATATACTGACTGTGGATCTCCACATTCATATGAATCGGTGAGCACACATTGCATGCATTGGAGAACACCTCGTCACTTCCATGCCTCTTCGTCCATGCGTTATCCACTAGTGTTGCTCACTACACCTCAGACAGATTCACAAACACACAACAACACGCACACAGGCACATTGTTCAGTTGACACATTTCGACCACATCCAACACTCGATCGACAAGTAACGGTGGTGTGCACTGATCCGATGTGGTGTGGAATGCCTACACATACGACTAGTCACCGATCTCATCAACATTCCACAACACGTCAATCAAGGAAACAAGTGTGTGAAACAGATTACCTGTGTGTCGAGAACATTCTCCTCACTGGCATTGGCACTTGCACCGACACCAACACCAACACCAACACCCATGTGTTTGATGGAGTCAGAGTATCCAGAAGTGTCTCTGGTCTCAATGTCTCCGGTCTGACGTTCACTCGTCGATGCTGGTTGTTCACTTGACACCTGAAAGTGAAAGAGATCATAGAGTGGATTAGGCTGGAGTGTGTAGTGTTCAGTATTCGGTGCTAGATTGTGACTATGTGAGACCTATGCATTATATTTGTGTTGTCATGATTCCTGTTTTGTAGTGGTTGTGTGGATGAAGTGTCAATGGTGACTTGGTCAGATCAATCCTCATCTGACATGTTATGGTCGACTGTCACCCAACCACATCCCACCTCTACTCACTGGATCCACTGAAAACACATACAATGACAGTTTGTGGTGTGTTCATTGTCACGTCACAGATTTTCACAGCATCTCATATCACACATTCACACAACTTGTCAATCAGTGAGCTGATCCAAGTTGTATGCAGTCACAATGCACCATTCAGTCAGCACACATATTTGCTGTCGACAACCTCAGTCGCAATCCCAGTCACATCTCCATCAAGTCACTCACCCATTGTCACTCACATATACTGACTGTGGATCTCCACATTCATATGAATCGGTGAGCACACATTGCATGCATTGGAGAACACCTCGTCACTTCCATGCCTCATCGTCCATGCGTTATCCACTAGTGTTGGTCACTACACCTCAGACAGATTCACAAACACACAACAACACGCACACAGGCACATTGTCCAGTTGACACATTTCGACCACATCCAACACTCGATCGACAAGTAACGGTGGTGTGCACTGATCCGATGTGGTGTGGAATGCCTACACATACGACTAGTCACCGATCTCATCAACATTCCACAACACGTCAATCAAGGAAACAAGTGTGTGAACCAGATTACCTGTGTGTCGAGAACATTCTCCTCACTGGCACTGGCACTGGCAGTGGCACCAAAACCAACACCAACACCCATGTGACTGATGGAGTCAGAGTCTCCTGAAGTGTCTCTGGTCTCATTGTCTCCGGTCTGACGTTCACTCGTCGATGCTGGTTGTTCACTTGACACCTGAAAGTGAAAGAGATCATAGAGTGGATTAGGCTGGAGTGTGTAGTGTGCAGTATTTGGTGCTAGACTGTGACCAGGTGAGACCTATGCATTATATTTGTGTTGTCATGATTCCTGTTTTGTAGTGGTTGTGTGCATTATGTGTCAATGGTGACTTGGTTAGACCAATCCTCATCTAACATGTTATGGTCGACTGTCACCCAACCACATCCCACCTCTACTCACTGGATCCACTGAAAACACATACAATGACAGTTTGTGGTGTGTTCATTGTCACGTCACAGATTTTCACAGCATCTCATATCACACATTCACACAACTTGACAACCAGTGAGCTGATCCAAGTTGTCTGCAGTCACAATGCACCATTCAGTCAGCACACATATTTGCTGTCGACAACCTCAGTCGCAATCCCAGTCACATCTCCATCAGGTCACTCACCCATTGTCACTCACATATACTGACTGTGGATCTCCACATTCATATGAATCGGTGAGCACACATTGCATGCATTGGAGAACACCTCGTCACTTCCATGCCTCTTCGTCCATGCGTTATCCACTAGTGTTGCTCACTACACCTCAGACAGATTCACAAACACACAACAACACGCACACAGGCACATTGTTCAGTTGACACATTTCGACCACATCCAACACTCGATCGACAAGTAACGGTGGTGTGCACTGATCCGATGTGGTGTGGAATGCCTACACATACGACTAGTCACCGATCTCATCAACATTCCACAACACGTCAATCAAGGAAACAAGTGTGTGAAACAGATTACCTGTGTGTCGAGAACATTCTCCTCACTGGCATTGGCACTTGCACCGACACCAACACCAACACCCATGTGACTGATGGAGTCAGAGTATCCTGAAGTGTCTCTGGTCTCATTGTCACCGGTCTGACGTTCACTCGTCGATGCTGGTTGTTCACTTGACACCTGAAAGTGAAAGAGATCATAGAGCGGATTAGACTGGACCTAAAATTGTCACTATTTATAACTCAGAAATGCTAAATATTGATCTCCACATTAATACACAGAAAACCAGGGAGGCTACGATCACGGTCACGGTGTCGACGTGAGACCTGATCACCTCAACACATACTCAATGCATTCTTGACTCCAAATTCAAGTGATCTGATAGGAGACCCACGGTACAGGTACTCACGGGACAACTCTCACACACAGTTACACAGAGAGTGAGAGAGCGTCACAGACACAGACACAGACACATCACAGATCGACAAATTTATCGACATTCCACAACACTGCAATCAAGGAAACAAGTGTTTGAATGAGATTACCTGTGTTCCGAGAACATTCTCTCCTCCGGAATCGACACGATCCATGCGACTGACAGAATGGGTGCCTGTCGAAGCGTCTCCACTCACATCTCCTTCAGCTCCAACTACCTCTGTCAGTGCTGGTCTTCCACCTGGTACCTGAAATGGAATGAGATCACAGAGTGGATTAAGCGCGAGTGTGTAGTGTGCAGTAATTAGTGCTGGATTGCAAGTGTGTGAGACCTATGCATTATGTTTGGTGAGACATTCATAGTGTTTTAGTGGTTGTCTGGATCACATGTCTGAAGTGAATTACTCGGCACACTCCTCACCTGTCATGTTCTCATCTAGCCAATCATCTGCCTCCCATTCACCCGAATCGACTTCACACATTCTCTGAAGAATCCATGTGCCTGTCGAATAGCATCTTTGTTCCTTGTCCGTCCAACACTGAGACACACTCACTTACTCACACTCTACTTCACACAACCAAACTCAACTCAGTCACTTCATCACAAGTGCTTCTATTCACAGTCGCCCTTTCACTCACCACTCATATGCCGGATTGCCGACTCCAATGAGAATCATCAATACTGAACGACGAAATCGAACATCACATATCAGTCGCGCACACCACCTGGCAATCTATGCATGCTTATGAATAGGCGAACACACATTGGATGGGTTGGACAATGCCACGTGAATTCAACGGATGGTCGACAATGCTTCGTCGAACCAATGTTGCTCAGCACACATCGGACAGATTCACAAATACTGAAAATCACATACACACACAACCAGGGTGGCTACGATGGATGGACTTTCTAGAGAGATACGATCTTCTTGTTGACACCAAGAAACGGCGATTAACACTAAAAGAAACTTCGTTTTACACAAAAGGCAAAGAAAGTCACATCAGCTCTCTTAACTTGATTCAAACCCCTCCAGTAACAACAGCGAAATTCCAAGATATACTCGCGGAATTTCCAAACTTAACTAAACCAAACCCACAGCCTTCCAAAGACAAACTAAATGTAAGTCACACTATCAAAACCGAAGGTGCACCGGTGTTTGCAAAACCCATCAGACTAGCACCAGATAAGCTCAAAATCGCTAGGGCCGAGTTTGATTATATGCTACAACTGGGTATTATCCGTCCCTCTGATAGTCAATGGGCATCCCCTTTGCATATGGTCCCAAAGAAGAATGAAGGTGACTGGCGACCGTGCGGGGATTACAGAGCCCTCAACCGTCAAACCGTACCAGATAGGTACCCAATACCGCATATCCAAGATTTCACAAACGGTTTACAGGGTATGAACATATTCACTAAAATTGACTTAGTCAGGGCATATCACAATATCCCGGTGGCTGATGAAGATATCCCTAAGACAGCTATTACAACACCCTTTGGCTTATTCGAGTTTGTACGCATGCCATTCGGCCTGAGAAATGCGGCACAGACATTTCAAAGATTCATAGATAACCTACTTCGAGATATGCCATTTGCGCAGGGGTATATAGACGACTTGTTAATTGCCAGCCCCGATTTGCAATCACACGAAGAGCATGTACGAGCAGTGTTGACAAGATTGAATGAACATGCAATAAACATACATCAAAGTAAGTGTGTTTTCGGTGTTCAAACTTTAGAATTTCTTGGTCACACAATAAGCCCAGAAGGGATTAAACCTATAAAAAAAGAAGTGGATACCATCAAACAATACCCGACACCTAGCTCTCTAACACAAACGAGAAGTTTTCTAGGTCTAATTAACTTTTATCGCAGATTCATACCAGGTTGTGCACAATTAATGCAACCTTTAACAGATTCACTTAAAGGAAAACCAAAAGAATTCAAACTGTCTTCTGACGCCGTCGAAGCTATTAAACAGCTTAAAGATAAACTGGCTCAAGCAACTACGTTGATATATCCGAATTCTCTTTCCCCACTTGCTTTGATGGTGGATGCTTCAGATAAAGCGGTAGGCGGTACCCTTAACCAACTGGTCAAAAACGCCTGGAAACCAATTGCTTTCTTCTCAAAAAGACTCGCTCCAGCAGAGACAAGGTATTCTACCTTCGGGCGAGAACTTCTTGCAATCTACCTGACCATTAAACACTTCCGACACATGTTAGAAGGTAGGGAATTTATAGTCTTTACGGATCACAAACCACTGACGAATGCATTAAAAGCGAGAGCCGATAAATACTCACCTCGAGAAGTCCGACACCTTGACTATATATCACAGTTCACAAGCGATATCCGACATGTCAAAGGTCAGGACAATCAGGCGGCAGATGCTTTATCCAGACTAGAAATGAACGTGCTACAGCAGTCTACAGTAAACTTCGAGACGTTGAGACACGAACAAGAGCAGGACCTAGAATTACAAAACCTACTTAAAACAAACAATTCAAGTCTTAATTTAAAACAGTTCCCATCACCTATCGATGGTATTCTAATTTACTGTGACACGACCAAGGCAATGCCGCGACCTTTCGTTCCCAAAAATATGCGAAAGTTGATATATAATAACTTTCATTCTTTGTCTCATCCTGGCGCAAAAGCTTCAACTAAACTAATCAATGCTAGATATATATGGCCGAATTTACAGAAGGATGTACACAAATGGGTTTATTTATTTATTTATTTGAGCACATAAATATTGGTACAAGAGAGCGCCAATATATATGCGCCACACAAAACAATGAAAATTCGAAGAGAGAAAAGAAAAAAAAAACTAAGGAGCACAAAGGAAAAAGAGAACGATAACAAAGAGATTGGTGAAAGGTAGTGCGGTCGTAACGATGGAACGGAAAGGTACAATCGGAAGAAATCTTTCAAGTAAGGGAGACACAACCACTTTTTATGAAGAAAGTAAAAGAAGGTTACAGCAGGATCGCCACTGGCTTCTATTCTGAGCCATATCTGATAACGTCTCTAGCCACTGTGTAGCACCATCTCTCAGACCCCAACCAGGGAGTCGTGAAGGACCGACAGAAGCCAGTCCTTTGCAGCTTTCTTTCATACCACGACACCATGTCATGCACTGACCACCTCTCCGCTTTTTCCAACCAGTCCCAGAGTCGGCAAACAATGCACGACGTGGAATTCTCTGGGACGACATTCGTAGAACATGTCCAAGCCACCGAAGTCGGTGTTTCAAGATGGTGACACCAATTGAATTATCATCTCTGTGCCCAAACACACGATGCCGAACCTCTGCATTACTAACATGGTGTTGCCACTGAATGTCAGCAATCCTTCGGAGACAGCGATGATCAAACACAGAGAGTCGTCTAACGTCCTCAACTCGGAGAGGCCAGGTTTCACAAGCATAGAGCAAAACTGCTCTCACCGACGCGTTGTAGATCCGACCTTTTACAGCCAGACTTACATCACGAAGGCGCCAAAGGTGGCCCAGATTGGCATAAGCCGCTCTGGCTTTCACTATACGTGCATTGATCTCATCACTCACACCCCCACCAGCACTTATGCAGCTACCCAGATACACGAACTTCTCGACTACTTCTATCTGCTCACCATCCAGGGTGAGTACAGGATTGGAATCCTGCCAGTCTTGTAGAAGTACTTTGCACTTCGAAGGTGCAAAACACATACCATACCTACGGACACTGATTGCCAACTGATTAAGTGCGGATTGCATGCCTTGGGCATTATCGCACAGTAAGACAATATCGTCCGCATACTCAAGGTCGAGAAGTCTTTCTCCAGGCAACAGATCCACACCACCATTACTTACATTCATCAGAGCTGTTTCCAGAATGTCATCGATGGCAAAGTTGAAGAGGAATGGTGAGATTGGGCAACCCTGCCTAACCCCACTACTCGTATAGAACAATGGAGAGAGGTGGTTGTATGCCCTCACTCTGCCTGAGGTGTTTTTATATAGGGCTTTTAGGATGTTAATAAACTTCTCAGGCACACCCTTCTTCAATAGACAATCCCAGAGAACAGTCCTGTCCAACGAATCGAAGGCAGCCCTGATGTCAAGAAACACTACGATTGTTGGCCTTTGATAAGTATGGCGATGTTCTAACATTTGGCGGAGGGTGAAGATATGATCAATACAACCTCGACCAGAACGAAACCCAGCCTGCTCCTCGCGAGTCAATCTTTCTCGGGTTTTGAACAACCTACGAAGTATGACGGAAGCCAATAGCTTGGACGCGATCGGAAGTAGACTTATCCCCCGATAGTTGTTGCAGGAACGACGTGAACCCTTTTTAAAGATAGGGACAACTATCGACTCATTCCATGACGTTGGTACACTCTCTAATTCCCAAACCTTTGTAAACAACGTCGTCAATTCCTTAGTCAAAAAGTCACCGCCATCTTTAAAAAGAGCCGGAGGTAAGTCATCTGGGCCAGGTGATTTGTAACGCTTCAAGAGTTGGAGTTCCTTGCGGACTTCCACAAATGGGTTAGAGAGTGTTTAGCATGCCAACAATCAAAGATTAATCGTCACACAAATTCACCCATAGGTGTTTTCTCGCAACCAGATGCACGTTTTGCACATGTGCATATCGACTTGGTAGGTCCTTTACCCCGTTCAAATGGTTTTAATTATCTTTTTACATGCATAGATCGATTTACCAGATTCCCTATAGCCATCCCGATAGCGAACATCACAGCGGAAACAGTAGCCAAAGCTTTCATGCAGAACTGGGTAACCATTTTTGGTACACCCATAACAATAACGACGGATAGAGGAGCGCAATTCGAATCCGAACTATTTAATAACTTGGCTAAACTTCTAGGCTCTAATAGGATACGCTGCATTGCATATCATCCTCAGGCTAATGGGATGGTAGAACGTTTTCACCGTCAGCTAAAAACCGCCCTTATATCTCACTCAAACCCCAATCAGTGGACAGAATTCCTACCATTAGTTATGTTGGGAATACGAACATCTGTCAAAACTGACACCCAATGTTCAGCTGCGGAACTGGTTTTCGGAACAACTCTGAGACTACCAGGTGAATTTATTAACCCTAATACTAACAGTCAAAAACTTAATTTAGAAAATTACGTAGATCAACTACGGGACCATATGTTCAAACTTAAACCAATTAATACTCGCGAACAATCGCGCGCCGTATATGTACCTAAAGACCTAAGCAATTGCACGCACGTCTGGATAAGATGTGATAAAATAAAATCACCACTCAGTCCTCCATTTGAAGGTCCTTTCAAAGTCGTCTCAAGAAAATCTAAATATTTCGTGATAAAAAAGCATGGAAACATCGACACAATAAGTATTGATAGGCTAAAGCCGGCTTATCTAGATCATGAACCACCATACGTATTGTTAGATCGTTTAACTGACAAATCCATTACGGAATCGAAATGTAAAGATGATAAATCTTTACAAATGACTAAAACGGTTCGCTGGGCACATCCAATTAGTCAGTCAAGGATGTTGACAGTTTCGGCTGCAGGATAAAATCTAAGCACGTAGCTAATCAGACCCTGCATCTACTCAAAAATATTTTTCCCCTCATTCCGCCTCACCTACAACTCCCCAGACCTTTTACCTTTGATATATAAGTGTTGTGTTAAATATTTTTTTAATACTGGACACATAAGCTAGGTATTCCGAAACGATGGCTGAGGATTTTAATCAAACTCATACAACTAACACTGGCAAATACAACGAATTCAAAAAGCAACCCAGGCGAGTTTTATAATTTCTTTTTCTGGTTAATTAACTATGTTGGCTGTACTTCTTATATATCTCTATACATTTTTCACGTAGACTGGCAATATATATATACAATATGAACTACTTCTAAAAGTTTTCGGTCGAAGATATGTTTAGTAGCTTGATACGATTAATACTACTATTAATAAGTGGTTTTCTAGACAAAACATTTTGGATTAAACCATGGCCAAGTACTTATTAAAGTTCTTATCAGTTTTTTTATGTTTAGGAAACTTACGTAATGACTTAACCAGTTTTCCTACAGCATGCTTTTTAGTGTGATCATATAACCCATCTTTATTGGCAATATTCAGAATTTTTTTAAATTTCTGACATTTAAGAATCAATAACCGTGGAGATATAGTACAGTGCGTTACTGTAAGGTTACTATGTTAGCCGCATTGATTCCACATACCTAATTTTAAACACAACTTATAAAGGAACTATTAAGTAATCATAACATCGAACTAACGACATGACTATCACAGCTATGTTAACGTTAAACCAATTATTATTAGTGGTCCTGACAAAACCCTGGAACTTAACACTAGCGTTATAAAAAAGACATGTTATGTCAGTAACTTTTATACATATATATATATATATATATATATATATATACTTTTTCTCTCGGTTTAAGTATAACGTAAAATGGAAATTACAAAACTTGTAGATTTTATTTTCTATAGTATTATTAGTAATCCAAACAAAGAACATGTACTGTTCCAATATGGCATTTTGACATATCAATCAGTCCTCCTATTATCTTTCTCTCATATCTGAGCAACTTATGGCCAACAAACATCGTATTGAAGGGGGTTTCGATGAACAAAAACGCGTGACCCACACGCACTCGAACCTCTGCCCTCCTGAATGCTAGACCGCGTACCTAGCCATTAGGCCACATCAGACCACGAGGGGGTGACTGCAATCTTTACTTTTACCGATTATTCATTCATAATACTAATGAGTAATAGGACTTACACACTTCTAAGGTGCAGACAAATTCGTTACTTTGATGAATTGACGTAATATTGCCTCAGTATATCAGACATATTTAAATCAAACCAGAAAAGAGTATTTGACACAACTGTACTTGATCCACAATTTCCTCCCCTCTTTAACCGTATATTCTCTTCCGTTTTATGGAGTAAAATTATGCACCCTTGGTTACGTACCTGGTTATAAAAGGCGGTTGTCACAGTCCCAAGGTCACACATTTGAACGGGTTTGACAATGAGTCCAACTTCTAGCAAGTTTACACTTTTACATATATACATTATAAAAAAAGGATTTTATTTGTTTTCATACCTTTTCGTACACAAGATGGCTACACTATGTCTATTTTCTTCCAGAATACCAATCCGTTCTGGAGGCCAATCACTTACGTGGAACCGAACAATTATCAATTATATTTATGTATTTCCATTGTGTATCTTATTATTTTGATGCAGGCAGTGGAGCAGTTCTTTAGGTTTGATTGGTTTTCACCATTACCTTTGAAGTAGGTTCTTCTTTACTTTTTACTTGAGGGCGACTCAAGAGGCAGGTGAGTAAACACCTGATAGCCGGTCTGAGCATGGAAAAATCGTAACTCACCAACATGGTGTTGGGTAGCCCGCTCGCGGCACTTCCTCAGATATTCTTATTCCACAGTCTCACACTCTTTCTCATGAAAGCACGCAGCAAACCGTCAGCGATAGTTGTAGAAATCACATGCTACAAAATAAGATGACAAGCTAGTAAATGAAGAGACATCCATGGACTACCGTTGACAGCGTTAGTTGCCACTGAATGTAAGTCAAACATTGAGTGAGTTGATAATTTTCCCTTGGGATGAGAAATAGAACTAAGGTGATTTTGATAGATAGGTTAATCGAACCGACGTTCATACGGAAGTCGATTCTAGGGGGAAGCTAATGTAACAGCATAGGTTGGTTGGTAAAGAGTTGACGCCAAACAACCAAGCATATGCCAAAATAGTAATGTTCAAGTATTCATTCACTGCCTTATTTTGTATAAGAGTTATATTCCCTATTATCTTATATTGAATGTTGAAAGCTTTTGTTTGTCTGAACAGATAATCCCACGCTCAACTGTGACTGCGCTAAGAAGGAAATAAAGAGCTACTCACTACTTGTCTGGCTACTTCTATCAATAACACGAGGGTTACCTATAGGCACGAAAGACTAACTTACTCACATTCTACTTCACACAACCAAACTCAACTCAGTCACTTCATCACAAGTGCTTCTATTCACAGTCGCCCTTTCACTCACCACTCATATGCAGGATTGCCGACTCCAATGAGAATCATCAATACTGAACGACGAAATCGAACATCACATATCAGTCGCGCACACCACCTGGCAATCTATGCATGCTTATGAATAGGCGAACACACATTGGATGGGTTGGACAATGCCACGTGAATTCAACGGATGGTCGACAATGCTTCGTCGAACCAATGTTGCTCAGCACACATCGGACAGATTCACAAATACTGAAAATCACATACACACACAACCAGGGTGGCTACGATCACGGTCACGGTGTCGACGTGAGACGTTTCCACCTCATCACATACTCAATGCATTCTTGACTCCAAATTCAAGTGATCTGATAGGAGACCCACGGTACAGGTACTCACGGGACAACTCTCACACACAGTTACACAGAGAGTGAGAGAGCGTCACAGACAGACACAGACACAGACACATCACAGATCGACAAATTTATCGACATTCCACAACACTGCGATCAAGGAAACAAGTGTTTGAATGAGATTACCTGTGTTCCGAGAACATTCTCTCCTCCGGAATCGACACGATCCATGCGACTGACAGAATGGGTGCCTGTCGAAGCGTCTCCACTCACATCTCCTTCAGCTCCAACTACCTCTGTCAGTGCAGGTCTTCCATCTGGTACCTGAAATGGAATGAGATCACAGAGTGGATTAAGCGCGAGTGTGTAGTGTGCAGTAATTAGTGCTGGATTGCAAGTGTGTGAGACCTATGCATTATGTTTGGTGAGACATTCATAGTGTTTTAGTGGTTGTCTGGATCACATGTCTGAAGTGAATTACTCGGCCTACTCCTCACCTGTCATGTTCTCATCTAGCCAATCATCTGCCTCCCATTCACCCGAATCGACTTCACACATTCTCTGAAGAATCCATGTGCCTGTCGAATAGCATCTTTGTTCCTTGTCCGTCCAACACTGAGACACACTCACTTACTCACACTCTACTTCACACAACCAAACTCAACTCAGTCACTTCATCACAAGTGCTTCTATTCACAGTCGCCCTTTCACTCACCACCATATGCCGGATTGCCGACTCCAATGAGAATCATCAATACTGAACGACGAAATCGAACATCACATATCAGTCGCGCACACCACCTGGCAATCTATGCATGCTTATGAATAGGCGAACACACATTGGATGGGTTGGACAATGCCACGTGAATTCAACGGATGGTCGACAATGCTTCGTCGAACCAATGTTGCTCAGCACACATCGGACAGATTCACAAATACTGAAAATCACATACACACACAACCAGGGTGGCTACGATCACGGTCACGGTGTCGACGTGAGACGTTTCCACCTCATCACATACTCAATGCATTCTTGACTCCAAATTCAAGTGATCTGATAGGAGACCCACGGTACAGGTACTCACGGGACAACTCTCACACACAGTTACACAGAGAGTGAGAGAGCGTCACAGACAGACACAGACACAGACACAGACACATCACAGATCGACAAATTTATCGACATTCCACAACACTGCAATCAAGGAAACAAGTGTTTGAATGAGATTACCTGTGTTCCGAGAACATTCTCTCCTCCGGAATCGACACGATCCATGCGACTGACAGAATGGGTGCCTGTCGAAGCGTCTCCACTCACATCTCCTTCAGCTCCAACTACCTCTGTCAGTGCTGGTCTTCCACCTGGTACCTGAAATGGAATGAGATCACAGAGTGGATTAAGCGCGAGTGTGTAGTGTGCAGTTATTAGTGCTGGATTGCAAGTGTGTGAGACCTATGCATTATGTTTGGTGAGACATTCATAGTGTTTTAGTGGTTGTCTGGATCACATGTCTGAAGTGAATTACTCGGCACACTCCTCACCTGTCATGTTCTCATCTAGCCAATCATCTGCCTCCCATTCACCCGAATCGACTTCACACATTCTCTGAAGAATCCATGTGCCTGTCGAATAGCATCTTTGTTCCTTGTCCGTCCAACACTGAGACACACTCACTTACTCACACTCTACTTCACACAACCAAACTCAACTCAGTCACTTCATCACAAGTGCTTCTATTCACAGTCGCCCTTTCACTCACCACCATATGCCGGATTGCCGACTCCAATGAGAATCATCAATACTGAACGACGAAATCGAACATCACATATCAGTCGCGCACACCACCTGGCAATCTATGCATGCTTATGAATAGGCGAACACACATTGGATGGGTTGGACAATGCCACGTGAATTCAACGGATGGTCGACAATGCTTCGTCGAACCAATGTTGCTCAGCACACATCGGACAGATTCACAAATACTGAAAATCACATACACACACAACCAGGGTGGCTACGATCACGGTCACGGTGTCGACGTGAGACGTTTCCACCTCATCACATACTCAATGCATTCTTGACTCCGAATTCAAGTGATCTGATAGGAGACCCACGGTACAGGTACTCACGGGACAACTCTCACACACAGTTACACAGAGAGTGAGAGAGCGTCACAGACAGACACAGACACAGACACAGACACATCACAGATCGACAAATTTATCGACATTCCACAACACTGCAATCAAGGAAACAAGTGTTTGAATGAGATTACCTGTGTTCCGAGAACATTCTCTCCTCCGGAATCGACACGATCCATGTGACTGACAGAATGGGTGCCTGTCGAAGCGTCTCCACTCACATCTCCTTCAGCTCCAACTACCTCTGTCAGTGCTGGTCTTCCACCTGGTACCTGAAATGGAATGAGATCACAGAGTGGATTAAGCGCGAGTGTGTAGTGTGCAGTAATTAGTGCTGGATTGCAAGTGTGTGAGACCTATGCATTATGTTTGGTGAGACATTCATAGTGTTTTAGTGGTTGTCTGGATCACATGTCTGAAGTGAATTACTCGGCACACTCCTCACCTGTCATGTTCTCATCTAGCCAATCATCTGCCTCCCATTCACCCGAATCGACTTCACACATTCTCTGAAGAATCCATGTGCCTGTCGAATAGCATCTTTGTTCCTTGTCCGTCCAACACTGAGACACACTCACTTACTCACACTCTACTTCACACAACCAAACTCAACTCAGTCACTTCATCACAAGTGCTTCTATTCACAGTCGCCCTTTCACTCACCACTCATATGCCGGATTGCCGACTCCAATGAGAATCATCAATACTGAACGACGAAATCGAACATCACATATCAGTCGCGCACACCACCTGGCAATCTATGCATGCTTATGAATAGGCGAACACACATTGGATGGGTTGGACAATGCCACGTGAATTCAACGGATGGTCGACAATGCTTCGTCGAACCAATGTTGCTCAGCACACATGGGACAGATTCACAAATACTGAAAATCACATACACACACAACCAGGGTGGCTACGATCACGGTCACGGTGTCGACGTGAGACGTTTCCACCTCATCACATACTCAATGCATTCTTGACTCCAAATTCAAGTGATCTGATAGGAGACCCACGGTACAGGTACTCACGGGACAACTCTCACACACAGTTACACAGAGAGTGAGAGAGCGTCACAGACAGACACAGACACAGACACAGACACATCACAGATCGACAAATTTATCGACATTCCACAACACTGCGATCAAGGAAACAAGTGTTTGAATGAGATTACCTGTGTTCCGAGAACATTCTCTCCTCCGGAATCGACACGATCCATGTGACTGACAGAATGGGTGCCTGTCGAAGCGTCTCCACTCACATCTCCTTCAGCTCCAACTACCTCTGTCAGTGCTGGTCTTCTACCTGGTACCTGAAATGGAATGAGATCACAGAGTGGATTAAGCGCGAGTGTGTAGTGTGCAGTTATTAGTGCTGGATTGCAAGTGTGTGAGACCTATGCATTATGTTTGGTGAGACATTCATAGTGTTTTAGTGGTTGTCTGGATCACATGTCTGAAGTGAATTACTCGGCACACTCCTCACCTGTCATGTTCTCATCTAGCCAATCATCTGCCTCCCATTCACCCGAATCGACTTCACACATTCTCTGAAGAATCCATGTGCCTGTAGAATAGCATCTTTGTTCCTTGTCCGTCCAACACTGAGACACACTCACTTACTCACACTCTACTTCACACAACCAAACTCAACTCAGTCACTTCATCACAAGTGCTTCTATTCACAGTCGCCCTTTCACTCACCACCATATGCCGGATTGCCGACTCCAATGAGAATCATCAATACTGAACGACGAAATCGAACATCACATATCAGTCGCGCACACCACCTGGCAATCTATGCATGCTTATGAATAGGCGAACACACATTGGATGGGTTGGACAATGCCACGTGAATTCAACGGATGGTCGACAATGATTCGTCGAACCAATGTTGCTCAGCACACATCGGACAGATTCACAAATACTGAAAATCACATACACACACAACCAGGGTGGCTACGATCACGGTCACGGTGTCGACGTGAGACGTTTCCACCTCATCACATACTCAATGCATTCTTGACTCCAAATTCAAGTGATCTGATAGGAGACCCACGGTACAGGTACTCACGGGACAACTCTCACACACAGTTACACAGAGAGTGAGAGAGCGTCACAGACAGACACAGACACAGACACAGACACATCACAGATCGACAAATTTATCGACATTCCACAACACTGCAATCAAGGAAACAAGTGTTTGAATGAGATTACCTGTGTTCCGAGAACATTCTCTCCTCCGGAATCGACACGATCCATGTGACTGACAGAATGGGTGCCTGTCGAAGCGTCTCCACTCACATCTCCTTCAGCTCCAACTACCTCTGTCAGTGCTGGTCTTCTACCTGGTACCTGAAATGGAATGAGATCACAGAGTGGATTAAGCGCGAGTGTGTAGTGTGCAGTAATTAGTGCTGGATTGCAAGTGTGTGAGACCTATGCATTATGTTTGGTGAGACATTCATAGTGTTTTAGTGGTTGTCTGGATCACATGTCTGAAGTGAATTACTCGGCACACTCCTCACCTGTCATGTTCTCATCTAGCCAATCATCTGCCTCCCATTCACCCGAATCGACTTCACACATTCTCTGAAGAATCCATGTGCCTGTCGAATAGCATCTTTGTTCCTTGTCCGTCCAACACTGAGACACACTCACTTACTCACACTCTACTTCACACAACCAAACTCAACTCAGTCACTTCATCACAAGTGCTTCTATTCACAGTCGCCCTTTCACTCACCACTCATATGCCGGATTGCCGACTCCAATTAGAATCTGTAACAGCATAGGTTGTCTGGTGAAGAGTTGACCCCAAACAAACAAGTATATGCCAAAACAGTATTGTTCAAGTATTAATTCACTTCCTTATTTTGCATAAGCGTTATATTCCTTATTATCTTATATTGAATGTTGAAAGACTTTGTTTGTCTGAATAAATAATAACACGCTCCACTGTGACTGCGCTAAGATCGAAATAAAGACTTATTCAATTTTTGTCTGGCTTCTTCTATCAATAACACGAGGGTTACCTATAGGCACGAAACTGGTGAGCCCTTTTTGAACACAAATTAACCTCATTTTTGTTATTAATATTATGTTTTTTACTCAATCGTAAAAGTAGACCTGATAATCCGTAAACTAAGTTGGGTATATAAATAGTTTATTCTTTTTATTATCTTAAGTTATTCGTGTCATACAAACCATTTTTTTTCGTGCTAATTTTATTGCTATATTTGTCACATACCTCATGTCAGACTTAAAAGAAACCCATAATCTGGAGGATTTGTCACCAGTGGAGATAGACACTGTTATGACTACGAAATCTCGACTTCCAGAATTTGATCGTAGTGATCCTGAGTTGTGGTTTGCTCAACTCGAGCATTATTTCACGAGACACAATATCAAATCTGAAGGGATTCGCTATAGAGATTTGTGTTCTATCTTTCCTCCTTCAGTCGCCAAAGAAGTCCGTGACTTGATTTTAGATCCACCATCACCACAACCGTACACCGTCTTAAGACGAGAGATAATGAACCGTTTATCATTATCAGATAGTCAAAGAATCCAAAGACTTTTTCAAGGTGAAACACTAGGTGATCGGTCGCCGTCACAGTTTCTACGTCACCTCCAGGTCTTAGTGGGTGATAACACAGTGGGTGAAGCAGTCCTAAAACAAGGATGGATACAAGCTCTCCCATGCTACGTCCAACACTGTTTGGATGCACAAGATCCTGAAACCTCATTATCTCATTTAGCGCGTATAGCTGATAGAATAATGGAAAGAGGTCCTCCAACTGGATCAGGCACAATAAATCACACACAGAAAGTAGAATCAGCAAAAGACCCCGTCATAGAAGGACTCATTGCGAGTGTTAAGAGTCTCACTGAGGCTGTCACCAGAATGCAAATGGGTCATACAAACAGGAGCAGGTCACCACAACGATCACGATCCAAGTCACAAATGTCCAGACAATCTGGGCAGTTTTGTTGGTACCACTGGAAGTTTGGTGTCAACTCAACCAAGTGCAGGCAACCATGCGCCTGGCCTAAGCATAATTCCAAGACAGCGGGAAACGAGTCACCCCTCCCCAGGTCGCGACAACTGAGGAGGGGCGCCTAAACAGTCGCTTGTTTTATGTCAGAGACAGAAACTCGGGCTTGAATTTCTTGGTGGATACTGGCGCTGCTCTTAGCATCATCCCTCGAAATAAAACTGAGATTAGTCGAGAAACATCCCCGATTACACTTCAAGCTGCAAATGAAACTACAATCGCGACATTTGGGCAGAAAACGTTAACCCTAGATTTGGGGTTCAGAAGGCAATTCCCTTGGGTTTTCACGGTAGCCGACTTAGATCTGGCAATACTGGGGATGGACTTTTTAGAGAGATACGATCTTCTTGTTGACACCAAGAAACGGCGATTAACACTAAAAGAAACTTCGTTTTACACAAAAGGCAAAGAAAGTCACATCAGCTCTCTTAACTTGATTCAAACCCCTCCAGTAACAACAGCGAAATTCCAAGATATACTCGCGGAATTTCCAAACTTAACTAAACCAAACCCACAGCCTTCCAAAGACAAACTAAATGTAAGTCACACTATCAAAACCGAAGGTGCACCGGTGTTTGCAAAACCCATCAGACTAGCACCAGATAAGCTCAAAATCGCTAGGGCCGAGTTTGATTATATGCTACAACTGGGTATTATCCGTCCCTCTGATAGTCAATGGGCATCCCCTTTGCATATGGTCCCAAAGAAGAATGAAGGTGACTGGCGACCGTGCGGGGATTACAGAGCCCTCAACCGTCAAACCGTACCAGATAGGTACCCAATACCGCATATCCAAGATTTCACAAACGGTTTACAGGGTATGAACATATTCACTAAAATTGACTTAGTCAGGGCATATCACAATATCCCGGTGGCTGATGAAGATATCCCTAAGACAGCTATTACAACACCCTTTGGCTTATTCGAGTTTGTACGCATGCCATTCGGCCTGAGAAATGCGGCACAGACATTTCAAAGATTCATAGATAACCTACTTCGAGATATGCCATTTGCGCAGGGGTATATAGACGACTTGTTAATTGCCAGCCCCGATTTGCAATCACACGAAGAGCATGTACGAGCAGTGTTGACAAGATTGAATGAACATGCAATAAACATACATCAAAGTAAGTGTGTTTTCGGTGTTCAAACTTTAGAATTTCTTGGTCACACAATAAGCCCAGAAGGGATTAAACCTATAAAAAAAGAAGTGGATACCATCAAACAATACCCGACACCTAGCTCTCTAACACAAATGAGAAGTTTTCTAGGTCTAATTAACTTTTATCGCAGATTCATACCAGGTTGTGCACAATTAATGCAACCTTTAACAGATTCACTTAAAGGAAAACCAAAAGAATTCAAACTGTCTTCTGACGCCGTCGAAGCTATTAAACAGCTTAAAGATAAACTGGCTCAAGCAACTACGTTGATATATCCGAATTCTCTTTCCCCACTTGCTTTGATGGTGGATGCTTCAGATAAAGCGGTAGGCGGTACCCTTGTGGAGATGGACCTGTCAAGCTTATTTTGTAAATAGCTTTCAATGTTATTTGTATTTACTTTGTCAACCTTCTACTGTATGTATATTTAACATTAAATGACTGTAACTGTTGTTTTAGTAAATGACCTTGAACACACTTTCCGTTGTACTACTACATTGCGCGACATACCGCTGCTAGCTAACAAATACAAGGCTTCTCGCACACTCATCGTTCTATTTCCATTTGTGATTGAGATATCCGAAGTCTAAATCAAATTCTATCTTCATTTATAGACTGTAACCGAAATATATCACATTCAACGTTGGATTATATCATTAGAGAGTTCACCAACTTGTTCAGAATCAACAAACATTTATAATTGTGGATTTACTTTACTGGACCTAATCCTAACACGCGACGTCTGATCAATTTAAGTAACGTCCCCGATTTTTATTGTATTTGTGACAATTAATTATATATATTAATATTACTATTGATTTTAATAACTTCGTTTATATTTTTTGTGTTCATATCTGTTTGGTCCACCACACCCTTAACCAACTGGTCAAAAACGCCTGGAAACCAATTGCTTTCTTCTCAAAAAGACTCGCTCCAGCAGAGACAAGGTATTCTACCTTCGGGCGAGAACTTCTTGCAATCTACCTGACCATTAAACACTTCCGACACATGTTAGAAGGTAGGGAATTTATAGTCTTTACGGATCACAAACCACTGACGAATGCATTAAAAGCGAGAGCCGATAAATACTCACCTCGAGAAGTCCGACACCTTGACTATATATCACAGTTCACAAGCGATATCCGACATGTCAAAGGTCAGGACAATCAGGCGGCAGATGCTTTATCCAGACTAGAAATGAACGTGCTACAGCAGTCTACAGTAAACTTCGAGACGTTGAGACACGAACAAGAGCAGGACCTAGAATTACAAAACCTACTTAAAACAAACAATTCAAGTCTTAATTTAAAACAGTTCCCATCACCTATCGATGGTATTCTAATTTACTGTGACACGACCAAGGCAATGCCGCGACCTTTCGTTCCCAAAAATATGCGAAAGTTGATATATAATAACTTTCATTCTTTGTCTCATCCTGGCGCAAAAGCTTCAACTAAACTAATCAATGCTAGATATATATGGCCGAATTTACAGAAGGATGAACACAAATGGGTTAGAGAGTGTTTAGCATGGAAAAAATCAAAGAATAATCATCACACAAATTCACCCATAAGTGATTTCTCGCAACCAGATGCACGTCATCAATAATGAACGACGAAATCGAACATCACATATCAGTCGCGCACACCACCTGGCAATCTATGCATGCTTATGAATAGGCGAACACACATTGGATGGGTTGGACAATGCCACGTGAATTCAACGGATGGTCGACAATGCTTCGTCGAACCAATGTTGCTCAGCACACATCGGACAGATTCACAAATACTGAAAATCACATACACACACAACCAGGGTGGCTACGATCACGGTCACGGTGTCGACGTGAGACGTTTCCACCTCATCACATACTCAATGCATTCTTGACTCCAAATTCAAGTGATCTGATAGGAGACCCACGGTACAGGTACTCACGGGACAACTCTCACACACAGTTACACAGAGAGTGAGAGAGCGTCACAGACAGACACAGACACAGACACAGACACATCACAGATCGACAAATTTATCGACATTCCACAACACTGCAATCAAGGAAACAAGTGTTTGAATGAGATTACCTGTGTTCCGAGAACATTCTCTCCTCCGGAATCGACACGATCCATGTGACTGACAGAATGGGTGCCTGTCGAAGCGTCTCCACTCACATCTCCTTCAGCTCCAACTACCTCTGTCAGTGCTGGTCTTCCAACTGGTACCTGAAATGGAATGAGATCACAGAGTGGATTAAGCGCGAGTGTGTAGTGTGCAGTAATTAGTGCTGGATCGCAAGTGTGTGAGACCTATGCATTATGTTTGGTGAGACATTCATAGTGTTTAAGTGGTTGTCTGGATCACATGTCTTAAGTGAACTACTCGGCACACTCCTCACCTGTCATGTTCTCATCTAGCCAATCATCTGCCTCCCATTCACCCGAATCGACTTCACACATTCTCTGAAGAATCCATGTGCCTGTCGAATAGCATCTTTGTTCCTTGTCCGTCCAACACTGAGACACACTCACTTACTCACACTCTACTTCACACAACCAAACTCAACTCAGTCACTTCATCACAAGTGCTTCTATTCACAGTCGCCCTTTCACTCACCACTCATATGCCGGATTGCCGACTCCAATGAGAATCATCAATACTGAACGACGAAATCGAACATCACATATCAGTCGCGCACACCACCTGGCAATCTATGCATGCTTATGAATAGGCGAACACACATTGGATGGGTTGGACAATGCCACGTGAATTCAACGGATGGTCGACAATGCTTCGTCGAACCAATGTTGCTCAGCACACATCGGACAGATTCACAAATACTGAAAATCACATACACACACAACCAGGGTGGCTACGATCACGGTCACGGTGTCGACGTGAGACGTTTCCACCTCATCACATACTCAATGCATTCTTGACTCCAAATTCAAGTGATCTGATAGGAGACCCACGGTACAGGTACTCACGGGACAACTCTCACACACAGTTACACAGAGAGTGAGAGAGCGTCACAGACAGACACAGACACAGACACAGACACATCACAGATCGACAAATTTATCGACATTCCACAACACTGCAATCAAGGAAACAAGTGTTTGAATGAGATTACCTGTGTTCCGAGAACATTCTCTCCTCCGGAATCGACACGATCCATGCGACTGACAGAATGGGTGCCTGTCGAAGCGTCTCCACTCACATCTCCTTCAGCTCCAACTACCTCTGTCAGTGCTGGTCTTCCACCTGGTACCTGAAATGGAATGAGATCACAGAGTGGATTAAGCGCGAGTGTGTAGTGTGCAGTAATTAGTGCTGGATTGCAAGTGTGTGAGACCTATGCATTATGTTTGGTGAGACATTCATAGTGTTTTAGTGGTTGTCTGGATCACATGTCTGAAGTGAATTACTCGGCACACTCCTCACCTGTCATGTTCTCATCTAGCCAATCATCTGCCTCCCATTCACCCGAATCGACTTCACACATTCTCTGAAGAATCCATGTGCCTGTCGAATAGCATCTTTGTTCCTTGTCCGTCCAACACTGAGACACACTCACTTACTCACACTCTACTTCACACAACCAAACTCAACTCAGTCACTTCATCACAAGTGCTTCTATTCACAGTCGCCCTTTCACTCACCACTCATATGCCGGATTGCCGACTCCAATGAGAATCATCAATACTGAACGACGAAATCGAACATCACATATCAGTCGCGCACACCACCTGGCAATCTATGCGTGCTTATGAATAGGCGAACACACATTGGATGGGTTGGACAATGCCACGTGAATTCAACGGATGGTCGACAATGCTTCGTCGAACCAATGTTGCTCAGCACACATGGGACAGATTCACAAATACTGAAAATCACATACACACACAACCAGGGTGGCTACGATCACGGTCACGGTGTCGACGTGAGACGTTTCCACCTCATCACATACTCAATGCATTCTTGACTCCAAATTCAAGTGATCTGATAGGAGACCCACGGTACAGGTACTCACGGGACAACTCTCACACACAGTTACACAGAGAGTGAGAGAGCGTCACAGACAGACACAGACACAGACACAGACACATCACAGATCGACAAATTTATCGACATTCCACAACACTGCAATCAAGGAAACAAGTGTTTGAATGAGATTACCTGTGTTCCGAGAACATTCTCTCCTCCGGAATCGACACGATCCATGTGACTGACAGAATGGGTGCCTGTCGAAGCGTCTCCACTCACATCTCCTTCAGCTCCAACTACCTCTGTCAGTGCTGGTCTTCCACCTGGTACCTGAAATGGAATGAGATCACAGAGTGGATTAAGCGCGAGTGTGTAGTGTGCAGTTATTAGTGCTGGATTGCAAGTGTGTGAGACCTATGCATTATGTTTGGTGAGACATTCATAGTGTTTTAGTGGTTGTCTGGATCACATGTCTGAAGTGAATTACTCGGCACACTCCTCACCTGTCATGTTCTCATCTAGCCAATCATCTGCCTCCCATTCACCCGAATCGACTTCACACATTCTCTGAAGAATCCATGTGCCTGTAGAATAGCATCTTTGTTCCTTGTCCGTCCAACACTGAGACACACTCACTTACTCACACTCTACTTCACACAACCAAACTCAACTCAGTCACTTCATCACAAGTGCTTCTATTCACAGTCGCCCTTTCACTCACCACTCATATGCCGGATTGCCGACTCCAATGAGAATCATCAATACTGAACGACGAAATCGAACATCACATATCAGTCGCGCACACCACCTGGCAATCTATGCATGCTTATGAATAGGCGAACACACATTGGATGGGTTGGACAATGCCACGTGAATTCAACGGATGGTCGACAATGCTTCGTCGAACCAATGTTGCTCAGCACACATGGGACAGATTCACAAATACTGAAAATCACATACACACACAACCAGGGTGGCTACGATCACGGTCACGGTGTCGACGTGAGACGTTTCCACCTCATCACATACTCAATGCATTCTTGACTCCAAATTCAAGTGATCTGATAGGAGACCCACGGTACAGGTACTCACGGGACAACTCTCACACACAGTTACACAGAGAGTGAGAGAGCGTCACAGACAGACACAGACACATCACAGATCGACAAATTTATCGACATTCCACAACACTGCAATCAAGGAAACAAGTGTTTGAATGAGATTACCTGTGTTCCGAGAACATTCTCTCCTCCGGAATCGACACGATCCATGTGACTGACAGAATGGGTGCCTGTCGAAGCGTCTCCACTCACATCTCCTTCAGCTCCAACTACCTCTGTCAGTGCTGGTCTTCCACCTGGTACCTGAAATGGAATGAGATCACAGAGTGGATTAAGCGCGAGTGTGTAGTGTGCAGTAATTAGTGCTGGATCGCAAGTGTGTGAGACCTATGCATTATGTTTGGTGAGACATTCATAGTGTTTAAGTGGTTGTCTGGATCACATGTCTTAAGTGAACTACTCGGCACACTCCTCACCTGTCATGTTCTCATCTAGCCAATCATCTGCCTCCCATTCACCCGAATCGACTTCACACATTCTCTGAAGAATCCATGTGCCTGTCGAATAGCATCTTTGTTCCTTGTCCGTCCAACACTGAGACACACTCACTTACTCACACTCTACTTCACACAACCAAACTCAACTCAGTCACTTCATCACAAGTGCTTCTATTCACAGTCGCCCTTTCACTCACCACTCATATGCCGGATTGCCGACTCCAATGAGAATCATCAATACTGAACGACGAAATCGAACATCACATATCAGTCGCGCACACCACCTGGCAATCTATGCATGCTTATGAATAGGCTAACACACATTAGATGGGTTGGACAATGCCACGTGAATTCAACGGATGGTCGACAATGCTTCGTCGAACCAATGTTGCTCAGCACACATCGGACAGATTCACAAATACTGAAAATCACATACACACACAACCAGGGTGGCTACGATCACGGTCACGGTGTCGACGTGAGACGTTTCCACCTCATCACATACTCAATGCATTCTTGACTCCAAATTCAAGTGATCTGATAGGAGACCCACGGTACAGGTACTCACGGGACAACTCTCACACACAGTTACACAGAGAGTGAGAGAGCGTCACAGACAGACACAGACACAGACACAGACACATCACAGATCGACAAATTTATCGACATTCCACAACACTGCAATCAAGGAAACAAGTGTTTGAATGAGATTACCTGTGTTCCGAGAACATTCTCTCCTCCGGAATCGACACGATCCATGTGACTGACAGAATGGGTGCCTGTCGAAGCGTCTCCACTCACATCTCCTTCAGCTCCAACTACCTCTGTCAGTGCTGGTCTTCCACCTGGTACCTGAAATGGAATGAGATCACAGAGTGGATTAAGCGCGAGTGTGTAGTGTGCAGTAATTAGTGCTGGATCGCAAGTGTGTGAGACCTATGCATTATGTTTGGTGAGACATTCATAGTGTTTAAGTGGTTGTCTGGATCAAATGTCTGAAGTGAACTACTCGGCCTACTCCTCACCTGTCATGTTCTCATCTAGCCAATCATCTGCCTCCCATTCACCCGAATCGACTTCACACATTCTCTGAAGAATCCATGTGCCTGTCGAATAGCATCTTTGTTCCTTGTCCGTCCAACACTGAGACACACTCACTTACTCACACTCTACTTCACACAACCAAACTCAACTCAGTCACTTCATCACAAGTGCTTCTATTCACAGTCGCCCTTTCACTCACCACTCATATGCCGGATTGCCGACTCCAATGAGAATCATCAATACTGAACGACGAAATCGAACATCACATATCAGTCGCGCACACCACCTGGCAATCTATGCATGCTTATGAATAGGCGAACACACATTGGATGGGTTGGACAATGCCACGTGAATTCAACGGATGGTCGACAATGCTTCGTCGAACCAATGTTGCTCAGCACACATGGGACAGATTCACAAATACTGAAAATCACATACACACACAACCAGGGTGGCTACGATCACGGTCACGGTGTCGACGTGAGACGTTTCCACCTCATCACATACTCAATGCATTCTTGACTCCAAATTCAAGTGATCTGATAGGAGACCCACGGTACAGGTACTCACGGGACAACTCTCACACACAGTTACACAGAGAGTGAGAGAGCGTCACAGACAGACACAGACACAGACACAGACACATCACAGATCGACAAATTTATCGACATTCCACAACACTGCGATCAAGGAAACAAGTGTTTGAATGAGATTACCTGTGTTCCGAGAACATTCTCTCCTCCGGAATCGACACGATCCATGTGACTGACAGAATGGGTGCCTGTCGAAGCGTCTCCACTCACATCTCCTTCAGCTCCAACTACCTCTGTCAGTGCTGGTCTTCCACCTGGTACCTGAAATGGAATGAGATCACAGAGTGGATTAAGCGCGAGTGTGTAGTGTGCAGTAATTAGTGCTGGATTGCAAGTGTGTGAGACCTATGCATTATGTTTGGTGAGACATTCATAGTGTTTTAGTGGTTGTCTGGATCACATGTCTGAAGTGAATTACTCGGCCTACTCCTCACCTGTCATGTTCTCATCTAGCCAATCATCTGCCTCCCATTCACCCGAATCGACTTCACACATTCTCTGAAGAATCCATGTGCCTGTCGAATAGCATCTTTGTTCCTTGTCCGTCCAACACTGAGACACACTCACTTACTCACACTCTACTTCACACAACCAAACTCAACTCAGTCACTTCATCACAAGTGCTTCTATTCACAGTCGCCCTTTCACTCACCACTCATATGCCGGATTGCCGACTCCAATGAGAATCATCAATACTGAACGACGAAATCGAACATCACATATCAGTCGCGCACACCACCTGGCAATCTATGCATGCTTATGAATAGGCTAACACACATTAGATGGGTTGGACAATGCCACGTGAATTCAACGGATGGTCGACAATGCTTCGTCGAACCAATGTTGCTCAGCACACATCGGACAGATTCACAAATACTGAAAATCACATACACACACAACCAGGGTGGCTACGATCACGGTCACGGTGTCGACGTGAGACGTTTCCACCTCATCACATACTCAATGCATTCTTGACTCCAAATTCAAGTGATCTGATAGGAGACCCACGGTACAGGTACTCACGGGACAACTCTCACACACAGTTACACAGAGAGTGAGAGAGCGTCACAGACAGACACAGACACAGACACAGACACATCACAGATCGACAAATTTATCGACATTCCACAACACTGCGATCAAGGAAACAAGTGTTTGAATGAGATTACCTGTGTTCCGAGAACATTCTCTCCTCCGGAATCGACACGATCCATGCGACTGACAGAATGGGTGCCTGTCGAAGCGTCTCCACTCACATCTCCTTCAGCTCCAACTACCTCTGTCAGTGCTGGTCTTCCACCTGGTACCTGAAATGGAATGAGATCACAGAGTGGATTAAGCGCGAGTGTGTAGTGTGCAGTTATTAGTGCTGGATTGCAAGTGTGTGAGACCTATGCATTATGTTTGGTGAGACATTCATAGTGTTTTAGTGGTTGTCTGGATCACATGTCTGAAGTGAATTACTCGGCACACTCCTCACCTGTCATGTTCTCATCTAGCCAATCATCTGCCTCCCATTCACCCGAATCGACTTCACACATTCTCTGAAGAATCCATGTGCCTGTCGAATAGCATCTTTGTTCCTTGTCCGTCCAACACTGAGACACACTCACTTACTCACACTCTACTTCACACAACCAAACTCAACTCAGTCACTTCATCACAAGTGCTTCTATTCACAGTCGCCCTTTCACTCACCACTCATATGCCGGATTGCCGACTCCAATGAGAATCATCAATACTGAACGACGAAATCGAACATCACATATCAGTCGCGCACACCACCTGGCAATCTATGCATGCTTATGAATAGGCGAACACACATTGGATGGGTTGGACAATGCCACGTGAATTCAACGGATGGTCGACAATGCTTCGTCGAACCAATGTTGCTCAGCACACATCGGACAGATTCACAAATACTGAAAATCACATACACACACAACCAGGGTGGCTACGATCACGGTCACGGTGTCGACGTGAGACGTTTCCACCTCATCACATACTCAATGCATTCTTGACTCCAAATTCAAGTGATCTGATAGGAGACCCACGGTACAGGTACTCACGGGACAACTCTCACACACAGTTACACAGAGAGTGAGAGAGCGTCACAGACACAGACACAGACACATCACAGATCGACAAATTTATCGACATTCCACAACACTGCAATCAAGGAAACAAGTGTTTGAATGAGATTACCTGTGTTCCGAGAACATTCTCTCCTCCGGAATCGACACGATCCATGTGACTGACAGAATGGGTGCCTGTCGAAGCGTCTCCACTCACATCTCCTTCAGCTCCAACTACCTCTGTCAGTGCTGGTCTTCCACCTGGTACCTGAAATGGAATGAGATCACAGAGTGGATTAAGCGCGAGTGTGTAGTGTGCAGTAATTAGTGCTGAATTGCAAGTGTGTGAGACCTATGCATTATGTTTGGTGAGACATTCATAGTGTTTTAGTGGTTGTCTGGATCACATGTCTGAAGTGAATTACTCGGCCTACTCCTCACCTGTCATGTTCTCATCTAGCCAATCATCTGCCTCCCATTCACCCGAATCGACTTCACACATTCTCTGAAGAATCCATGTGCCTGTCGAATAGCATCTTTGTTCCTTGTCCGTCCAACACTGAGACACACTCACTTACTCACACTCTACTTCACACAACCAAACTCAACTCAGTCACTTCATCACAAGTGCTTCTATTCACAGTCGCCCTTTCACTCACCACTCATATGCCGGATTGCCGACTCCAATGAGAATCATCAATACTGAACGACGAAATCGAACATCACATATCAGTCGCGCACACCACCTGGCAATCTATGCATGCTTATGAATAGGCGAACACACATTGGATGGGTTGGACAATGCCACGTGAATTCAACGGATGGTCGACAATGCTTCGTCGAACCAATGTTGCTCAGCACACATGGGACAGATTCACAAATACTGAAAATCACATACACACACAACCAGGGTGGCTACGATCACGGTCACGGTGTCGACGTGAGACGTTTCCACCTCATCACATACTCAATGCATTCTTGACTCCAAATTCAAGTGATCTGATAGGAGACCCACGGTACAGGTACTCACGGGACAACTCTCACACACAGTTACACAGAGAGTGAGAGAGCGTCACAGACAGACACAGACACAGACACAGACACATCACAGATCGACAAATTTATCGACATTCCACAACACTGCAATCAAGGAAACAAGTGTTTGAATGAGATTACCTGTGTTCCGAGAACATTCTCTCCTCCGGAATCGACACGATCCATGTGACTGACAGAATGGGTGCCTGTCGAAGCGTCTCCACTCACATCTCCTTCAGCTCCAACTACCTCTGTCAGTGCTGGTCTTCCACCTGGTACCTGAAATGGAATGAGATCACAGAGTGGATTAAGCGCGAGTGTGTAGTGTGCAGTAATTAGTGCTGGATTGCAAGTGTGTGAGACCTATGCATTTTTTTTGGTCTTTTGTTCAATCTTCCGATGCGGATTGATGAAAGCATAATTCCAATGTGGGGACTTAGAATAAGACCCAACCGTCGTTCAGTGCTTCTATGTTTTCCATGGTGGTTGAGACTCAATCTATTCATGATCTTAACAGATATTTCTTGAAAATGTATGTTTAATGAATTATGTATTATTATTCATATAGTGTTAATAATGATTTCCTAATTCACCGTGTTATTTAATTATTAATTTATCAATTATATTTCATTTATTTGAGATTGTTTGTATTCGCTAATAACATGTAATTAATTCCTTATACGATCTAATCAACAAATTTTGTATTTTCAATATGTTTACTTAAATAAAAATAAAGTGAATTACAATCAGTATACAATTTGTTATGAATGATTTAATAAGTCGTATTTATTTGAAAGGATGTTCGGTGAGACTGTAATTTATGGACGACATTCGAGAAACGCTAAAGTGACTTTGAGAGTGTCCACTTAATAACTAGGACCAAGTGAGGTTTATAAACCAGTGTGAGGGATTAGAATTATGATTAGGAATTAGATTTAGGGTTTTCTTCACAAACTGACATCAGCTATAATGTCGAAACTCTATTTAGCGAAATTGGTGAATTTCACGCCAAAATCCGAAACATGTTATCTTATACCTGATCAGTTCGATCATAAATTATAGTTTCGCTAAAATGTCAATTCTTTCATCTTTCTTGTCTAAATGGATGAAATTTTCAAGACTACTATCGTATACAACTATGGAAAACAATATTGTCACAATTGATTGATCACTGGGTGGCGATCAATGTCATGCATGTCTAGTCCTTATTAGTGCAGATCGAATGCTATCGATCCTGTTGCAATGTGGCCACCAGTTTGAGTCCTACAGGAGGTCGGTCGCGGCTAGGAAAGCTCAGTGGTAACGTCCCTGACTGTGAAGCTGGGGGACACGAGATTGAATCCGCCAAGTAACACAAAACCCGGGTCCAGGGTTTCCTGCCGACTACCTCCAACCACCATCTAAAAACAATATTGTCTTTTAAACACTACATATTTCAATGGTATAGAACATCACAGAATATTCTTATTTTGTTTGAGAAATTAACCAAATGGTGTTTTGCACAGTAATAAAAAATCATTCTACTATGTTACCATTTGCATGCATGTGTATATGTTAAGACCATATAAAACACACCTGCCCAGAGATCTGGAGATATACAGCTACTAGGTACATTTTCTTTCGATAGAGGCTATTTTTTGTCGATATTTATTTTTATTACTACATGTGTGTAAAATGAAGATTTTTTTAAGAACTGCTTTCAAATAATACATCGTCACAAAAAAGCGACTAGCTATATTAGAGATTGAAAAAAATTGCATAAATAATTCCGACTGTCTACCATACATTTAAGCAATTATTGTCGGAAAAAGCTGAACAAAGCGGTCATTAAATTAGATTAATATTTATCAGTCGGGTGAAATACATCGTTGGAAGGAAAGGCAGTGGAGTTTCAATGTGACTTATCAGGTGAATTTGAATTTGATAAACATCTATTTAAGTAGTGTGCAAGCGTGATTCAACATTATATCAAACTACTTTCAAATAAAAAGTGCTTTTGTTAAGTATTGATTTATGAGGAATATTATTTGTACCAGTGTGTAAACATAGTTCCATTTGAAATAAATCAATACTGATGTGCTTCAGCAAATTCGTTTATTTACCCACGCTTCAATTATTATATACTTGAAATAATGAAGGTTATCTTATATAAGGAATTCTGAAAACATGTGTCAAGTAATTCGATAATCATTTGCTATGGTGTCTCTACGTTTACTAGTAGTTTATTAGTACGGATCATGTATTAGATTCAAATTATAAGATTTCGAAAAATCAATTAAGAGGTGAACAATAAGTTATTACACTTTGTGGGAAACCCTGGTGAGTTTTCGGTGTCTAGTTCGATTTATATGAAGCAAGAGTTTATGTTTCACTTGGCACAGTCTCAATAATCTAACAATGCTTACTTACACTTTTAGTAATACTTCTTCTTTTGACAGTGTAAGGAATAGTACTATGTCAAGCCCACATGGGTTATTCAAGCCACTGGACAGATCAATCTATTCAATTTTATGAAATCACATTCTTACCTTGTCACTTATTCGCATATAAACCCTAACTGCTTTTATTTGAGTGTGTTAATTAGTTACCCTAATCATTATGTCTGTAACACTTTTTGTTTGATTATAAATTTCAAGTCATGGTTGGTTATACCAAGTTGGCTCACTTGCCCTCTCCACCGCATATCATTTCGATTCATTTCGCTCTCTCCTCCCCACTTTCTTTGCTTTGTTTCTTCGATCGTCTACCAAGATCAACAATTGTGTGAAGCATACATATTCGAAATCCATTCTTGTATTTGATTTATTTTTATTCCCTTATTCACTAACGTGATTTAAGTTGATGATTATATACGAGGGTAAGCTGGAAATATATTTTGATAGTAATCATTCATACGGTCGAACTGGAGTCAGATAAGAGGGCTAATATAACAGATATCCTTAACAAATATTTTAAACGCTCTCTTACATGATCATATTAACTCCATTGTTCAATTTCTGTGTATTTTTACGTTACCTGTATTGTGAATATTGTAACTGTATTTATTATTTGTATGAATATTCTATTAAAGGTTTTACCCTCGAACTAAAGTTAGAACCATCTTTTACTGTCTAATATAATGAACGCGGAGAATGACCCAGTAACTTCCAGAAAACTTAGTAGACACCAAGTACATTGTGTCAAAACGTCAATATATATAAAATATGTATGATTTTTACACTGTTTGGATTTTTCAAGATTTGTTATTATTTTGTTACAGATAATCATTTCTCCAAGAGGTATTAAATATTTCTGTAGGCTCATCCTTAATCAGCACAAATTCCCTCAAATGCCCCGGTACAGCAGAGGGTGAGGAGAGTTAGCTCTTACTTTCCAAATGCTCTCACACGGCCACGCGTATACAGCCACGACCAGGAAAGTTCTATCCGCTGCCTTCTCATGGCATTACTGTTGTTTATGAAGTTGAGAGGACGAAAACCGAATGTGCGGCACTTTAACCAGGTTGATGGATATGGAGGATCCACCTAGGGCAGTTGGGAAACACTGATTACAAACTAATGGTGAATATTGGATCAGAGATCCTGAGGTAACAAGTGGTGTATGAACCAACAGTTGGTCACTGGCTACCACGGGGCTGCATCTTCTAATTTTGCTCTACTGTCTTGTGGACCAGACCTTTTGGTCAAAGGTTCTGGATGTGGCCCTCTAAGAAAACCACCTGTTTCAGTCTGAGTACCCAAGCGGTATCACAGCCGACACACAAATCAAGTGACTTATGTGTGTCGTATATGTATTCGGTGCCCGTTGTAACAATATTTATGTGTTCAAACAAATAAATAAATGAAAAATCAATACAAACTTTTGACAGGAACTCAAGGAGAAACTGACGGTTGTGAGTTGTGAATTTAGTGATTTCAGTAACATAAAGTATCATATTTAATTGCTTTATGAACTGTCTCAATCATAAACCAAATTTATCGAAAATACTAGACAAGTGAACACGACAAACTGATTACTGGGTGATTAGAATACTATGAATGAAGGGTTTTCTCTCATGTTATATATATAACCATTTTTACGAAGTACTGACCAAAATAAAATGTTTTAAATGATCAATATGAAGTAATTTCGTGTCTTTAAATGAATGAAAAGATAATTATTAGATTGTTAGTTAAATATTGTTTTAAATATATTGGTTCCGTAGTCAACTTGAAAAAGTATCTAACTATTCAAAATTCGAATCGCCTTGATTCTGGAAGCATCCTTTCGAGTTGAAAGTTATCCTTATATGTAATAAATGTATTGGCGAAATGACCTTAGTACATCTAGAATACTCATAGAGCTTCACATAATACACATTGAAAATGGAGATTTTCTGTCGCGGAAATTAAAGGATAACATATTCTATAATCAACGTATTAAATTTCTTTATATTCCACAGTCCTAAACCTCAACAGAATACTTTCGTTTACTAAACACTTGAAATACGTATTTAATACATATTAAAATGCCAGACATAATACACCTATCAAATATAAATTTGTGAGAATGACATTAAACTACACTTTACGTATACGGATTAGTAAATTATTATCAAGTTGAGTAAACCAATAAAAGTGAGGTGAAACACAAACTTTAACCCCTAAACCCTAAGCTACCGAGCTTGATCATTTCAAGAAAAAAATATTGATTCTAGTTGTTTTGAGACACGTGTTACATGATTCTAATAATATGCAAAACAAAAAATACATAGAATCAATCCTTTATTGATTTTAAATTTCAATTCATTGTTTTATATAACGCTTTTTCAAAATGACATCTACCGATTTTATTAACATGGCATAGAGGTAGCCTGCTTGAATATCTGGAATACCTATTCCTGCCATTTGAATAGTTCAGCAAGTTCTCAGTTTTCTTATTTGTTTTAGCACATCATTATGCTTATTAGTGTGCGTGTTTGTAGAAAGTTTACGACATTTCTCTGTACAAGTTATAAAAGAGCTCAATCAGAGACATCATGGTTGCTAGCAATATGCATCGAAAAGAATATACATTATTTACCTGTTCATTCCTGAACTGCTAATATCTAATTGGCAATCACTCAATATTTATCGCCAGGATCGATCAAGAAATAAGAAAAAGAAATCTGTTGAAATAATTTATGCTCAGAATTCCATATTGTACTAATACATTTAATAGTGATCAAAGCTTATAATAATGAAATGGCTTAGTCCTAATGTTTTAATTCATTCACATCGATTTAATTGATTTACACCTTC